TATAATTGCTCTGCCGACGAAATGTTTTTGCGCTACTGAAATATCGCTGTGCAAGAGACTGCACTAGTGGGTTGCTGGTAAGTTTGTGGCACGATGCACAGTGCAATCTTCTGCACCGTGAGTTTTCTGCTAGTTCAACTGCTGCTCAATAAAATGCACAATACAATAAAACCAACGAAAACCATCTCAATAATAACATTAAAAATACATAGTGGCCCTTGCCCTTGTATCACTCCCAAAGTGACTCCCTCAAGGAGTGAGGCCGTTTGGTGTTTTCCCTTTGGCTGCAGCATGTCAGTGAGAATCCACCACCAGTGGCCGCCTTCCAGCTTAGCTGTTGCAGGAGAAAACAGTTGATGAACAGCAATTCCTGCTTTAGATTCAGTTGCAGGTCATGCAAATGATGATCACACAGTTATCACATGACAGTATGGCCATTTAAAACTTTCTATCATGCTGTGGCTCTTGCATCACTATGTATCACTAGTTGTCAATGAAGATAAACTTCACAAACGATGAACCCTTTCTGCTCTTTTAGATTCAAAGGAAGTCCTTTTCCACACAGTACTGATTGATTAACAAGATGTACATCCCACTTAATCAACAAAAGCAGGGCAGTTCAAAGTGGTGCCCTCCAAGAATGATTGGACTACAACTCCCATCAGCCCAAGCCAGCAGGGTCAATAGTCAGTACACAACATTGGCTACGTTTGAGAAAAAAGGGCAGCTGAACAAAGACCTCTAAGTGGTTTACATATAACAAAAAAAGTGATCAAATGAAACATTTAAAAACTAGCAGGTATAAAATTTCTTTTAAAATATAAAGTCAGAAGTTAAAAAACGAACATTCATGATAAAATTACATGTCTGGGTTGGCTTGCCTAGATAAAAAAGTTTCTAGCAGGTGCTGAAAACAATATGGAGGACCCACTGTCTGGCTAGGATTGACAGACTCCTACGCAGGAGGAGGAGGAAGTGATTGGTGGGAACCAGGGCCAGAGGAGACAGTCTCTCCCCATTGTTTCTCAATGTCAGCTGCTTCGGAAGGGGGAGCAGTGATGCCAGCTCCAGCGAATTGAGCAGATGACACCAAGAGTGGGTCCAACGGTCAGAAAGGCGGTTTCTGCACGTGTCATAGAGGGAAGTGAGGGACAGATGGGATTCGTCAACCTGGGAAGGTAGCCCGTCTAGGAGAAGATACCCTCTGATCCTAAACCTCTACTGCCTTGCGGGATATCTTCAGGAGAAGAAAAGGCTAAAGAGTAGACCCTATACAAATCCAGAGTGGAGATGATTAGGTGGCGACTTGTACACCTCCTTCCAACACCTCCTGCAGCCAAGCTGGTGCCAAACATATTGCTCTGCTTTCCTTTGGACCACATCAGCAAGGCCAAGAGAGGGATGTCTTATTGTCTGTGCAGCCCAGGACCTCCATTCACAAACTGCCCAGGCTTGTGCTCCAGGGAGGTCACTTTGGTGCTGCTAACACAGCAGTTTGACTGTGGAGACGCACTCCATTGTCCCTCTCCATTGTCTCTCGAGACAGATGGATGCCAACAACAGTAAGCATGTCAACAGTGACAGATAATGAAACTAATTGACTGGCAGATAAGTTAATGCCCATGGCATTATTGAAAACTGATATTGAAAACTAAAACCTTGACCTCAGCCAGAGGACTCTGTCAATTTTCACTGGGGGTGGAGGAGAATGAGGAGGAGGTGGGGGAAGTCATAAAGTTCAGGTCGCAACTCATTCACTAGGCAGATATGCGAGAGCCCAGATCAACACCTCTCCAAACAACAGCTGAGACTCTCCCAGGCTGCACAACAGATGTTAGTGTTGCTTAACTCTTCTGGAAATGAGGGAGAGAGACCTATAAACCGATAGGTCCAAGACAGTGAATTTCTGTCTTACCCATACTGTTGCTGTCTGAGAAAATGTGTCTACACTGTCAGGGACATCTGTGCCCTCCCTCAAAAGTCACAAGAACTGAATTGCACGGGAGAATGATGGTGTAACTGCACTCTCATTCTTGGAAGATTCAAACAAACAGAGTCAGGCCTGGCAAAAACACCTTCTGGCCTTAGAAATAATAAACAGAGCAGGCAATGTGATCTGTGCTCCTGAGTGAGTTTCTATTCCTGGTCTTCAGCTAGTCACCTGCAAAGCCCAATCCTATGTCTGTTTACTTGCAAGTAAGCCCCATGTGGTTCACTCCCAAGTCAGTGGATGTTGGATTGCAGCCTTGGCCTTGGGATTGTTTTCTGTAAAACTTGACTGTGCTCTTTTTCTTGCAATGAAACCTAGGGGACAGGTCACCCTGCAGTTAGTGTGACCAGGTGCAAATGGGCTCCTGCACCTTTAATAGACTGTGTAGAACAGCCACTGCCAGCTTGGATGATAAGCTACACCTGCTGAAATTCCCGCTCCACAACTGTGAAAGGTGCAAGAGCTTTGTCTACTTTGGTCCTTGGTCACCCTATGCGAGTCTCCTTATTAGATCTGGATTGCTCAGCTTTTAGCCAGGCTGCACAGACTGAAATATTTTGCAAGCTGCTTTTGCTGCTTCTCCTCCTTCCTCTTCTTCTTTTTTCTTCTTCTGTAGCAAAATTAGTGTTTAGCCTGAAGAAAAGGTCACACAACTATTTGAGGAAAACAATGCATCACTTCTTCTCCTACTACTCCACCATATCTTTTGGAAAGCCATTTGTTTGTTCTCTGTGCATTTGGATATCTCTTAAGATATAATAATTGAATTTTGTGTGATGGTTCCTGAGCTTTTCTTACATGGTTGGGTGCCATTTTGAATCAAGATGGTGGACTGCACCTTTAAAAACTGCACAGCTTTTAAACAATGAATTCAAAACTACACTGTTCTTGGAGTTCCCAAGCAACACCATGTACAATGCTGCCAGTTAGATATATCTTATTGTAAGCTAACGCTGCTACTGAGGATTCAGCTGCATTAGTCCATGGAGGCGCAGGTCAATTCTGTGTCCAGGTAGCTGTTTACCAGCTCCATCTGGTACACAGGCTGAGATCCTACCTGCCCCCGGACTGTCTTGCCAGAGTGGTGCATGCTCTAGTTATCTCCTGCTTGGACTACTGCAATGCGCTCTACGTGGGGCTACCTTTCAAGGTGACCCGGAAACTACAACTAATCCAGAATGCAGCAGCTAGATTGGTGACTGGGAGCGGCTGCTGAGACCACATAACACCGGTCTTGAAAGATCTACATTGGCTCTCAGTATGTTTCCGAGCACAATTAAAAGTGTTGGTGCTGACCTTTAAAGCCCTAAATGGCCTCAGTCCTGTATACCTGAAGGAGTATCTCCACCCCCATCGTTCTGCCCGGACACTGAGGTCCAGTGCCGAGTGCCTTCTAGCAGTTCCCTCACTGCGAGAAGCAAAGTTACAGGGAACCAGGCAGAGGGCCTTCTCAGTAGTGGCGCCCACCCTGTGGAACGCCCTCCCATCAGATGTCAAAGAAATAAACAACTATATGACATTCAGAGGACATCTGAAGGCAGCCCTGTTTAGGGAAGTTTTTAATGACTGATGTTTTAATGTATTTTTAACCTTCTGTTGGAAGCCACCCAGAGTGGCTGGGGAAACCCAGCCAGATGGGCGGGGTAGAAATAATAAATTATTACTACTACTATTATTATTATTATTGTCATCATCAGAGTGGGTGGGGAAACCCAGCCAGATGGGTGGGGTAGAAATAATAAATTATTATTGTTGTTATTATTATTATTATTATCATCATCATCATCAAAAAACAGTGTTCTGAATGCGTTATAAACATGCAATGCCAGATGGCGCTGGAAAGCAAAAAAAATTCTTCGCGGTTTTCTTACTTATTTATAGTGTCGTTGTCCCCCCGTGTAGACCAACCCCTGAGTTATTACCATATGTTAATAATGCTTTATCTGCAACCCTACAATATAGGGGTGAGGAACTTCAGCCTGTGGACCAAACATGGCCCACTAGGCCTCTCTGTCTGGCCCTCAGGACTCTCCAAAGGCCACACTCCCTCCTCAGCCACACCCACTCTCCCCAGTCCCTCACCAGCCCTACTTCCTACCCTCCTTTAATGCTTTTGGCTAACTGGAATGTAAGTGGATAAAGGAGAATAGCCTTGATCTGGATTCAACCCATTATTTATTTTTATTTTATGCATTTACCACCACTTTTCAGGTATGCAGCCTCCTAAAGCGGTTCTACAAAGATTTTCAAACAATACAGCATTAGTAAAGATACAGTATAGAGTACAACTGTAGAAGACGGCAACAGAAGAGCATTTGAAAAGCCATCAGTCAAGCAAAACCTCAGTCAAGCAAAACCTCCTGAAGTTTGTTTATTTACTACATTTCTCTCCCGCCTTTCCTCCCATGTAGTGCACATGGTTCTCTTTCGCGCTCTCCATTTTGCCTTCACAGCAACCCTGTGAGGTAGGCTAGGCCATTCCAGCAGGGCAGCTCTCCCAAAGGGTTGAAAGGGGTTTGCTAGACCAGCCTCCGCTAGCACCCTCCAGATGTTTTGGACTGGTGGGCCTGATGGCAAATTGTAGTCCAAAACACCTGGAAGGGCACCAAATTGGTTAAGGCTGTTAGACTCGGGAGGGGGCAGGGTGAAGGCTTCGCAGGACCAGCTGTCCCCTTGGTCTTGCACCCAAGTTGCTTTCTTACATGAGGTTGGAATGCGTCCCCGGAGAGTGCCAACCCGATTAACACGAGGCTCTCTGGAATCACAGCCCTCTGAGTCACTGTGCTAAAATTGTGCTGTTGCCTCCCCTCCGCACCCTTTGGGCTGCCAATATTTACAGGTCTCCGTGAAGATCTGGAATAATAACCTGTTTATCATTTGGGTCCCCAGATGCAATGGAATGTGAAACCCTGGTCATATGAGTTCCTGGGTTGCACCCAAAGCTTATCCTGTCCAGAGTTAGAGCCATTGAAATGAATGAGCATGACGAAGTTGGACCCATTAACTTCAATGGGTAAAACTTTGTTGGATAAAAGCCAGCATTGTGGTGGTTGTTTTTGCTTGAATTAAGCTCATATCTCTTCTTCAGGTTTCAGGACAATGCTCCAGCCCAACTCCTGGTAGCTCAGTTGGAAGAACAAGAAACTCTGAATCTTGGGGTCCTGGGTTCAAGTCCTGCTTTGGAAAAAAGATTCCTGCATTGCGGGGGTTGGATTAGATGACCCTTGTGGTACCTTCCAACACTATAATTCTATGAAATCTATTAAACCCTCCAAATTAGAGAAACCCTTTCTCTAAGAGCAGCGGAGTGCCTACCAAGCTGGGAGCATATGTATTTCACAAACTGCTGGAACAATGGGATACTTTCTATTTTCATGCATTTCATGCTATGCAGCAGTAATGAGGAACCTTTGGCCCAACAGAGGTTGCTGAACTACAACTCCCATCAGCCCCAGCAAACATGACCAATGGCCAGGGATTATGGGAGCTGTAGTTCAGTAACATTTGCAGGACCAGAGGTTCTTCCCACTGGCTAGATAGCATACAAATTGCAGATTCATTCCCATGAACATAGCCAAAACATCACCAACTGTGCACAAGGGGAGGTAGCAACTGGCTTGGTGAATCCCAAGGTTTGCAGAAGTGCAAAATGTTGTTGTTGTTTAGTCATTTAGTCGTGTCCAACTCTTCGTGACCCCATGGACCAGAGCACGCCAGGCACTTCTGTCTTCCATTGCCTCCCGCAGTTTGGTCAGACTCATGCTGGTAGCTTCGAGAACACTACCCAACCATCTCCTCCTCTGTCGTCCCCTTCTCCTTGTGCCCTCCATCTTTCCCAACATCAGGGTCTTTTCCAGGGAGTCTTCTCTTCTCATGAGGTGGTCAAAGTATTGGAGACTCAACTTCACGATCTGTCCTTCCAGTGAGCACTCAGGGCTGATTTCCTTAAGAATGGATACGTTTGATCTTCTTGCAGTCCATGGGACTCTCAAGAGTCTCCTCCAGCACCATAATTCAAAAGCATCAATTCTTCGGCGATCAGCCTTCTTGATGGTCCAGCTCTCACTTCCATACATCACTACTGGGAAAACCATGGCTTTAACTATACGGACCTTTGTTGGCAAGGTGATGTCTCTGCTTTTTAAGATGCTGTCTAGGTTTGCCAAGTGCAAAATATCTTTTAAAAAACCCTCTGAAGGACCCCCAAAAACCAGTCCAACAAGTACTGAGCAGGCTTAATGACACCGACTGAATATTTGAGGGGAACTAAAAACTGGGGGGGGGGGGGCAGGGATGGAATGGAGTATCCTGGGAGAGAGAGTGGCTGGCTGGCACCATGAAGGGGAGCACTCCACACTGCAACATTTCATCACAGGTGAAATATTCACCTCAGCTGATTTTAAACCCAGGCGAAGGTGACAATTTTTACCAGATTAATTATTCACCCAAGGATGCTGGAGTGCTGAGCCCCAGGAAAACAGCATTGGCACATCTGGGAAACCCCCCAATAGTAGTGACGGTGCTTCAGAATATGGTCATCATTTTCTCATCACATGACAGTGAGCAATCCCTGAATTTCCAGTGGTCGAGGGTGCACAAAGCAGCCCGTATGCAACTGCCAGAATCAGCTTTCCCCCAACCTAGTGCACACCAGGTAATTCAGACTACAATTCCCATCAGCCCCTAGTTCCAGCATGATCAATGGCTCCTACTGACCATGGACATGTTGCTTTGAGCTGATAGGAGTTGTAGGCCAAAACTTTTGGAGATCCTCGCCAGGTTGGAGAAGGCTGGTTTAATTTCTTTCTGTCTTCCAGGACCAGTGGAATGAAGCTAATCATTCTAGGAACATGCCTTTTCCAGGCCTTCTAGTCTCTTTGTCTGCCTGGTCGGAGTGTGGGGCACCTTTCGCACTCCAGAGGTTGCTCAGCTGCTACTCCCACCATCCCTGACCCCACATCTGGTCTAGCCTCATTGGTTGTCTAATCTGAATGGCCAGGGCTCTCCAGGATCTGAAGCAGAATTCTTTTACATCACCAGCTACCTGCTGGTTTTTTTTAACAACAACACGGCTGAAGATGCCAGGAACAGAATCTAGGACATTCTCTGTGCAAAACACATCCCTCTCATGAACACAACAATATAACAATGGTTATATATCCAATAGCTGAGCGAAAAGCATTAAGTCACGGCTGGGGGACTTGTGCCCTCCATATGTTGTTGGACTCCATATGTTGTTCCATCTTCCCTGACCATTGGCTATGCTGGCTGGGAGCTGGTGGCCTCTAACCACAGCTTGGTTATCATTGCATCAAGTCGTTGCTGGGTAATAGTTCAGTACTTCTTCTTTCCTAGAGAATTCGGGAAATATCCCAGCCATGGGGAAAAGGGGTGTGGCTGGTGATAGTGCCATGGGCCATACAGAAAGGTTGCATTTCTACATTTCATCCTAATAGCTAAATAAGATCTTTCCTGTTGGATTGCCAACTTTTTATTGTATAAGAATTCACACCTTACCTTTAAAGCACATGGCTTTCCCCAAAGAATCCTGGGAGCTGTAATTTTGGTTGAAGGTGCTGCGAATTATATCACTGGGAGGGGAAAACTGTCGATTCCCCCTAAAGTTATTGGCATGTCTTCGCAGCAGTATCTGGCCATTTTCCTGAACTAGATTCTTCCATAGCATCTAGAGATCCTCGGAAAAAATGCACTTGACTGTTCTTTTAGAATAGAAGCAACCATCTCCCCTGTTGTTTATCCCCAGCATTTGGCATTCAGGGGTAGGTTACATCCGCACTTGAAGGTTTTACTTGTCAGGACAGCTAAATTAAACCTCTAGCTCCAGATGCAGTCTACCAGGTAACAGGGACAAACAGCATGGGAGAGCTGTTGCCTCTGTGCGCTGCTGGTGCAGTTGCCAGAAGTATCTGAATACCTGCTGTAGAAACAGAACTGAGTTAGAGAGCTAAACTAACGGGTCTTCTGATGAGCTCACCTAGAGAGCTCAGATTTCCTTCTACTTATGCCCTTGATTCACAGCACCAAGTATTAGGGGGACTGCAGCCCCCAAATTAGGTAAGGATTCTACCCAGTTCCATACCCTCCAACATTTCGCCAATGAAAATAGTTACATCCTATTTAATAATAGAAGGGACGTGGGTGGCGCTGTGGGTTAAACCACAGAGCCTAGGACTTGCCGATCCCGCCAACCTAGCAGTTCGAAAGCACGTCAAAGTGCAAGTAGATAAATAGGTACCACTCCGGTGGGAAGGTGAACGGCATTTCCGTGCGCTGCTCTGGTTCGCCAGAAGCAGCTTAGTCACGCTGGCCACATGACCCGGAAGCTGTACGCCGGCTCCCTCGGCCAATAAAGCGAGATGAGCGCCGCAACCCCAGAGTCGGCCACGACTGGACCTAATGGTCAGGGGTCCTTTTACCTTTACTTTATTTACGGTAATAGTAGTAGTAGTAGTAGTAGTAGTAATTATAATACCCCACCTTTCTGACTGGGTTGCCCCAGACACTTAGCACGGCTTCCAACATATATAAAAACATAATAAAACATTAAATATTTTTTAAAACTGCCTTCAAGGCTGCCTTCAGATGGCTCAAGGCGGTCAGATAACTCCATACCATCCAACATTTCTCTGATGAAAATAGGGATGTCCTAAGGAAAAGTGGGACATTCCTGGCTCAAATCAGAAACCAGGACAGCTTCTGTAAATCTGGGACTGTCCCTGGAAAAGAGGGATACTTGGAGAGTCTGCAGCTCCTGCCATGCCTCGGTTTGTCCAGTGTCCTTAAAAGAAGTGTTGTAATTTGCACTTCTTGGGTGGGAAAGTACATATAACTAGCCCACTTCAGATAGTGGCAGTGGTGCAATGCTTTAAATTATGGCAGCAGTGTCAGGAAGAGCAAACGGAGGCGTCTTATTTGTATTTGGCAAGTTCCCCAAGTTTTGAAATTCATGTTGCTACAATCCACTATGAAAGATAACATGGAGGTGGGGAGAGTTTTCTTTTGTTCCTAGACCCACAGCTCCTGGGCTTGGCTAGCTGTCTCGGGGCAGAAATGTTAATAAAAGAAACTCTACCTCGTAACGGCTCCCGGCATTGGGCAGCAAGTTCAGCGTAAAGCTGCTAATTTTGTCCCAGCTGTTACTTGGCTCCCTGCAAAACCCATCAGCGAAGAGAGAGATGGGAACGCAGGGCAGAAGTTCTTTAAGAGGTTAGAGAGGAGGCTGGCTAAAAATAGAGCTGCAGGCGCTCAGAGGTGATCAGTGTCTGCAGTCCTCTTGAGATGCAAGCACTGCACTGTGTACATAGGGCCACCCCAGTCATTGGGCAGATAGTGTAATGTTCTGCCTTGCTGGCGTCTATCATCATGCAGCCGTTGGGAGATTTTTTAAGACTGGCTAGCTTAGATTTTGAAACCTGGGTAAGGTCAAAGGGGGAGGCGGAGCCAATGGAGGCCAGGGGGGTGGAGTTTGGCAGACTCAGGTGGGAGAGGGTGCAGAGCTCGAATAGCCCAAACCTTATTACTGTGACTCGCACTGGCAGCTGCAGCAAACTCAAACGTCCCCTAATTCTAGCAGGGAGAGGTGCAGAGAATCAGATGCCACCGCAGCACAATCCGTTTCTTTGTTCTTTGGTTGCTCTCAAATATATTGCAAGTGGGTCTCTCATATATTAAAGATTTTCTTGATTTACAAAAGTGTTTGCAATGTCTCTCTCTTGTATTTCCCCCCCCCATGTAACATTTTTACAAATCAGTTTCATTTGTTGAGACATTAGGAAGAAAAGGGGGAAAGAGGGGGATGTGGAGGTGGAAAGATGGGTGGGGGTGGGGTCGGGTGGTGATGTTTCTATTTTACTTAATATATGTGGGGTTTTGTGTCAGTGTTGCTTGTGCAGGTTCTTTGCTGTTCGCTTGTGTTCCTTTGGTGGTGAGAGAGGTTGGGGTTGGCCTAGGGTGTGGTTATTCATTTGTGGTTGGCTGTGGTGGTCTTTGTTTTCATGTGGGTCTCTCATATATATAGAATTGATGGGGGGGTTGGGGGGGAGGCTGTTGTCCCTGTCCTATTTTATCCCTGATTTTGTATTGGATGATGCCGTATTAATATTGTGTTGAGCTCTTAAGAATTAGAATTACAGAACTGGAAGGTATCTTGGAGGTCATCTTGTCTAACCTGCTGATCAATGCAGTTTCCTTGAACTGTGATTATGCTTCTTGCCTATCTTGACTGAGGGATGGGGCATGGAAGCATCTGGATTTTGCACAGCTGGAATGGAGGCTGGTACAAAGATAAGAGTCCACTCCCCTGTGCCTCTTACCCTGCCCAACACTGTCATGGACTGGGAAAGTAGATTTTACAGCAGTCAACAGTTAGTCTGCTCCTCGCTCCTGGACTCCCACTGGCGACACTGACCTAGAGATAATTTCATTACAAAATTCACCACCGCCCCTCCTCAGTCATGGACCTCCTCTCTGTGTATTCAGTTTCTGCCCTATCAGAGAAATGGGCTCCCCCCACAGAAGGCTTAGAGGTGTGGCTTGTTCTGTTTGCATGGAAGAGTAAACAGGGTCATTTCATTCCAGATCTTTGTGGCATCTTGTGGGGCCAGTGAAATCTTCCATTTATTTTTCAGGGAAATCACTTGACCCTCTTCAAAACATGCACACAAGTCCCCCCAGCCCACTCTCACAGATGTGAGATCTTCCTGGGAATCATTGACCAACGTCAATAAAGATATCTCAGGAAATTGTTCTTTAAGTTGAGCAACAGACATACCTGGTTTTTCAGAGGCTCTTTGCAAGGCTGGTCCAGGACTAAGGATGGGGGCAATATCCAATTCAATTTGCATTTAAAATGAATTTACCTAATTTGCACTTTCTGAAATAATATGAAAAATGGAAACAAAGTCATCCTTCGAAATTCAGGCGTCTCTAAATTTTGCAATTCAGTTGTCCAGGCAAGTCAAGTAATGTGTTGAAAAACACATTTGCTAGTGTAAAGTGTGCGTATCAGTGCACATATTAGTGAAAATAATTTACCCAAATGAATTATGCTAGGGGATATTTCTTTACATAAATATGTAAAATTGCATACAACTTCCCTGTTTTCCATTAAACAATATTTTCACTCCCTCTCCCAACTTTTTAGCCAATCAGAAGGATTTCAATTCCCCCTTAGTTGCCAGGGTTCTAGGCTGAAGGGCAGAAAGGAAGTTCAGAAGAACAGCATCCCTTTAATATTTAAAACTTTCACCTGGACTAATGGTAGCTTCCTGTGTTTTGTTCCCAATTTCCAGCTGACAAGAGTTTTGCTATAAAATGTAGGTGTTAAGCAGTCTAAACTGGATTAGTCTTTGCTAGATGTGAAACATTTTCAGGATGCAGAGGCTACTGGGACCAATAAACAACCACGCCTCTTTCTCAGGGACTTGAGTTTCTCTCCATAAATCTGTGAACCTCTAATGTCCAAAGGACAGCTTCAGGCATTAACAGGTGGATGCACGGCTGGTTAGTGTCATTGGGTTCTTCTTTTTGATCTCCCGCCATCTAGGTTGGTGTCCCCCACTGCCTCTTGCAGGAGTGAGTGGCATAATTCAACTATGCACTGCAGGAAGAACTACTTTCTTTTATCTGTCATGAACCTTCCAACATTCGACTTCATTGGATATCTATGAGTTCTGGCATTATGAGAGCAAGCGAAAAACATTCCTCTATCCACTTTCTCCATGACATGCATAATTTTTGTAAGCTTCTGTCATGTCACCTTTTAATTGCCTTTTCTCTAAATTAAAAAGTCCCAAACGCTGCAACCATTCTTCACAGGGCAGTTGCTCTATCCCCTTAATCAATTTGGTTGCCCTTTTCCAAACCTTTCTTCTGAACCTAAAATATCCTTTTTGAGGCAAGGTGACCAGAACTGTACACTGTATCCCTTCCCTCATGATCTCTAGTATGGGATTTGCCTTTCTCACAGCTGCTGCACACCAGGCCAACGTCTTCATTGAGCTTTCAACTATGAGCCCAAGGTCCCACCATAAAACCTGGTGGTCTGTATTCAGTTTGGTGGGTCACACAAGCCCTGCAGACTTTTTACTCTCAGTGGATACAGATCAGAGAAGAGAGGGCTGCAGCTTTGAGACATGGGCAATGGGGCTGAGAGATTCCAGAGCCAACAGTAATAAGAGGAGGAGATGTTAAGAGTCTGTGGACGGCAGCCTGTGCTGGAAATAGCAAACAATTTTGTTGAGTGCTTTGAGTTTAACCCTCGGTTTTCTGGAAGTCAGGGGTGACAGGTGGGCTCATGTTGCCTGTTTAACTCCCTGGAAAGTGTGACTGTGTTTACACAACGATGTCTCCAATTTCTTTGTCCCAAAAGACACTGCCGGCTGCAGCAGAGGAGAAAAATAATATACATCCCTGGAAGTTGACTTCCCAGCCTTCGAACAAATTGTCCTCAGCCTTGTTTACAGACCTCTCTCTGGAGGGGTCACCCCTCCCCATGTGACAGCATGTCAGCCTTTAGGAAACACGACCCTCTTCCCAACTGATCCTGCCAGCCAATGCACATGTGACTCAGATGATATAAATAGAGCAGAGGAGCTGTCTCAGACAAAGTGCAGAAGCCCAAAGGTTTGCTTGAAGGGTCAGCGCACACAGTTCTAGAACCCAGAAGCAGACGGTGAGACCTTCCGCACGGAGCCTCTCTCCAGTCGCTTAGAAAAAGAAAGGATATAATTTGGACGCACCGAAGGGGGCAATGGATTACCAGTCAAGCATCATCCGGGACTCTAACCCCATGGAGAATCTGGAGAAACAGTTGATTTGCCCCATCTGCCTGGAGATGTTCTCCAAGCCTGTGGTGATCTTACCTTGCCAGCATAACCTCTGCAGGAAATGCGCCAACGACGTCTTCCAGGTCAGTAGGCGTCCTAGCATTGTCCAAGGTGTGTGTTGGGACGACGGGGGTGGGGAGGGAGTTGTGGGTGTGTTTTAGATGAGGGGGGAGCAGCGGGGAGTTATGCCACTTGAATGTATAGATCACCCCTGTGCAAAAGAAGAAGGGGGAAAGGGCAGAAGATCTGGGTTCATCCACAAACAATATCCCCAGTGTGGTGTACATATCTCAGGCTTGTGGATTCTGCTGGGAGGGGGGCAGTTACCAGAACCCTGAGGTCCCCCCTCCCACGTGGGTACAAACTAATAGCTTCACTAAGCTACAATTCCCAGCACCCTTAACAAACTACAGTTCCAAGGATTCTTTGGGGAAGCAATGAACTGTAAATGTGCTTCAAATGTACAGCCCACATGCTCCTATCCGTGCTTATTCAGAAGCAAGTCCCACTGATTTCAACAAGACTTCCTTCCAATAATGCTTGCCTAAGACAGCAGTCTTTGACAGCCCTCCTCACATGTTATTCATGTGCAAAACCTAAGTGTACAGAGCAGGGAAAAGGAGCCTCAGTCCCAGGGGCCAAATGCAACAGCCCTCCTCACATGTTATTCATGTGCAAAACCTAAGTGTACAGAGCAGGGAAAAGGAGCCTCAGTCCCAGGGGCCAATGCCTCTCCCTCTGGCCCTTGGACCTCTCCCAGGTCCCACCATTCTACAGCCACACCCCCTGTCCCCAGGCCACGCCCCTCACTGGCCCCCCTTTGCAGCCCCTTGGGCGCTTCTGCCTGGTTGGAATGTGCCCTTGAACTATGATATTGTTTCTTGCTTTCCTGGAGGGTGTGTGTGAGAGAGTGTGCATTAAAATGAGCCAACAGCAAAAATTCACCTGTGTTGCTCCACCCACTTTTGCCTCTGGTCCCGCCCACATCGGAACACTTGGCTGTGCTGGTATACCGATCACACGGAGCCTCTTCTAGAGAGCAGGAGCTCATGTGTTGGGCTTTTGTCTTCCACTAGATAAAGTTGTGAAGAGCCTACGTCACCCTGTCATCTTTGGGTGGGACTTTGTATCTTAAATTATAGACCTATATGTCAATAGCAACAGAATTTTCTATTCTTTTACAAGTGCCTGTCACTTATTACCATTCATTATATTCTAAAATGGTAAATGCATGAGCCGGAGGGATAGCTCAGTTGGTAGAGCATGAAAATTAATCTCAAGGTTGTGGGTTCGAGCCCCATGTTGGGCAAAAGATTCCTGCCTTGCAGGGGGTTGGACTAGATGACCCTCATGGTCCCTTCCAACTCTACAATTCTATGCTCCTCTAAAGCCATTTAAAATTTTAATACCCTGTTTGTTAGAAGCCGCCCAGAGTGGCTGGGGAGGCTAGGCCAGATGGGGTATAAGGAATAAATTATTATAAAAGTTTTCACAGTCCTAAGTGTCACATAGTAGTCTGGTTCATCCAATATGTACTTTCTTATTTATCCACTTATACAACGAAGAATGGTCTCCATCATAGTGTTATCTACCTACACATACTGAAAGGCCAAGGTGCCCCTTTAATATGAGTGTGGAAAAGATTTCCCCTGGCTCGAGAAAACCAAGCCCTTTCCCCAGAAGGACCCAAGGCTACCAGTCAGGTTGTCAAATGAAACGTTGCCATTTTCTAGTTGAAAATACATAAATAATCTCAACTCAACCTTGGTGCTACATGGCCTGGAATTTCCAGCAGGGAAATAGCTGCTTTAGTCCTTTGTGAAGTGGCCAAGGTGGTGCCTGCCAGGTGTTATGGACTACAACTCCCATCAGCCCCAGCCAACATGGTCAGGAAAGATGGGAGCTGTAGTCCAACAACATTTGGAGAGCACCATCTTGGCTAGTACACCTGCCTTAGACTTAAAACTTTATTATGGGATTCACTTTTATGAACTAAAGGAAGTGCACTTCCAATCCACAAAAGTTTATGCCATAATGAAACGGTTAGTCTTTAAGGTGTCACAATATGATTTGATGTTTCATAGAATGATCCAAGTTGGGCTCATCTCTGGCTACTTCCAAGCACAGTTCCGTGTTCTTATTTCATCCCTGAACAGAATGTTATGTTCTGAAATAAATCACCCTCTGCCCAATCACATTAATGAATGAATTGATTTATTGACTGAATAACTGGAACAACAAGATGAGCCAGCATTGAGCAAACTCATTAGCAGCGCTGTGCAAAAATGCAAAAAGGAAACGGAAAGGATATACTGTATCAAAGTACTTTAGTTGCAACATGAGTTAAATATAATGAAAATCGCGATAACTGTGAAATATCCTTCATTACTTTTGCCAGGGGTCTCATCCCCTTGAAAATTCAAATACAACCCCTTTCCAATTTCAGTTTGTGTGAAATGCGCCAAGACCACTTCCCAAGAGATCCAAGAGAAGCTGTGGCCAGGAGCCAGTTGATAAGAGTGCTGGGCCTTTAGGGGGCCTGTTTTACTTCTGACACCGCCTTTCCAAAGTGTGTTGATCGTTGTTGCCAAACCTCCAAGGCAACAAAACAAGGAGAGGCAGGAAGGAAAACCCAGGGGCAGAGGAGAAATTGGATTCTGTTTGCTGGGACAGGGGGATTAAAGTCTTCCAAAAGGTCTTACAGTTTGACAGCCAATTGCGGAGGGGAAGGCAGGGACTGAAGTGCTTGTTGAAACCCAAACCAGAGCTGTTGTTCCTTTATTATCACCAAGAGCTGCTTCTCGCAAGATGGCTTCCTGCGCAGGCATAATTTCCATCCAGGAAAACCCACATGGCCACTGGGTCATGTGACAAATACATGTGTGAATGTGTCACTTGTAGATAGTGTGAAGAAGCAGAGTTTTAGGGAAAGCCGGTCCACAGTTTTACCTAATGTGTTTTTGTGCATCGCAACAGTCAGATAAGGGCAGATTTCAGAGGATGCTGGTGTTTCAGGTCTCATGCTGCTTTGGAACGTGCAAATTTGATATATTATCTTTTAAATGGGAACTGAATTGAATTTCTCCCCCATCTCTGGCTGTCACAGAGTTCTTCCTTTATGATCATAAGACCCTTAGAACAGCCCTCCTAGATACTCTGAAGGCCTACCCTAGCCCTGCATTCTGCTCCCACAGCGGCCAACCAGATGCCTCCAGGAAGCTCACGAAGAGGGCAAGAAAGCAGTGACCCTTTCCTGTTCTTGCGCGGCAGTAAATGATATTCAGTGGCATACCAGCTCCAAAATCTGGAGGAGGATGAGCAGCCGTGGGTAGACTTACAGAATCCTCCTTCCCACCGGCATCCATTTTGTACTGCTGGCAGTTCATGGTACAGTCACAAGAAGCTATTGTAAAAAAAATAAAAAAATAAAAAAAATTCCAACACTGTTTCAGCTCCTCTTAAATAACAAAACCCTTCTTTCCCTTATAAGCCCCCACTTTGACTGAACCATCTCTAAATGCTCTGCTAAAGAGGACTGGAGCAAGTGGCCTGTTCCTATGAAGGGTTTCCAACCCATTCAGATCTGCTCATCAATAGGATGAAAATTAATCAAGGGCTGGAGCAGATTCTCTCACAGTCATTCTCTAATGGATGTGATTTGCAGCAGGCACAGGATGGACCAAAAGAAGGTACTTTACACCCCACACGCTTAGATGGGCTTTTAAAAAGGAATTAGATCAGGGATAAGGAACTGGGGAACTCCAGTTATTGTTGCACTCAAGCTCCCATCAGCCCCTGCTAGCATGGCCAATGGCCAGGGATGATGGGAGTTGTAGTACAGCAACATCTGGAGGGTACCATGTGTTGTCCATCTCTGGGTCATACAAATTCATGGAGCATAGACTTAAAATCAGTGGGTATTATCCGTGATAAAGTGTGGGGCACCTTTCACACTCCCGAGGTTGCTCAGCTGTTTTGGACCTTAGTCATATTCAGCAAAGCTATATTTGCATTCTTCAGTTCTTGTCTTTGTAAGTTAGGGATGGGGACGGAAATCTGTCACTTTCAGTTTCTCATGTTTCTAATCTTAAATTTGATTCACATTTCTGCAGCAATTTGCAATTGTTATTATTTTAATCCTCATGAAAAGTCTTCAGCATTTTAGTGTAGATCAGGCATAGGCAAACTCTGGCCCTCCAGATGTTTGGGACTACAATTCCCATCATCCCTGACCACTGGTCCTATTAGCTAGGGATGGTGGGAATTGTAGTCCCAAACATCTGGATGGCTAGAGTTTGCCTATGCCTGGTGTAGATCTCTCCTTATATACACATTTTTTGCAGCTTTGACATGTGCTCATTTTTGCAAGCAATTTCTCCTAGTATAATGCATTTTTGTATGTTTTCTTCACCAATACATTCATTTTTATGCACATTTCCCCCTTATATATGCATTTTTGTTACATTGGCTGTTGAACTGCATCAGAAAATTTGGAGGTGTGAGTTTTGAAGGATGGCTGTGTTTTGGTTCTCACACATTTTCAGAAAGTGCAAATTGTGATGAATTCAGCTTTAAATGTGAGCCGAATCAAACTTCTCCTGCATTACTAGTTAAAGCAAGAATGGTGAACCAGTAGACCTCCAGGTGTTATTCAGCTACAACACAGGTGGGGAAATCTCAGCATCAGGAAGACATAGGTTCTCCACTCTAGATCTAAAAAGACCTGTTAAATAGATAACATGCAACTATGTAATTGAAAACCTAGCTGTGGCCACTGATCTCCAGCTCCAATAGAAAGGTTGTTGTTGCAACAGTTATAAAAAGGGTCTTCTGGTTGGATCATCCACTTGGTTTGTTGAGCTTGGCCAGTTTTCCAATGTCATGCTCTGATACAAGTGCAAAGCATGATGGGGTTTTCCCATCCCATAAGGACAACTATGAATCATTCTTACAAGCGTCACCAGATAACTGTGATGATACTTGAATAGCTGAGCCCTCAGGTCATCTTTTCCAGGCCAAACGATGGTAGGATTGGTTGTTTTGTGGGTTCCTTTGCAAAAAAAAAATTTTTTTTAAGCTTACTGAACTTTGCCCTTACATTGTTGATGGCACTTGCAGGCTGCTAACCCATACTGGCAAACGGCCCGGGGGACTACCATATCAGGGGGACGGTTCCGCTGCCCCTCCTGCCGCCACGAAGTCATCCTGGACCGCCATGGAGTCTATGGCCTGCAGAGGAATCTACTGGTGGAGAACATCATTGATATCTACAAGCAGGAATATACCAGGTTTGTATCACAGCTGCCTTCCTCTTGTTTGCCATAGCTCAAGGGGGAAGTCATAGCTCAGAGGTAGAGCATCTGCTTTGCAAGCAGAAGATTCCACATTCGATCCTCAGCATCTTCAGGTAAGCCCGGGAGACGCCTCATCCAAAACCCTGGAAAGCTACTGCCAACCAGTAGACAATACTGAGAGAGATGGGATAAAGGTAGCTTCCTATGCTTTGAGGGAGAAGCACGGCTGTCACTCATATTTGGGAAGGATCCGTTTGTTAGAAAGCGGGCAGAAAAAAGCAGACCAGTCCAGGAACACTGGGAGGACTATAGGAACCCAGCACACATGCACGGATCCATTTCCATTAGAGGAAGTGGAATTTGGGTGGATTAGAGAGGTATCTGAATATAGTAGGGGAGGCGCTGATGATGCTTTGTGGGGGAGCGGGGTGTCATTAAGTCCTGCCCAGAGTGAAGAAATAGCATTGGCTTCCCAAAATAAAATCAACAGCTCTGCAGAGCCAGAGCTAGCTTCTTGGACACTTTGGCACGCACAGAAGCAAGGTCTAAACATAACCTCAGTGTGGAGGTTAATATTAGAGAGGAGGTGGGAGTCAGTCCAATTCCTACTGTACAAAGAGATGGCCAGGGTCTCGTCTCCATTACCTTCATGTCAAATCCATCCCCCATTATATTCTTGTAGAGAAGCTGGTAAATGTGGACTGGATGAGGTAACAGTTAAGTAGATTTGTAGCTGATTGACAAACCCAGAGAGTGCTCAGTGACGGTTCCTCGTCACCCTGGGAAAAGGTGACAGGTGGGGTGCCACAGGGTTCTGTCCTGGGTCCGCTGTTGTTCAACGTCTTTATAAATGACTTGGAAGAAGGAATTGAGAGGATGCTCATCAATTTTGCAGATGAGCAAACCAGTGTGAACTGAACACACGACTATCCTTTGAAATCTGCACTTCTCCAAATTTTGTGATGCAGTTCCCCATTCAAAAAGCATGCCAAAAATGAATAGATGAGTGAAAATGATGTACAAAACTACATTATATGGGGGAGGGGGAAGCTTGCAAAATGCATATATTAGGCAAGATGTGTACAAAGATGTATAGCTTAGAAGAAATGCGCACACACAAAATTTGTGTGGACTTTTTAAAAGGAAAAATTGCTAGTTGATGTGGAATTGGAATAGGGAAATGAGAAGCAGAGAAAGACAGAAATTGACAGATTTGTGCAGCTCTGTTGTAGCAGTTGGTTGCTTGCTGATGAAGGAGAAACACACCTGAGCCACTGTTCCCATTTAACCAAACTCACATGTGAACTCTGGCTTTATTCCCATAAATAAAAAGATGCCATTAAGATGAGAAAAGAGGAGGGAATATGTGTGCTTGTCTTTAAACAAAAGTCCATTATCTCCAGGACTAAGAGTCTCATCTATCCAACTGGCTTCTTTTGTGTTTTCTCCAGCCGACCCCTGAAGAAGGGAAACCACCCAATGTGCAAGGAACACGAAGATGAGAAGATCAACATCTATTGCTTAACTTGTGAGGTGCCCACCTGCTCCATGTGCAAAGTCTTTGGGGCTCACAAAGACTGCGAAGTGGCGCCCCTTCAAAGTGTCTTTCAGGGCCAAAAGGTACCAGCTGTTGCTTTCAATGGCTTCACACTCGTTTTCAAACTTTTTTTTTTCAACTTTCTGCCTCCAGAAAACGCTTCCCCCCATTGGCTGACCTGCAGGGGGACTCCAAAACCCTTGCCCTGGAAACTCTCAAGTCATTGAACCTCAGATCTAGGGGCCAAACATGGCCCTCCAGTCGTCTCCTTTGGGACTCTCCCTAGGCTACCTCTATCTTTTGCACCTCTATCCAATTGCCAAAAAAAGGGACCCTGCTTCTTTCACAATGTAAATAAATATATAACCCTACTGAAACCTCCCACGCATGGCTGGCTTGTTGGTGGTAGGGCATAAGCTGTCTTTCAAGGAAGCTGTTGTTCACTATTACTGATCTTCTCATTGAGGAATCCTTGATAAGCTTCAGAGGAATCTCAGGGGGTAGTTAGATCATTTTTTATTCCAGAGTTAATTGTCTTATTGATGAGGAGTGGACTTTTAAGATGGCAGTGGACATTATTTCATGTGTGGCAAGCCAGACCTGCTATGTTTTGGTACCCACCTTCCAAATGGGGTCCTGGATTTCTGCCCCAAACTCTACGTGGATGGCACCAGTATTGGACACTACCACATTAGAGCAAAAAGGGGACCCATTAGGAAACCTTGGTGCATTGCACAAGGACAAAAGGGTTCAGTCCCTTGACCTTAGCGGGGTTCACATCTCATTGCTTGGCATGCAGATAGAGCAGGAGGGAGCATCTCCCATTTGGGTTGAGAGATGATTGGAGACATTAGGATGTGCTGCGCTGTGCCTTTCAGGAATAGCCTTTGACTGCTAACACAGCTGGTATGGATATACACAGATGACTGCAGTCCCCAAGCAGCCACCAGCAGATTATATTTAGAGTCACTTGAGAGCCGTGAGGCGGTGGTGGACCCCTCGGAAAGGCGTTCAGTCCCAAGGGAGCAGCTGTGAGCAGGGTTGGGTGGCTGGAGGTCTTTTCCCTGGGCTTCTTGGATGGGTGCCATGGAGACTGCATGAATTCTCTCACAGGAGTCAAACAAATCAACCACTGGGTCCCTTCCCCACTGCAAGCACAGCGAAGGGCCATAGCTCAATGGTAGAGCATCTCTTTGGCATGCAGAAGGACCCAGGCTCATTCCCCAGCGTTGAGAGTAGAACCCATGTGTGGAAGTTGCAACTATAAAATAAATAAACCTGCCATGCAGGGATAAGTGGATCACCTAATGGCTTCGTCACCATTCACAGCTCACGGTGCAACTCATCCTTCTCACCACAAAGCTAGGTTGAGCTTTGGCGTAGCAAACCAATGTCAGTTGCACTGTTTGAGTCATGATAGGGACAAAACAACTGCCCCAAGGCCCACTCACCCAACCAACCCAGGCCAAGCTGTGCATGGCACATTGTCCATGTGAGAGCCACAGTTCAGACAGCCTTTTGGATCCTTGGAAGGGGGGGGGTTGCCTAGCGGCCAGGTGACAAAAAGACCATCTGTGCTGGCTTCTGCTTGGTGAAAAGCCCATTGTCTCCCAGGGGCTGAAAGGATCATGTGAAGGTGCCTTCAGAAGCCATCAGGTCTACAAGATATTGAATTTGCAAGGAGCACGAGGAGAGGGATTTGCACAAGCAACCACTGAGCTGAGGTTTTCTTAGCAACAATCTCTGTTTCCTTAAGAAGCCCTGCCTCATTCTATCAGAGACAAGGGGTCTTGGGCTGTGGTGTGCTGGGGCAAATGGCACCTTGCTGAGTTAATAATGATAATGATAAACGTTTTCTGCACTGTACAACCCCCCTCAAGTCCCTGCCACCAGTTTACAGCCTAACGAGACATGACACGAAAGGGAAAGGGGATAGAGGAGAAAGGGAAACAAGCCAATCTAGGCTGGAGCTGTTTGTATTACAAGACACACACCCCAGCCCTGTCCGAACCCAAATTAGAGGGTTCCTCTTTATCTCCTCTATTAGGAGCTTTCATTTATTCCCATAGCCATCCCTTCTTTCACTATTATCCAGAGAAACAGCATGGCATGCCCTTTCTCTCGAAGGAGAAGGGGCATGCAGGATTCCAATCTATTTTTGTTGCCTTCTCTCACACACAGACGGAGCTGACCAACTGCATCTCTATGTTGGTGGCAGGCAATGACAGAATACAGACGATCATCAACCAGCTGGAAGAGTCGTGCAAAGCCACTGAGGTGAGGAATGCAACAAATGACTGAGCCCTTGGAAATCTGAGCGGCGGAAGGGAAACACAACTCTGAGATGGCTGGTGCAGGTGTTGACAGGGCGAGGGGTGGGGGAGGAGAAAGATGTCTGCTTTTCTCTGAAGTTCACTGGCTTCCCTCTTTTTCCAAATCTGGGCAGCTAAATCAGGGGAGAAGTCTACTACTCCATTTAGACAAAGCAGTCGCTGCAAACCCACCATGTTCCTCACCCTCACTTGTTTCCTCTCAATCCCTGGCAGGAGAATGGCCGGCAGGTCAAGCAGGACTTGTGTGAGAAGTTTGAAGCCCTCATTGCCACTGTAGAGGAGAGGCGGAGTTGGCTGCTGGAGCGCATCTCCAAGGCACAAGAAGAGAAAGTTGGCTTCATGCAGAACCTCATCCAGCAGTACAAAGACCAGCTGGAGCAGTCGAGCAAGCTGGTGGAGAGCGCCATCCAGTCCATGGAGGAAGAGGCAGGAGCTGCTTTTCTCATGGTGAGGCAAACTTATGGGCAATTATGGGGAGCCTGTGGACCACCAGGTGTTGGTTGGACCACAACTCCCATCATAACTAGCTATTGGGGTTGCTGGTGGGAGCCCAGCGACATCTTGACAGCTATAGGTTCTCCAGCCCTGTGCTAAGGAAGTGGAGTGGGTGGCCAACTCCTCTTTGTCTTCTGGCTGGAGACCAAGACCAGATTGCCCTCCTGCTCACTTCCATAGCTGCAAGAAACTCAGTGCAGCAGGCCTTGACAATTGTAATCATAACTGCAAGATTTTCTTTGATGACCATTGTGGGTCCATCACTGGCAGTAGAGAAGGATGGCTGCCTGCACCTCAGGAACCTTTAGCTCTGCCGAGACACTGCTTTTCTACTGGAAGTAGAATTTAAAAGGCTGGTTCCACATGGGGCAACATATCATTCCATCCATGTCCAGCAACAGCCATCCTCCTGGCCTCGATCAGGGGTGGGGGAACGCCGCCGGCCAACTTTGACAGATGGGCCGGGCAACCCAGCTGTCAGTCAGATGACACCATTGTGATGGCAGATGACTCACAAAGCAGGTTGCCCTGCCCACCTGCCAAAATCCCTTGCGCAGGGTTCTCAAGATGGCTACCTGTTGCTGGAGGTGCAGCAGCAGCCACATAGAACAGCTCACAGAGCCATTTGCAAGTCTCCTCAAGGGTGGAAAGGAGCAGCACAGGGGGCCTTCAAAGAGCACTGCTGGGAGCAAAAAACTATTTACATGAAATGGAAACTGCTTTCCCCGCCTTGAGCAAGCCATCCCCCTGCCACCTATCAGCTGATGGGTTATTGGGAGCCCTCCTTACTTCAGCAAAGGAACAAGTGGGAGCCCATTTTAGTCTCCTGATCGTTCCTTTGTAGCCTCACCCTTCCCTGCTCCACACTGTGCCACCCTCTTCGCTGCATTTCCCTCCTTCTTCCAGGAAGCAGCAGCGACTCACCTGCCAGGCCAGGTAAATGTCTCCACCCCACCATCTACTATTAAATTCTGCTGAGTGCTAGCACCAATCACAATTGAGGGAGAGTGTGACTCTACCCAAAATAAGTCCAAGGGAGACTTTGCATATCCTTTTTCAACTCTCCACCTGCTGCTTTAGGAGACCCAACTGGTTTCTGCTTTCCTTCACTGTGCAGCTCTGCTTGTCACGAGACAGGTGTTTACATTCCACAGTCTGTACTGTTGGAGTTTCTCACGGGAAAGGGAGACTGGATGTGACGTACACTGGTTTCCTGTTTTTCACTGTGTGATTCTCTCCGAGCTGTCGAGGAGAGAGGATGCATTTTCTGCTCCGGCAGAGGCAAGATGTCTTTCTGTAATATACCAGCTTTGAACTGTAAATAAAGCAATATAGAGTATGCAGCACGTATTCCTCATCCTTCCGCTGGGCACCAGACTCTGCTTTAATCAACACGTGGTTATGGACTCCAGAAGTCGAATCGGAGTGCCGGCAAAGGATCGGAATGCAGAGGGACAGATCGGAACGGAATCTGCTCTGCGCGTAGAAGTGATTGATGAGGTATGTGCTACTGCTCCGGGCAGCCTGCCAGCTTCAAGTTAATGGCTTTATGGCTGGACTTTGAACTTTTAAAGCCGGTTTTGCCGGGAATAGGCAAAAGGCTCCCAGGCACAAGTCACTATGCTGGGGAAATCGAAAGTAACTTTAAGTGTGCCTTTGTAATAAGGCAGCTGCAGCAGTGACGCAGCAAGATTTAAAGCAGCATATATATGACGCTGAAGGCTAATGCCAGAGTCATGATGGCCCTTCAGGATGCTTGTGGGATTCCTAAGCTCAACAAGAAAAATTACAGCGACTGGGTTCAGTATGCAGAGGCAATTCTGCGGAAAGAGGGTTTGTTTGAGGTGATTACAGAAACCCCCCCAGTTCCAGTTACAGATGCATGGGAAGCTAAGGATTCCAAAGCAAGGGGAACTCTTACATTGATAGTATCCCCAGAAGAGCTCTGTCTATTGCGTGATAAGACCTCAGCCAAAGAAATTTGGGACGCTTTGAGAGAGGCTCACTTAAGGACAGAAGCTGGATCCACTATGTTTTACTTTAACAAGCTGCACAATATGGCTCTTGCTGAAGGTGGAGATGTGCGTTTACATCTGATGGAGATGCAAAATCTGAGACATGAGCTGCAACAGAGAGGACTCAACTTTCCAGAGGCTGTGTATTCTTTCATGATACTACAATCTTTGGGTTCAGGTTGGGAGTCTGTTGCAACCCAGATTGCTGTGCAACCAACTGCTCAGCTGACAGTGGACTTTGTTACTGCCGTGATTTTAAATGAAGCAGATCGCCGGGGTGCTAGCTGCATGGGCAAGGGGAGTCTTCACAGACGTCATCCCATAGTGCAGTGGAACCACCAGATGGCGCCAAAGCTTTGAAGGCAGTGAAATGCTACTCGTGTGGACGTCTAGGCCATATGAAGAGGGAATGCAGACATCCCAGGGCCAAGACAGAGCAGCGCAGCGAAAGCTCATCGCGCGGAAAAGGCCGAGGCAAAGGCAAAGGTCCGGTGTCTAGGACAACGCAGCACAAGGCTATGGTTTCACGCTTCACTCCAAAGGTTGCAGAGGTCCAGAAGACGTCTAGATCTTTCTTCGTTGTTGATTCAGCGGCCACCCACCACATGTGCAACGATAAGAGACTGTTTGTGTCTTTTACACCGCAGGAAGGTGCGATTCACCAGGCGGATGACCACACTATTCCCAGTAAAGGCTACGGAACTGTTGTTCTTCACAGTTTGGACTTATCGATACAGAATGTGCTTTACGTGCCAGACGCCAAACATAATCTGCTCAGCGTTGGACAGCTGAATGAGCGGAACATTGACGTTTCCTTCAAGAACAAGAAGTGCATCATCACAAAGAAAAATGATTATGTATTGCATGCAGAATATGTTGATCGTTTGTTTGTTTTGTATTATGATGATGTGGTGCAGGATGACACTTGTTGCATTGCAGGTTCTAACAAAAGTTTGCATGCAGAATGTATTCACGATTTTCATAGAAAATTTGGTCATTTGCATTTTGAGGCAGTATCTAAAATGCCTGCCTTGGTTGAAGGTATGACTATTAAACCCTGCAGGTACCACATGAAGTGCAAAGCATGCGCAGCAAACAAAGTGAAAATGGCTGCGAAAGGTAAGGTGTCTAGTAGGAAAGCTACAGAACCATACCAGGTTGTTCATGCTGATTTGGTTGGACCACTAGCGCCCTCTTTGGGTGGAAATAGATACTTCATGGTTCTCATTGATGCATTTTCTAGATATATTTTTGTGTACAATCTCAAGCAGAAATCGGAGGCTTTTCCTAGGTTCAAGGAATTCTGTGCTTGGTTGGAAAATGTGCATGGTAAGAAGATAAAGACTCTTTTCAGTGATCGCGGGGGAATTCACTTCTCAGCAGTTTGAAGCTTTTCTGACTGAGAAAGGAATTCAACACGATTTGTCTAGTCCTCGCTCGCCATGGCAGAATGGACTTGCGGAACGGGCAAATCAGACATTGCTTCAAGGGTTAAAAACCTTGCTGCATGATGCCAATCTTCCAGAGAGTTATTGGGCCGAATCTCTCTCGTGTTTTGTTTACAGTTACAATCGCAGGTTATCTTCAGCGCTTGGTTGTACCTCTATGAGAAGATGTTTGGCAAGAAGCCATACATCAAACACATGAAGATTTTTGGTTCTGACATGTGGGTTCGCTCACCACAAAACTCCAAGTTAGACAAGCGTGGATTGCATGGTATCTTTCTAGGTTATCAGAAAGGGTCTTACAGAATAATGATGACTGACTCTAAGACAATTAAGCTCACGAGAAGTGTCGAGTACCATGCAAAGTGGGGGAGAATGTGGGAATTTTCCAATGTTATCCTGATGACGGTGATGAGACTGAGGATAGTCAAAGCAACCACAACAGCCCACACCCACTGATGAAGGTTCTGAGTCTGAATCTGAAACTGAATCGGGTGATTCAGAGGATTTCGAGAGTGCGAAAGCCTCTATGCGACCCTCTGAAAGCTCTGATCAAGAATTGGAGGAACCATTGTTCACAATAGGTCGTTTTCTCCTAAGAAGGAAGAGGAGAGTGTTGAAGACTTAAGGCTAATTCGTAGGTCACAGAGAGCCACAAAAGGCAAACCTCCAAAGAGATTTGCTGATGAGTTTGCTACGATAGCAGTAACAGCTGTTAAAAGCTCCAAGAAGGTATTCGAACCTTCAAATTTCCAAGAAATCCAGGGTTTGGATTCGAAGGAAGCTGAGCCATGGTTAAATGCCATGAAGGCTGAGCTTGATTCCTTAGAAAGGAACAAAACATGGGAGCTAGTTCCAGTAGTTCCAGGAATGAAACTGCTTGGAAGCAAATGGGTCTTCAAAGCGAAGACAGATCAGAATGGCAAGATAGTCAGACACAAAGCCAGATTGGTAGCCAGAGGTTTTGCACAGGTACCAGGTCAAGACTATCACGAGACCTATTCACCCACAGTGAGATATGAAAGCATTAGGCTTATGCTTAAGCTAGCTGCAGAGGAAAATCTACACATTAGTCACCATGATATTAATACAGCTTTTCTGTACGGATCTCTAGATGAATCACTTTATATGCTTCCACCTGATGGCGTACAGGTAAAACAGGGATTTGTTTGTGCTCTGAAGAAATCCCTTTATGGTCTCAAACAAAGTGCACGGTGTTGGCACACGAAACTCACTGAAGTATTGTTTTCTCTAGGTTTTCAGCAAGGGAAAGCTGATCCATGTGTATTTGTCAAAGAGGAGGGGCAAAAGAAACTGTACTGTTTGTTTTATGTTGATGATTTATTATTCTTTTGGAAAGATGTTGCAATGTACAATAGCGCCCTAGCTCAACTGAAAGAGCACTTTGACATGAAAGATCTTGGTGAGGTAAACAACTACCTATCTCTGGAAATAGAGAGAGATCAAGATGGTAACATTCTAGTACACCAGTCACGGAAAATTGCTGATGTGTTAAGCAAACTAAATCTGATGGATGCTAACCCTGTAGACACACCGATGACAACAGGTTATCAGGTAGATGACACTGAAGAAGCATTTTCTGACACTACACTGTACAGGAGTGTGCTAGGCAAGCTAAACTTCATTGCCAGATGTTCAAGACCAGACATTGCTGTTAGCTGTAATTTGCTAAGCAGACAAGTCAACAATCCTAGTGTCAAGCATTGGAAAGCTCTGAAACGCATAGCGCGGTATTTGAAAGGCACTATGCATTACAGACTGAGATTTAACAATCAAAAGTCTGGTGGTCTTGAGATATTTGCAGATGCAAGTTTTGGAAGTGACGCTACAGACAGGAAAAGTACGTCTGGAGTTTGCTACATGTACAATCAGAGTCTGTTTGATTGGTCATGCAAGAAGCAAACAACAGTTAGCTTAAGTACTTGTGAAGCCGAACTCAATGCACTGTCTTATTCACTTAAGGATTGTGAATGGTTAGTACAATTGTGCAAAGATATGAAAATTCCTGTCAAATGTCCAATCCAGGTTTACCAGGACAACAAAGCATGTTTGGCTTTGCTGAAGTCTGAAGGTTGTAAGCAAAGCACAAAGCACTTGCAATTAAAGTTGCAGCATGCTAGGGAATGTATTCAGAAGGGACTCGTAACGGTGTCCTATATGCCAGGTAATGAAATTCCTGCTGATGTATTGTCCAAGATTGTATCGAGGGATCAACACTGTACCTATGTGCAGAAGTTGGGTTTGTACTGATATTGTACAAACACGCTGCCCAGTGATGTTCACAGAAAGGGGAGGATGTTGGTTTCTGCTTTCCTTCACTGTGCAGCTCTGCTTGTCACGAGACAGGTGTTTACATTCCACAGTCTGTACTGTTGGAGTTTCTCACGGGAAAGGGAGACTGGATGTGACGTACACTGGTTTCCTGTTTTTCACTGTGTGATTCTCTCCGAGCTGTCGAGGAGAGAGGATGCATTTTTCTGCTCCGGCAGAGGCAAGATGTCTTTCTGTAATATACCAGCTTTGAACTGTAAATAAAGCAATATAGAGTATGCAGCACGTATTCCTCATCCTTCCGCTGGGCACCAGACTCTGCTTTAATCAACACTGGCCTCTAGATCAAAATATTTGAAAAGAATCACTTAGCATATGTCAAATGCCATATAAATGCTATCTCAGTAGTTCCGACAACAACCCTGGAAGGTAGGCCACTATGAGACTAAAGGAGAGACACAAGTTCTAATCCCCCTTCAGCCAGAAAACTCATTAGGTGACCTTGGGCCAGCCACTATCACTCAGCCTAACCTACCTCATAAGGTTGTTGTGAGGATGAAATAGGAAGGGGAAACCATGTATGTTGCCTTGGATCTCTGGAGGAAGGGCAGATGATCAAAGCAGGTCAAACTTTTAAGATACTGCCACTAAGGGGGGCACAGTTTTAAAGTGAAATGTCTTTCTCCACTAATGATCACTCTCTGTTTTTTTTCCCCTCCCCTCCCTGTTTCTTCCTCATTCCAGTCTGCCAAGCAGCTCATTAAAACGTAAGTCCTGGAACACTATTTTCTAAATTGCAGCTTCTGTGTGCAAATTCTTCTGTATGCTGTTCTTCTCAATGAATACAGGATCCTAATGAGAAGCTCTCTCTGATTGAAAGCTTAAAAACAAGGCTCCTTTTCAGAGCTGACCAGCTTAGAAGGGGTGGGCTGTTTTTTGTTTCTTTGCTGAGTTGTAATACTCCTGCTTGCAGAAATTGAGAGGCAGAATAAAGATCATAAAGTATGCTTGGTTCGGTTTGCATTAAAGGTGAACCTTCCATATCCCCACTTCCTCTTGTTCCTCTTCTTCCACACACCCCACTCCAGAAAACTTCTCTTTAGTGCTCTATCAGAGCAAACAGCAATTTGGGTTTTCTCTGGATTGATGTTTGCTCTGATTTAACACTAAAGAGTGGGTTTTCCCTGTGAATGGAGCAGGGTAAAGGGAAAAAAAAGGCTCAAACCCATGCCTAGAAGGTGCGGGTCAAGTGGGAAACTGCTTGGACCCCTGCTTTTTAGGCACAAAACAATCGGAAGTGTGGATCAACCCAATAGGTGAACCAAACCAAAGCCATCCATTGAAATAAATTTCAGGATGAGTTATAACCAAAATTAAAACAACACAATGGGTTAATGAAGTTCTGGGATAACTCATCTGGGAATAAGCCCCACTGAGCATACCTGTAGGACTTACTTGTGAGTGAATTACACTGCACAGGTGCAGTCCTCTACCAACTTACCTGGGGGTAAGTCCCATTGAATTGAGTGGGGATTAACTCTGAGTAGACATGTATATGATAGCATTGGGAAATGCACTAAGAGCAGGAAGAAAAAAACATCTCTTTCCATCCTGTTTTCTCCGTAGAATTATCGAGGCATCGAAGGGTGCTCAATTGGAGAAGATTGAGCCAGGTTTTGAAAACATGGATTATTTTACCATAGACCTGGAAAACATTGCAGAAGCCTTGAGAAGCCTTGACTTTGAGGCAGGTATGGTAAATATGGCACCTTTTCAGTGTTCTTGTCATTTAAAGAATCTTTCCTCTCCAATTAAAATTAACAACAACGACTTCCAAAGTAACTTATAGATCAATAAAACCAAGACCAAGTCCCTACCCCCAGAATTCCAAAGATACAACAGAAATGGAAACTGGATGAGTCAGTCACCAATACAAAACATCGTTACAAGTCATCTCTCAAGCTATACTAAGTACTACTGCATGCCAGCTGTCAAACACCGTCTATCAAATACTGACACCAAATTTCCTTCAGGGTTTCCTTGAAGGGGTCACATGCAGTTATCAGATATATGGTGCATGCCCAGTAAATATTGAAGATATGTCAAGTGTTCTCCTGAGCAAACATTCATAATGGAAAATTTGGCAGAGAAAATTCCTCTTGTGTCTCAATTGCCTCTCCCACCTGCTCTGTGGCTAAGGTCCATTGCTCCCTACTAAGGACAGCTGCATCACCTTGTTTTCTGTTATTAGAGAGGTTGAACAGACTAATGAAACTGCCTCTACCTGAAAGCTACTTGCAAAACAAAGATAAAGGATTATTAGCACAGTTAGAAATAATAACTAATATTTTCAAATACTGCCCCTTTAGGCACAAAAGGTTTTCAGAGAACCCCATGCATTGTTCCTTATGAAGAAGAGATCACAGCTCAGTGGTAGAGCAGGTGCAAAATATTCAGAGCGTCCCAGGTTCAGTCCCCAGCATCTTTGGGTAGGACTGGAAGAGACTTCAACCTGAAACCCTAGCGAGCCCCTGCCAGTCAGTGTAGACGATACTAACTGGGCAGACCAACAGTCTGATCTGGTCTAAGTCATCCTTCTGTGTTCCTTTGAAAGGATGGTTGCAGTGAGCAAACTGCTTTCCTCCCAGTGTTTTCTGCGAGGGACCATAGGTCAGGGGCAGAGCACAGATTTTTCCAGAAGGTCTCCAGTTTGGTTCTTGGCATCTCTTGTTTAAAAGGGATCTGGTAGCAGGAAGTGGAAAGACCGTAGTAGCCTCAGCCACTGCCATTCATCAGAGTAGACAATAGGGGAGCTAATTGTTGGCTGTGCACACACCATACATTTAAAGCACACACATTCCTAAAGAATCATGGGAAATGTAGTCTGTTAAGGGTGTCTGTGAGGGGTGAACTACAATTCCCCTGATTATTTTGGGCTGATGGTGTACTCTAAATGTATGTGGTGCGTTTGCAAGATCCTTCCTAGCTGAAGTCCTGGCATCAAATGTCAGTGGATGGTTCCTTGGTAGAAAAGGTGGTTCTAAATCTCCTGCATTGTTTATCTCTCCGCGCCCCCCCCCCCTTTTAAGATGAGGAAGATGAAGAGGTGAATGAGGAAGAAGAAACAGAAGAGGGAGACCCACAAGATGAGAAGGTGGATGGTACGTGCATAACTGGAGCAAGCCTGAGCAAGTGAAAGAGAAATGTGGCTGTTGAGAAACTCTCTTAACTTTGGCTGCTCAGTTTCCACGTTCTTGCTGAGGACTGGTGTTTGCGTGGCACCTTGAATAATGGCAGTGCTATTTTCATTTCAATACCGTGAGGGGAAAAATGGCTGCCACTGATGGAGGCAAGGAGATTCACAGTGCAATGGCACCCTGTCACTGGAATGCTGTTCTCAGCAAAGAACACAGGCTAGAGGAAAGAGAGGCCCCATCTGAACTATACATTTAAAGCAGTGTCATACCACTTTAAACAGCCATGACTTCCCCCAAAGAATCCTGGGAACTCTTTGAGAGCTGCAATTCCCAGAGTTCCCTTGGACGAGAGACTGATGACCAACCCCCTTCCCAGGGCACTTTGGGAATTGCTCTGGGAGGGGAATAGTGCTCTGTGTAACTTGGGGTGAACTACAGTTCCCAGAATTCTTTGTGTCAGTCAGTCAGCCAGTCAGTTTTATTGCACGTAGCCAAAGGCTGCTGCAATGTACACAGAATTATTCAACAATTAAAAGAAAATATACTGGATTGATAATACAAAAATATTATCAAGACATTACCTATTCTAAACAGAGCTATAAAAGTACCTTAACATACAAGTTAAGACATTAAACAATAACATTTATAAGCTAAAATTATCACATGGCCACTAATATGTTAATTAATACAATGTGCAATTATATTCAGAGTTTGGTGATAAAGATGAATTCTTTGTGGAGAGCTAAGTGGTATAAATGAGCTTTAAATGTACAGTGTGGATGGAGAAACATTCTTCCCTGTTACAAGGCAACTGCCTCCAGCTGTTGGCCATGTTAGTTGGGGCTGATGGGTTTTGGGGTCCAATAACAATTGGAGGGTCCACACATTCCCCATTCTTTCCTTGTGTACTAAACTGGTTTCACTTACATGTCGTTTCCACCTTTGTTTGTTTCAGGTCCTCAGTAACGAAGGAGGAGGGGAAAATGGATTCCAGAGGGGAAGGAGAAATTCTGCCTGTATGGACTGGGAAGACTTGGGGAGGGGGAGGAAGAGGGGTGTAGTGGGGTGGGACGCCCAAACTGAATGCCCAACAAGCAATGAGGAAAAGGAGCAGGACGCAGTTCAGCTGAAGAAGAGCCATTTGGGATGTGGAATTCTTGGCAGTCCAGAAAGAATACTTGCACAAGGACACTTTTATACACGGGTGCAAAAAGGAACCTTTCATACATTTTATATGTTGTTGGTGTGTGTGTTTTTGTACATAATTGTCATGCACTTGAATTTTTTTTGTAAAGAAAAAAAGATAAGCTTTTTCTCCCCTCAGGTTTTTTTTGGGGGGGGGAGGGAGCATTCAGAGCACCCTTCCACAGACCGAAGGATGCCAATTCTGGGAATTAGTTAGAGTTTCTTTGCACTGCTTAGACTGTTAGGAAAAATGGAAAAGTTTTAGTGTTAGTAGACCTTAGCTAACCAACCGTACCAATAGTTTTAGTCAACTTTTTTGATCTAGGAAGAAGGATCTGATAAAAGAATATTATTTGCTTTAATGCCTGTAGCTGAACTTTAAAAGGTGTCTGCCGATTTTACTTCTTTGTTGTATATAGTTAAAATAAAATGAATTCCAGTTTTATCTCAATTGGTTATTTATTTCAGCCAATCAATCTCTATTATTATGATCACAGATCAGCCACTAAGTTACAGTCAAACAAATGCAGTTTTCAGGCCAAGAAAAGACTATTAGGAAGAATTACCAGTACTTATTTAGAATATTTATAACCTGCCTTGCAAACAAATGATTCATACTTAAGTTGTAATACTAGTGTGGGGAACTTTTGGTCCTCCTCTAGATCAGGGGTGGCCAACTCTCAAGAGACTGCGATCTACTCACAGAGTTAAAAACTGGCAGTGATCTACCCTTTTTGGGGTTCAGGCCAAAGTTGTTGAGCTTCTTTGTGGGGAGCCAGTTATTTGCCGGTGATCTACCACAGACGTCCAGTGATCTGCCGGTAGATCGTGGTCTACCTGTTGGACGTGCCTGTTCTAGATGTTGCTAAACTACAACTCTCATTAGTCCCAACACACAATGGTCCTGTGCCATTTATTTATTTATTACATTTGTATACTGTATACCCTCAGGTCTCAGGGCAGTTCACAATATAAAATCCCAACATCTGAATATAAAATCACAATATCAAACTACAAAATACATTACAAAAATAAGAACAGCCCAATGATCGTCCCTTGCCAACACATTTTAATAATGGCCTGAGCTTGTACTGGACAGTGGCTTCTGGCTCTAAGGCTTTATAGGTCAACATCAGCATTTTGATTTGGGCCCGGAAACTAAATGGCAGCCAGTGCAGTCAGGCCAGGATTGGCATAATATGTCTTGCCCCATTAAGCAAACTGGCCACTGAATTCTATGCTATCTGAAGTTTCCAAACAGTCTGCAAAAGCAGTCCTAGAGTAATCCAGGCACGTCCAACAGGCAGATCGTGACCTACCAGCAGATCACTGAACGTCTGTGGTAGATCACTGGTAGAGATTACTGGCTCCCCCCAAAGAAGCTCAACAATTTTTGGCGCCCCTAAAAAAAGCTCAGCATTTTTGCCCTACACCCCCCCAAACGACTTTCCTCCTCCCTAAAAAGCTCAACAACTTTGATGCGAACTCCCAAAAAGGGGGTAGATAACAGCCAGTTTATAACTCTGTGAGTAGAGTGCACTCTCTTGGGAGTTGGCCACCCCTGAGTAATCTAACCTAGGGGCTACCAGAGCGTAAACTACAGTACTTAGGCTGTCCCTGCCCAGATAGGGGCACAGCCAAAGCTGATGGAAGGCACTCTGCACCACTGAGGTCACCTGAGCCTCAAGCCTCAAGCAACAGCAATGGACCCAGAAGTATCCCCAGGCTACTTACCTGCTCCTTCAGATGCTCCCCATCAAGCAATTTCCCAGGATGAATGGGAACTGACTTACCTTCCTGAGATATGGGGAGGATAACCTCTGAATGGCCCTTGATCGGATGGCCAGGGGGTCAGAGATGTTACAATAATCACTGTGGTCATGTCCACACCATACATTTAGGGCACATATCTTTCCCCAAAGAATACTGGGAGCTGTAGTGTGTTAAGGGTGCTGGGAATTGTAGTTCTATGGAATGTAGTTCATTCTTTGGGGGAAGCCGTACTGTTCAGGTGATCTAAATGTGCCTTAAATGTATGTGGTGGGTGGGAACTAGACAGCTTTGGATAAAAAAAAAGGATTAGCCAGAAATGCAGTGAACAAGCTAAACCACACAATGGCTAAAAACAGAACCTCCATTTTCCAAGACAGTATACCTTTGATTACTAGATCCTGAGAACAAACAGCAAAGACCAGCGAGCTGAGCTACCATACAACGGTGTCATCACTTGGCAGCTCTTGAAATGGACAATTGTAGTACCAGGGGGGCTGAAAGGCAGAGTGGGTCTGGCATCTCTTAAAATTATTTTCTTCTGGTGGATTGTTGGTAAACGGCAGTCCTGACTGGGTGGTGTGAACAGCATGATCATAAGGCACATCACAGGCACAACAATGCACAGAATTTGTGGCATCTCTCCAGTCAGAAGGAAGCTCCTGGACAAACAACTGGCCAATGAAAACTGAACATAGGGGAGGTTGGAGGAGAATTTCCAGCTGTTCTCTGAACAGCAAGGAAAAAGCAGTAAAAGACCAATGTGAGCTGCAACAAAATGTTGCAGCGTAGAACGCTCGTGTTTCACACCCTTACCTCTTTCAAGTTCCATTCCAATTCCATTATACTTTCATTTCAGTCCTCACTGGGCTATATTTTGGGCAGGATTTTAAAGAGCCAGTGGCCCAAGTCCCCTTTGTGGACCACAAGTCTTTGTAGCAACCAGCGCACCCTTCAGCCCTGCTCACTGAGCATCCATCGGGGACTGGATCTAGCAGGGCTCTCCTTATGTTGGATAAGACACAAACAAGTCGAAGTTCCAGTTTTGCCCCTGGAGTTTTTGGGTTTGCGCCCCATCTCCTGAAAAAGCAAACAAACCCGGAACTCCCCCCACCCCCACCCTTTTGTGTGCGCGGGCGAGGGGGAAGGATGGGATCACCAGCGGCCCTTGGGCAGGGAGGGGTCGGCGTCTTGCTCCCTCCGCGCCCGCCAGGTCAGCCGGCGCTTGCAAACTTTGCAGCCGGGCCGCCCCGGCCGCAGCGCCCTCCTTCTCCCCCTGCGGGGCTTTGCGCACGAGTCGGCGGCGTTTTCACACGGGCTGCTGCTCGCCCAGCCGAGATAAGAGGCAGCTGCCAGCGACGCCGGCCTTAGCGGGTGGGGAGGCGGCCGAGGAAGGGGGCGCAAGGCCGGAGAGGTCGAGGCTGAGCGGGGGCCTCCGCGGGGAAGGGAGCGTCCGCCGGTTTGCACCTGCCGGCGAGGATGGAGCCGGGCTCGGGAGAGAAGAGCCAGCTCCTCAACGGCGTGGAAGGCAGGTGAGTCGCGGGCAGCGGCCTCCGCGGTTCTTTCCCCCACTTTGCTTTCTGCTCCTGCAGTTCTCCGCCCCGAAGGCAATGCGGACGCTTCGCGCCAATATAGCTCCAGATCCATTTACTACCTCGCTGCTTCTCCAGCATTAATTCTTTGCCACAGTGCAGTCCGATTTTAAGCATGTTTACTCCGCAATAGGAGCAAACTCCAAGGGGCCCAGGTACCTTCTGGCTCCCCCCAATAAAATATTTGATGCTTCCCAGGCACCCCAAGTTGATAGGCATTGTCATTCAAAATAGTGTGCGCCTTGTGACTGATTATACGGGGCGCAGCTTGCCTTCCCCCCCAATATTTTATTTAAGTTAGTACCTTTGTAGATGGGGTAAGTCCCAACAAGTTAAGGGTGATCTGATGATGACACTAAATAGGTGCAAGATTGGACTGTAGGTGTGCAAACCTGTGTTTGCTCAGGTGTGAATCGTGTTGCGTTCAGTGGGAGTTATGCCCTAGTGAGCACCTTGCAACCTTATCTAGGTCGCTGGCTTTGGGAGAGAGGCTCATCACCACCTGCCCACCTCCCCATCTTACCCAGCTTATTGGTTAGAGTTTGGGGGCTCCATCAAAGCCTTCAGATCCAAAATTGTGCATGCAGACCCTCCCAGCCACTCTCTCTTACAGTACTGGACTGGAACCCAAAGAAGTGTAATGAACTTACAAAAAAGAAAAAGAAAAATCCTGCCAATTCCTAAAACATGTGTGGAGAAGCTGTGGCCCTCCAGATGTTGTTGGACCCCCAATTCTGCCAGCCCCCACCAGCAGGAACATGGGCCAGGAATGACTTTTACTGATTGGTTTTGGCTATTTACATCCTGCTTAACAGTATTCCTCTCTAAGTAGTAGAAACAGCAAACTCAGTAAACACCATGGAGATAAAATCAGTTAAAAGCTAACTCTAAAATAAAAAGTAGCTTAAAATGACTGCTGACATGGGCTCCGGAAGTTCAACAGGGAAGTGGGGGGGCGGCTATCTGATATCAGCTGGGAGGGGACTGTAAGCTTGCAACATCTGGAAAGCCAAGGGTTCCCTGTCTGTGGTCTAGAATCAAATCAAGAAGTTAAACTTTTCCTGGCATGAAATTTCAGAGAAGCTTTATCTGTTGAATGTCGATATCTGTTGTGTATTTGTTAAAGGCAAGGCAGGCAGCTTTGCGTGAAAAAAGGATGGCAGCCTCCGACTCAAGCTCTCCCAGGGTGTGTGTTCAAAGAGTAATTAGTCACTATTAAGTAACTTTGACATCCTTTTTCAACTGCAATAAGGGTAACTAAAAGCAAGGCAAAAGGGTTGTTTCTGTACACCCCCACTATACCAGGGAAAACCTATGAGCGGAGTGTGGGTTCTGTTCTTGCAGCAGAGATTGCGAACAGAGAGTGGGATCAGAGGGTAGGGATTGTTCCAGTTTAGTTAATGTAAAAATGGAGTCTTCTCTAATCTAGCATAAAATGCTTTGCAGCAGGTGATGGCAGCATTTCTGGAGAAACGCAGGGCTGTTTTAGAGAGAGCCCTGGGCTGCGACATGTATTTGCTACACTTACACGCCACCCTCCTGGAAGAAGCACTGAGCACTGTGCTTACCTCTGCCTCTCCCATATTATCCTTACAACAACCCTGTGAGGTAAGTTAGGGAGAGAGAGTTATATGCCAAGGTCACCCAGCGTGGGCTAAACTCTGCGTTTGTTCTTGTTATATAAAGAGCATCTGCAAGGAAGCAACTTCCAGGCAAATGTGGCAAAAGCTTAAAACTTTTTCTCTGTTCTCTGCCCTGTTCCAAGAAAACTTGCCTCTTGGAAGCGGCAGTTTGCATTTCAAGGGCAGCACCAGAGGCTTCCCTTGAAATGTAAATTGCAACTTTAGAGAGAAAAAGTGTTTGGGTTTTTTTTTGTCAGATAAGGTTGCATGGAGAGAAAATAAGGTCCTTCCCACCCCATCCTCAGGGTCCCAAGTTTGCTCAAGCTTTGCAAGAGATGCTGTATATATCCTTAAAAATTTACAAATTGCTATATATATTAAAAAGCTTGAACTTGGTGTGATATACAGAACAAAACCCTTGCATGTTAACTGCATTATTGCAGTAAAGATCACCCAGCTTCATGGCTGAGTGGGGATTTGAACCCTGGTCTCCCCTGCCCTCCTTTGGCACTTGAGTGTAGAAACCGAAATTGTTTGCCTGGGCAGATAGAAGGCAGAGGTGTAGGAGTGTGTGTGTGTGTGTGTTAAGAACCTCAGACAGTAACATGTTCGGAACGCAGCCTGCTCTACGGAAAGGTAAGAATCACATCCACCCATTGTTCTGCCTGTGTCCCTCTTGCCTGCCTTTGGCATGCAGAGGTTCCCTGCCAGTGATTGCAGGAGGCATTGTCACATTGCAAGGGCACATTCCACCCAGGAAAAGAACACCAGGGAGGGGCAGAGCAAGGCTGGTGCTGCAGGACAAATGACCCAGGGAATGAATGGGGCTTGGCCAAGGAGGAATCAAGAGGGCTGGGTAGAAAACTGTGGAGGGGGAGGCGCTGCATTTGCCCCCTAGGCCTGAGGGTCCCCACCCTTAACTTGAGTGGTGCATATGTGCAGAGGCAACAGAAGACAAATTAGGTAGTGCTGCCTAAGGACTGGAGGGCATGTAAATCAAACTCACTCACTCTCACACACACAAGCAAACACACACGCAAAGGCACATGCCTATTTTCTGCTTGTTTTGCTAACACTGTGAGGATCTCTACTTGGCACTGCCGCACAGCAGAACTTGAATGCCATACCGTCAAACGAAACATTATTTTAAATAATAAAAATATATGTGATCAAGATACTATTTATGAAACATTATTTTAAATAATAATAATATAGGTAATCAAGATACTATTTATTTATTAGTTTACATTTCTTTCCAACCAAGGGATACATTTCTATCCCAACATGTTGCCCAGAGTGGTTGGGGCAACACAGTAAAAGTAATTAATTATTATTAATTATTATTATTATTAGCTCAAGGTTATGTACCTAGTTTTCCCACACCCCCATTTTATCCTCACAACAACCATGTAAGGTAGGTTAAGCTGAGAGACCAAGGGCCACCCAGTGATCTTCCCAGCCATGTGAGGACCTGAATCCTGGGCTTCCTATGTCGTAGTCCTGCACACCAATAGCTCCAGTACAGTGACTTTGAATTGAATTCATAAGGAGCTGAAGTAAGGCATCCTGCTCCAGCCTCTGCTGTTTTCTGCTTTGCTTTTCCAGCTGACACTCAACATGGTGTGGCTAACTAACATACTTGGTCCTTACTGGACATTTTTTTTGTGGTAGCAGGGGCATTCAGTTTATTGTTGTGCTTCTGCAAATTTAGAGTTTGGGGGACAACAGCATCTCTGCCTGAGACAACCTCTCTCTCTCTCTCTCTCTCTCTTTAAAAATCTTCTCTTTATGACACAGGTCTTATTTAGGAGTCGTGGGTAAGAATTTCCCAAACCCAATGGTCGGCTACGTTCCAGACCTTTCCTCCTTTGAGCTGGGCCTGAACGGGAACCAGCACTGCCATTCCAGCTGGGCATCTAACAGCAGCTACGATGCTGAAAAAGAGAGAGCTCGGAAGAAGCTCTACGTCGCCTCGGCCATCTGCTTGGTCTTCATGGTGGGAGAAGTTGTGGGTAAGGCTCTTGACGCTTTTTGACATCACTGTTTGCTGTTTGGGTTGTGCATCATGACTGTGTACAAAATTATCATCATCATCCTATAGAATCATAGAATTGCAGAGTTGGAAGGGACCTTGAGGGTCATCTAGTCCAACCCCCTGCAGTGCAGGAATCTTTTGTGGAACTCAAACCCACAGCCCTCAGATTAAGAGTCTCATGCTGTACTGACTGAGCTGTCCCAGTTCTTCCTATTATTTGCCTGCCCTTCACCATAAGTTCCCTGGGCAGTTTGCAACACATTCTGGCCAGCCACACTGAAGGGGTGTGAAGCACAGCCAGTGAGGGCTGTGGCCTTGGGTGGAGGGGAGTTCCAGGGGATGCATAAAGAGGCCCAGAGGCCTGAGTTTCCCCAACTTCTGTAATGCATGAATCATCTGTAATCAGTGTTGGAAATTCGCATTGTTCTAGGCACATTTTGCAACAGGGAATTTCATTAGTGCGAGCAGCTTCTGAGTTCTGGGTGCGGTACTGCGCCTCATATTTCAGATTAAAACTGCAGAGTGGAAGGAAAGGAGGACCCTTTTCTGCCTCCCCACTTCTAGCTACTCTCTGAAGACTGGAGAAGAGACCCTCTCAAAAGTATTAGGGGGGTGGGCAGAGGAAGGACTAGACCACATGAAAAAGGAACACAATATTTTAGCTACAGTTCATTCATTTTCAGCTTTGTATTCCTGTTATAAAAAAGCACGCCTAGAAATTCCATTGTTGTGCCCTTAACCTAGGATTAAGGTGCCATTTAGCTCCTGGCTTTCATATCTCAGTTTCTAATACTGCCCTCTGCCTGTGGGGCTCTCTCTTCCCAGGGGGGTACCTTGCCCACAGCCTTGCCATCATGACTGACGCTGCCCACCTCTTGACGGACTTCGCCAGCATGATGATCAGCCTTTTCTCTCTCTGGATGTCCTCTCGGCCCCCTACCAAGACCATGAATTTTGGTTGGCATCGAGCAGGTAACAACATCCTGGCTACTAAGGAGTAAGTCCCAGTGAATACAGTTAAGCAGACTTCCAAGGAAGCCCACCTAAGGTTGTGCCTGCTGGCTATGTGACATTCACACTGTAGCAGATCAAATGCAAACTTCTGAGCAGAGACTATAGAGCTGTGTTGGTGGGGCATGCTGAATTTAAAAAACAAAACCAAGCCAAACCAGTGAGCGGGGCTGAAAAGTTGTAACATGATTTGGGAATTCAAAAGATATGTTGGTTAAATTAATGTAACTTAGTTTTGCTTGGTAAGTAAAATGTTTATAAAATTTCATAGAAATAATTAAAAATGATTGCCAAGTACTTGCAGCTGTTGTTGGCCTCCGTTTGTCTCGGGAGACAATGGAGGAGTGTGCCTTGGGGTGAAGTCAAACCGCTGGAGAGTTGCATCGCCTGCTGTGGCTGTAGAGACTGATACAGGAGCGACATGTTTTGTTGCAGCTGGGGCAGATGAAGGCATCCAATTGTGCTGCTGAAGATGCAGCTATATTATTATTATTATTATTATTATTATTATTTAGCATTACCTGTCATTTTTCAGAAGGTAGAATTAAAAGTATTTGGTTTTCTGAAAGCAGAGGGAACAATGGATCTCATTTTAAGCCCAGAAAATAACTATGTGTACATCAGTGATGCAGGGAGGGCTGAATTGGGGACGGTAAGATTTGTGGGCCCGATTCACATGGAACTCCTGCACACGGGACAATTTACACACAGGTCCCAATTTCTCCCGTTCCCCCTCCAATAAGGGGCTTAATGTCTTTATTGTTTCAAACAGTTCCCAGGACATAATTTTTACTGTTGAGGCTGCCTGCACAAATAGAGCAGCACTGAATTGGGCCTCTTGTTGCCTTGTGAATTGGTCTGTCTGTTGCAAGAGAATGTATTGGAGCAATCTAATTGGGCAGCTTTATTTGGTGGACATACTCCCAAGTGTATGCAGCTAGGACCAAACTCTCAGAAATTACCTGCTTGGGGAGTTGTTGCTCTTCACCTGCCATTGACACCTAACCTAACCAAACCTTCCTGGCTTTCTCTGCAGAGATCTTGGGAGCCCTGCTGTCCGTGCTGTCTATCTGGGTGGTGACTGGTGTCCTGGTTTATTTAGCAGTGCAACGGCTGATCTCGGGCGAGTACGAGATAGAAGGGAATGCCATGCTCATCACCTCTGGCTGTGCCGTGGCAGTAAACATCATGTATGTAAGCATGCTCAGAATGCACTTGAATGGGCACCTAAGGAAGTTGCATAAACTGGAGATTCTCCTCAGATGGGGGTTGACCCTGGCAATGGATTGCAGGCTGCATAGATCAGTGATACCATGCTTTGTGGGGAATCTCCAGCTTTTTGGTCCTGCCCACTGACATCAGATGGTAGGTAAAGGCGTGGCTGCCTTCACTTTGAAGTCACTTTGCAAGCAGTTTCTGTTGAAGCCTCCTGGAAACTGACTTAAAAAGCGATATTGTCACTTGAAGTGATAATGAAGTCAGGTGATTAGCCTGCAGGCATGTGTGGAGATAGAGATCTGTGCAAAAAAGATCAGGAAGCTGGTGATAGAAAAGACCTTAGCCAGAGGCCCTGGTGAGACACTCCCAATTAAGGGTCTACATTACTGGGCTGGGCAGACCATCTGAGCTGGTATGAAACAGCTTCCTGGGTTTTTGCTTCTGGATGACAGGGGCTGAATGAACAAAAGCCTCTGGTCAAAGGAAGAGCCCAACTCTCTTGCCCCCACTTCTGAGTGTTTTTACTTTTGATGTTCTTCATTTAGTGCAGGGGTAGGCAACCTAAGGCCCAGGGGCCGGATGTGGCCCAATCACCTCAATCCGGCCCATGGACAGTCCAGGAATCAGCATGTTTTTACATGAGTAGAATGTGTGCTTTTATTTAAAATGCATCTCTGGGTCATTTGTGGGGCATAGGAATTTGTTCAATTTCCCCCCCAAAATATAGCCCAGCCCACCACATGGATGGTGGACCGGCCCACGGCTGAAAAAGGTTGCTGACCCCTGATTTAGTGCAATTATCAGATTTCTGTCCTGCCCTTCTTTCTGAAGGTTCCCAGGGTGGCAAACAACAAGCAATAAAACTTATGTACAGAATTCAAGAGGAGTTGAGAAGCCAGTGTGGGATTTAGTTATTTAACTGTAGCATTATTTCTCTGCCTGTCAGCTGGGGAAAGGGTCCCAGAACTGCTTATGGAAGAATAAAGATAGTTTCTGCCCACCGCAGTCGGAAAGAAATGACAGAGGAGGAAAAAGCAATGGGGAGGGAAGAGGAAAACAAAGAAGCTCGGATACCAATTCTTAAAAGTAACAAGTGACAGCCAGCTGAGGCTGGAAGAGAGTTCAGGAAAGATCAGAGAGCAGAGCCAGTGGTATGGCCCTGCTTCCCATCTTTGCCTCTGCTGCAGCCTGATGCTCTCCTTTTGGCAAAGTCTTCTCTCCTTGCCCACTTTTCCTTTTAATTTCTCCCTCCAGAATGGGCATTGTTCTCCACCAGGCAGGGCATGGGCACAGTCACGGCAATGGGCACAGTCACGGCAGTGGCCCCAACACCAGTGTCCGGGCTGCTTTCATCCACGTGGTTGGGGATTTCCTACAAAGCATTGGAGTCTTGGTGGCAGCCTACATCATCTACTTCAAGGTAAAGCGGTCTGGAATAATTGATAATTGCAAAGAATATTTATTCCATGATGGAGCAGCTCTGCCAACTCTCTTAGGAGACAACTGCTGCTGTTACCATGTTGGCTCTGCAAAGAACAAGCTTGTTTGGGGCCAGTAATAAGTTAGGTGCGGAGCAGAGCAGGGACTCTGCAGTCGAGTGGCAGAGCATCTTGGGTTCGGTCCTCAGCATCATCCCTCCCTTAAACCCTGGAGAGCTACTGCTGGTCATTGTAGTGGGTACTGATCTAGATAGACCATTGAACAGACGCTGTATAAGGCAGAGAGGCTCACAGTTTTCTTTCTCCTTCGCCTTCTTCCTCCAGCCAGAGTACAAATACGTGGATCCCATCTGCACCTTCCTGTTTTCCATCCTGGTCCTTGGAACGACCCTAAGCATCCTCCGAGATGTTGTCCTTGTGTTGATGGAAGGCAAGTCTCCCCTTTTGAAGTGGGCGAAAGAGATTGGAGCATCTGGTTGGACTATGCCATGAATTTTCTATGTATGGGGGAGGCTGCTTGGTGTGGGGGGACATTGTAAGTCAAAGCAAGACATTGCAGCACTTAAAATGCAGGTAGTTGCTTTACTTTTCCTTTGTTTGACTTCTGTTGCATTCTAAGGGTTTGGGTTGGGTAGTAATGTGTTAGTTATTTCGCCCTGTGTCTCTTTGTCCCCATAGCAGCTGGAAGGGTGCACCATTTGAGTCTAGAAAATGGGATGGGGGGGAGGAAGCACCACTCCTCTGAGTCTCTGGAGCAGGCATAGGCAAACTTGGCCCTCCAGATGTTTTGGGACTACAGCTCCCATCATCCCTGACCACTGGTCCTGTTAGCTAGGGATGATGGGAGTTGTAGTCCCAAAACATCTGGAGGGCCGAGTTTGCCTATGCCTGCTCTGGAGGGTCCCTTCCTCTCCAGCTGCTGAAATGGAAGAGTGGGGAGCCTCAGGCCTGGGGGCCAAATGAGGTCCTCCAGTCCTCTCTCCATGGTTCTCAGGGCTGGGAAAAGGACCCCCAAGGAAACACGAAGTCATCTTCCATGGTATAATCCAGGCTTCCCCAAACTCGGCCCTCCAGATGTTTTGGGACTACAATTCCTATCAACCCTGACCACTGGTCCTGTTAGCTAGGGATGGTGGGAGTTGTAGTCCCAAAACTTATGGAGGGCCGAGTTTGACTGTGCCTGGTATAATCCAATCAAACTATGTGTTTTAGCTTTGCGCAAGACAAAGAAGCAGTTGTGTCATCTTGTTGTCTGCTTCTCACCAGCATCTCCTGCTCCTTCTTTGCAGCCACCCCAAAGGGTGTGGAGTTCAATGATGTGAAGAGTATCTTGCTGTCCATAAATGGAGTGAAAGCCCTGCACAGCCTCCATATTTGGGCCCTGACGGTGTCTCAGCCCGTGCTGTCTGTCCACATTGCCATCAGTAAGTTGCACTCCTGTGCAAGGAGTATCTGCAGGATTTTTTCTAGGGGGTTGGGGAGAGAAAATATAATAAATCGGGCTTCCAGTTGTGGTTCAAAATACCTGAAAGCCACCCAGGTTGGCAAAGGCTGTTCTAAATAAACAAATATAACTGAAAGGTGGGAGCACAGAAACAAATGAGGGGACTCATGCCTGCACACGCTGCCTTGCATCTCAGGTTCTACAAATGCTAGAAACTTACTTTGTTTTGGATTTTTTTTATAAAAATAAGAAATATGGGCATCTTGTGATACATCTGGCAGGGGAGACAGTCCCTCTCCTTCCTTCTCTGCCCACATGGCTATGCATGCCTCGATGAGTTGCAGGTTTAGGGGTTACAAGGTGCAGTAGCTGAGGTGGATGTTGGATTTTGCAACTAGGGAAGAAAAGCATGTGGGCATAGACAGTGCTGGCACCCAGAAAAGCCAGGCTTTGACTGGGATGGTCTGCCAACCTCAACCCTTGATCCTACCTCCTCCTACACAGTGGGTGGATGGCTTAGGCAGCGTACTGAATGAGGATCTTCAACTGCCCCACACCCCCAACCCTGTGCTTTTTAAAAAATAGAACATGTTGTATTTGTTTATTATTATTATTATTATTATTATTATTATTATTATTTATTATTACTGTTGTTGTTATTATTATATGCCACCCATCTGACTGGGTTGCCCCAGCCACTCTGAGTGACTTCCAACAAAAAATAATAAAAACACAATACAATTTTTTATTTTTAAATATTTCTAAAACGTTTAAAAATCTCTCTTAAGCCGTATACAAAAATAACACTGAACAAAGTAAGACTATCACAAAATCAGTGAATGAAACCCAGGAACTGGTTAAAGACAGGCATTCGGAAATAATAGGGCCCAATCCAGCAGCTCACAGAATGCACAGGCAAAAACAAAAAGCAAGAACATCTTCACATGACATCTGAAGCAACTAATGGATGTTGTTTCATATATACCAGAGGCTGCTTGTGGTGGTGCGGATGAGGGAAGAGAGGCTCTGAAATTGCTTGGATCCTGACCAGTTTGTGGGCCTTGTCCTTGGTTATGTTTTTGTTGCCATTGAGTTGATTACACAATCACCTTTATGAACAGTCCGTGTTGATCCTTTCTGGGGAAGAAGGTGCCCTAATAGCCAGCAAAACTAAAGAGGTCTGTATGGGTGCTCTCGCAGATATCTGGGGCCCAAGTAGGGCCACAAACATGTACTGTGAGAAAGGCTCCCAGATACACCACTTAGCATGGAGGAAATCAATCCATTTGTGCTGCCTTCCTCAACGTGGTGCCACCAAGATGTTTTGAACTACAACTCCCAGTACACCATTTCCCCTCACCCCCAGACTTTGTGTCAAATTAACGATGCCTGTCTTCCTTTTGCTCTGCTCGCCGCTTGCCTCCCTTTCCAGACAAAGACGCAGATGCTCAGGCTGTCTTGAAGGAAGCGAGTTCCCGCCTGCAGGGAGCCTTCAACTTCCACACGACGACAATCCAGATCGAGAACTACTCCGAGGACATGAAGGACTGCCGGGAGTGCCAGAGTCCCTCTGACTGACTGTTTAGAAAATAAGAGAATCTGAGGAGAGTTGTAGAGCAGCCTGCAGATGGATATGCGGCCTTGTCAAAACTGCTACCTCAGAATTCGTTCCAGTGTGACCGTTACTCAGGGCCAAGTAACTCATGCAGTGTCACCTAAGTGCTGATGCTTAGTTTGTTGGGAGCAACTGAAAGTACTGTGCGCTCTCTCTTTCTCTCGGATCTGTCTCTCTCTGCTTCTCCCTCTTTCTGTTTTTCTCTCTCTCTCTCCTATAGTTTTATAAGTACCTGAAAATAAAACTGGGATCTTTCTGTTTATTGATTTGGCTGTAATAACTCCTCAATGCAAGGAGTTTCCTCTTCCTCAGGGGGGTTAGGATCTTTCTCCTTGTATCTAGAGTAGAGATGGGAGAGGAAGTCAATTCAGTTTGCATTAAAAGGCAAACTTACGTAATTTGCACTTTTTGAAGCAATACATGGACCAAAACACCACCTATTGTTAGTAATTTGCACTTCTTGGCTGCAGAACTGCACTGCAAAATACCAAGTAATGTGCCCAAAAATGTACCTGCTAGGGGGAAGTGTGTTAGTTAGCTAGCTAGTTAGTTACAGTGGTACCTTGGGTTACAAACGCTTCAGGTTACAAACACTTCGGGTTACAAACTCTGCTAACCCGGAAGTAGTACCTTGGGTTGAGAACTTTGCCCCAGGATGAGAACGTAAATTGTGCAGTGGCAGCAGGAGGCCCCATTAGCGAAAGCGCGCCTCAGGTTAAGAACAGTTTTGAGTTAAGAACGGACCTCCGGAATGAATTACCTTAAGTTCATAACCCAAGGTACCACTATATTTTTGTGCATGTAATGGGGTTGCCATATTTCAAAAAGTGAAGATCCAGACAAAAGTTTTTGAGCTTTATTACTATTATTATTAGTATTTTCAACACAAAAACAGCCCCGTTGCCATACATCTGGGTTTTCCCAGGCATTTTGCCGTTTTCCAGAAATCCCGCCTGGACACTATTTACAACGACCAATTCTCAGATATGTTTGGGGAAACCTGGACGTATGGTGGCCGTAGCATATAACATGCAAAAATACATTATTTCGGGAGAAATTCCTTTGCAGAGATGTGTATGTTTGTCAAAACAGCATCCCAGAAGGTTGTTTTGGAGAGAGGCTCCCTAAAAGTGGTGATAAGTTTTCATGAGGAGCTTTTTCTTAAAAGGAAAGAATGCAAACTGATGAGGAGAGGTAGAGAACTGAAGATAGGAAGAATGAGAAACCAAGAAGATGCTGACAGTTCCGTCCATCCCTTATCTAGAGTTCAGGGCCAACTCCAGGACTGAGGAGAGCCCTAGCCATAGAATTGCCTCACCATTTAAATTTCCCACAATGCCCTGAGATGTCCAATGTAGCATCACTCTGAGAATTTACAGAACTGGCTTCACTGCAAGCTTTTAATAACTGATTGAAGCCAAAGTTACGCACCTAACAGGACTTCACTGTCCTCCTCTATCCCTCTGGGAGAATATTTTGAGGGTTGCCACTGGGTGGCGGTGGAAGGTGCAGCCTGGCTGTGTAAGGCCACCGCTGTTGGGATACAAAGCAATGCTTTCATTGTTATGTACCGTTACGCTGCTCTGAGGTCATGGGAATAGGGCGAGGAAGCTTTTATAAATTGTATTAAGAGTGATCTGTTAAAATGGGCGGGCTCTGCTCTTATGCCTTTGACAGCAGTCCGATGCAGAACTTAAAGCAAGTCATGCTCTGAATGGCTTGGAGTTAAGGCCTCACCTGCTTAATTTCCAGCGTGGCAGGAAAAGCCTCACTTTAATTTCTGAGAATCCAGCTGCCATTAACATCACAGGAGCCCAGTCAGTGGTGGTGAGAAGGCTTGGCTGCACTGGGTGGGGTTTTTTTTGTTGGGGGGGGGGGTTTCTGGAACTGTAGTGCCCTGGCAGAACCTGCTGACACTGGCCACAGAAACCATTCTGAGGAACTGTGGGAAATTAAAATGGCCTTACAGTCAGCCACAGCCGATAGCAGCTCTAGTATTGCTTCGAGCACCAGGTAAGCCTGTGGGATGGGTGGCCATCAGAGAACACTCGGTCAGGGGCTCCCCACAAACGGCAGCCGGCTTGGGTTTAGGAAGTGAGCAGGCTGCAAGCATCACAGACCAGATGTGGCCTTGCAAACAAAACATAGTGGTACCTCGGGTTACAGATGCTTCAGGTTACAGACTCCACTAACCCAGAAATAGTACCTCGGGTTAAGAACTTTGCTTCGGGATGAGAACAGAAAACGCGCGGCGGCAGCGGGAGACCCCATTAGCTAAAGTGGTGCTTCAGGTTAAGAACGGACCTCCAGAACAAATTAAGTTCTTAACCCGAGGTACCACTGTAAATGCCTAGTGCTCACTGAGCCTGACTTAAGTCACTCACCAACCATTAGAGGGCAGCAGAGGCATACCTTAAACTGTGGTGTTGCTCACAAATACTTTAAATATTTCCTCTAGGCCTTTTAAGTAACAGGTTTGGGCTTTCTGTTGGGCAAGGACCCGCTGAATTAAATTTCTATTAGCAGCCAGTTTCTTACCTGGTAAAACAAAAAAGCCACTGCAAGTAGCAAAGAGTAAACCTCTTAAGTCCTGGGTTCGATTTCTGACATCTCCAGGCAGGGTTAGGAGAGATCTCTGCCTGAAAGCTCTGGAGATCTGTTGCCATTCAGTGTAAACAATATTGAGCTAAACCGACCAATGCTCTGGCTTGGTATAGACAGCTCCCTAGAGAGCAGGGAAGTATATTACTTCCCTGACCTCAATACGTGGTAAGTTGGTCCTTGCTGGCCTTTTAAGAGCCTTCCTGCTTGTTTGGCTTAGGGGAGGGGGGGCTTGGACTTCTGCCCTCAAGTCCAGCCCCCGAGTGCATGAATGGATGAATCTGTGTCATAAGACTTGCACATTTTGCGCCGTGATCCCTCCAGCGTGGCCGCATGCCTGGTGTGCTTTGTGCAAAAGGTGGAGGAGTGCAGAGCCTTCCCCCGTGCTGCGATGACCCCAAAGAGGTCAGCAAGTCACAGCTGCTTAAGGCAGCATCACATGAAATGCGTTTTCTTTTTGCCCTCAAAGCCCCCTATTAGAACAGCTCTTGCTGCCATGGGGCTTTGCAAGTGCCGACTGTATTGCTGTTTTTGTGTTGGATCAGTTCCAGTTAGTAAGGCTTGAGGATGTGGATAAGGTGCTTGAGTTGATCTGAGCGACCACTTGCATTCTGGACCCTTGCCCCCTCTTGGCTGATAAAAACTGGCAGGGCGGGGGGCCGGTGGCTGGGCCAGGGAGGCGATCAATGCCTCCTTGCAAGAGGGGGTGGTCCCTGCCTGCTTGAAGGAGGCTGTGGTAAGACCACTCCTCAAGAAACCCACTCTGGATTCGGAAAATCTAAGTAACTGCCACCCAGTTGCCAATCTTTCCTCTTTGGGCAAGGTTCTTGAGCCAAGCACTCTAGGAGGAAACTGATGATAAATCCACTGATTTATGCCACTGCATTAAATTAATATATTTCTCCTGGAACTTCGTGGCTCAGATTGATGGATGGATTGGTTACTATTTATAGCCTTATCATCTTGTGTCAGGGCTGATGACATATTAAATGAACAGCCTGCCTGCCTGCTTTGTACAAAACCCACCTTCCCCTTCTTATTTTATAAGATTACACTTGAAATTACAAAAAAAAATCATACTGCACTATGCAGGTAACCACACATGCTTTTAGTCCTCATCTTAATAGTCTCACTATATATTACTGTGGGTTTCCACAATGTTAGTCCTACTCAAGAGTAGTCCCATTGAGGTTATGGTTCATTACTTTCAGTTGGTCTACTCTTGAGTCGCACTTCGTTGGCAGCAGCACTTTGATTACAAAAACATTTTCTCCCAGCCACTCACCGTTTATAATTAATGTTTATGAAAGAATAAGCCTTATTATGATTTACAGTGCAACATTTTATTCTCTTTATTGCCAAAATCTAACAAGTGTCAAATACTTAATCACTAGATCCCAGCTCTTCAAAGTTTGTATTTTTGTGGGTTTCACAGAAGTGGTGCCAGTTTATCCGTTTCTCTTTGTTTGCCTCATTTCCTCAACAGATGGGTCTGACTTGGAGAGCATATAAAACTGATACATGCTTATCTCTGGATACTGAACCTCTTCTCCCATCCATCTGTCCGTCTTTGAGAGTATTCATTAACCAGCTTTCTATTTTGAAAAGGCCTGAAGTAGGGAACAGGTTTAATCATCAACAGCACCGGTCCCAGCATTAGGCAAAATGAGCCAGCTGCCTCAGGGGGCGGATGCTGTGGTTGGCAGGCAGCGGAGGAGAGGCTATGGAGAATGCAACTGTTTGTGCCACCCAGCCTGCCCTGCCCTCCTGAGCCTGGCCTATTTTCCTAAACCAGGGAACCTTTGTTGTTGTTGTTTAGTCGTGTCTGACTCTTCATGACCCCATGGAGCAGAGCACGCCAGGCCCTCCTGTCCTCCACTGCCTCCCGCAGTTTGGTCAAACTCATGCTGGTAGCTTCGAGAACACTGTCCAACCATCTTGTCCTCTGTCGTCCCCTCTCCTTGTGCCCTCCATCTTTCCCAACATCAGGGTCTTTTCCAGGGAGTCTTCTCTTCTCATGAGGTGGCCAAAGTATTGGAGCCTCAGCTTCAGGATCTGTCCTTCCAGTGAGCACTCAGGGCTGATTTCCTTCAGAATGGATAGGTTTGATCTTCTTGCAGTCCATGGGACTCTCAAGAGTCTCCTCCAGCACCATAATTCAAAAGCATCAATTCTTTGCGATCAGCCTTCTTTATGGTCCAGCTCTCACTTCCATACATCACTACTGGGAAAACCATAGCTTTAACTATACGGGCCTTTGTTGGCAAGGTGATGTCTCTGCTTTTTAAGATGCTAGGGAACCTTTGCCCATGTTTAAATAAGATTCAGCTGCCAATCTGGTCAGCTTCTGCACATAGAAGGATGTGTGGGTATGCCTCCTTGTCCTTCGCCTCATGCAGCAAAATGGCTTACCTCGTTTTTTTAGATAGTGCCTCAACCATACCACTTCTTAAGAAGAGTGCATGTTCAGGATCCCTTACCTGCGAACATGGGATGGGGAACTTGCATTCTTCCAACTATCCTCGGGCTCCCAACTCTCACCAGCCCAAGCCAGCATGGCTCACGGTTGGGGCTGATGAGAGCTACAGTCAAGCAACATCTGGAGGGCCACGAATTTTCCATCCCAGCATCAGAGCATAGCACTCTTGCTTAAGAACATGCCGTAGCTTTGCATGCAAAAAAAGTCCCCAGTTAAATTCCCTGTTATGTAACTGTGAATTCATTCACAGTGACATAAATATTCCTATCAGCATTAGGTGATAGATTTTAGAAGATTCTGCATGTAGCACCGTAGAAGATTCTTTGCACAGAGCTCGGCCTGGGCTGGCTGGGCAGTCCAAGCCATTTTTCTGCTTATGGCCTGAGGAACCTGGGTTCGAAACCCCCCCCCAGCCATGAAGCTCACTGGATGTGACCTTGGGTCAGCCACTACATCTCAGCCTTTCCTACCTCACAGGGTTGTTGTGGGGATTAAATGAGGAGCAGGGGAGAACCATGTACGCCATCTTGAGCTCCTTGAGGGTGGATGGATAGATAGATAGATGGTGTCCCTTCCACATACAGAAGCTGACTGGACTTCTGGGCAGTTAAATATCTTACTTCAACATGGATAACAGGTCAGCACCCTCCACTGCATTCTGTAAAGCAGGCATATCCAGTCTGTCCTGGGGGAACAATCCAGCCTGCTGGTTGGTTTAATCCAGCCCCTCGGGCAGTTTCCTGGAATATAATCCTTAAAAAAAAACACCTTAACAACTTCAATCCTAAAAAAAGGTTAGCCCTTTGGTCGCCCCCATGGCCCTTCACTTTATCAAATCTGGCCCTCTTTGAAAAAAGTTTGGACACCACTGCTATAAAGTAACAGTGCTATCAAGTCCTGTCTTTGAAGGGCTGTCCATTCATGTCCAGTTTAAAGACAAAGAACCAGAAAAGGGAAAACTCTGAGCCCCTGGGGAAGCAGACTTCAGTGGCACACAGGTCACATGGCCATAGTCTTCTCCACTATGAGGAGATATATTGCATTTCTTGTTTAAATCATTTTTTGTGTGTGTGTTTTTCTAAATCTGCACACATAGTCACATAAATTGGCATATTGAAATGTGTGTCCTCCTTTTTCCATGATGCCTAACTGGCCCCTACCTTCCTTCTTAGGTGCCATCAGAGAGCTTCATCAGAATGATTAAGAGAGAGTGCTGATTTTAGCTTTTCTTGATGCAGAATTTGGGCTCACGTGGTACATAAATTTGTAGCGTTTGGGCTAAGCTAAAGGAGCATTGAGGGACACGAGTGGTGCTGTGGTCTAAACCACTGAGCCTAGGGCTTGCCGATTGGAAGGTCGGCGGTTTGAATCACCGCGATGGGGTGAGCTCCCATTGTTAGGTCCCTGCTCCTGCCAACCTAGCAGTTCGAAAGCATGAAGTGCAAGTAGATAAATAGGTACCGCTCTGGCAGGAAGGTAAACGGCATTTCCGTGCGCTGCTCTGGTTTCAGTGTCCCATTGTGCCAGAAGCAGCTTAGTCATGCTGGCCACATGACCCGGAAAAACTCTGTGGACAAACGTCGGCTCCCTCAGCCAGTAAGGCAAGTTGAATGCTGCAACCCCAGAGTCATTCACGACTGGACTTAACTGTCAGGGGTCCTTTACCTTTTTAAAGGAGCATTTGGTATTCAAACCAACTGTCCTTTTTGTGTTGTGAACTGCAATGTGATCTTCAGATGAAGGGCAGTATACAGATTAAATAAATAAGTAAATCCTACAGCAACAGGTGTGCTCTACCTCCATATTGTTCGGCCTTAATGAAGTTCCCATCCTCATTCTCAAAGCAATGAAAAAAAGAGGAAGGATGACTGCTAAAAGTAATTATGCAGACTGTCATTATTATCTTTTGCATTGTTTAATGCCCTGGAAACCCTTATTCGTTAAAAACCTGTGTTTCTTCTTTTACTCTCCTAGGAAAAAAAGGTGGTTTTAATTCTAAATCTGCAACCTATTAGCATGCGCATTTGTGCAAATACCAGCTACAAATCCCTATAACCAAGTGGCAGTCTCAATTTCTTTAAAAAAGCATACATGGCCCTAGGTCTAATCTTCCCCACTGTAATACCTAATCATGAAAGAGTGGATTCTGCCAGTTAAAAATTCTAAAAAGGAATGAAACACACGGATGTGGGAAACGCTTTGCAGCAGCGTCCAAAACTCCCACCAGGAAACACTTATGCCAAGGAATTATTTATGGCTCCTTTCTCCTCCCTAGCCTCCATCCCCATCTTTCTAAGCGTCTCATTTTTCACAGCCTTTTGCCAGGAGAATATTAACCACAAATCCCACCCTCCAAAAAGACCCAGTAGTCTTTTGGCAGACAAAACAGCAACTTCTTACCTCTGCCCCTCCTTCCCCAAGTCTCATTTTATCTCTTTTGCAACAGGGACCTGGACCAAATCAATTGCTTGTAAATTATGCAAGTGAGTAGATTCTCTTTAGCCAATTGCTGCCTCCCAGCTTGAAAATTTCACTGCCATACAAATCAGATTTAGGTGGAATAGGGAGGGCTGGGCTGGCATGAGACATGTTAATGCCTCAGGTAGAGCATCCAAATAGTGGACACAAACATAGGAAGCTGTCTTTCACAGAGTCAAATCATTAGTCCGCCTAGCTCATTACTGTCTGCACTGACTGGCAGCAGCTTTCTGGAGCTTGATGCAGGAGTCTCTCTCCCAGCCCAACCTGGAGATGCCAGGGATTGAACCTGGGACCTTCTCCATGCAAGGAAACGCTCTACTGCTGAGCTAAGAGCTTTCCCCACCAGCTAGCATGGAAGTTCTGTGCAAGCCTCATCTAAAGCAGCAGTTCAATGGGGACTGAGCAGGAGAACTGCCTCATGGATTGCCACCCCTAGTGGGTCACTGGGGCTGTCAATTGGCTGGGGGGGGGGGAGCCAGCCTTCCCTGTTCCTAGTTACAGGTAGGTAGCCATGTTGGTCTGCAGTAGTCGAAACAAAATACAAAATTTAAAAATTCCTTCCAATATCACCTTAGAGACCAACTAAGTTTGTTATTGGTATTTTTTTTTAATTAAAGATTTTCTTGTTTGTGTAATGTGTAATGTCTCTTGTATTTTTTCCGTGTAACATTTTTACAAATCAGTTTCATTTGTTGAGACATTGGGGGGGTGGAGGGGGAGAGGGGGGGAGATGGGGGTGGGGTGGCATCGGGTGGCGATGTTTCTATTTTGCTTAATGTATGTAGGGTTTGGTGTCAGCGTTGCTCGTGCAGGTTCTCTGCTGTTCATTCGTGTTTCTTTGGTGGTGAGAGAGGTTGGGGTTGGCCTAGGGTGTGGTTGTTTGTAGTTTGTTATTGGTATGAGCAAGAAGCGTGCATGCACACAAAAACTCATACCAATAACAAACTTAGCTGGTCTCTAAGGGGCTACTGGAAGGAATTTTTTTATTTAGTTTCCCATATTCCTGTTTGAGCTCCAGAAACTGAGTCAAAGCTTTTTAATTGCACCTGGTACCTGCTTAAGCTGTGAGGAGGATTTGCCCCTCCAAGAATGTTGATGAACTACAATTCCCATCATCCCTGGCAACTGGCCATGTTTGCTGGTGCTGATGGGAACTGAAGTTCAGCACCAACTGGGGAGCTAAAGGTTCCTCACAACTGGCCTGCTCGTTCCTGCAGATCAGCTTTACCCAACCCTAGTGCCCACCAGATGTTGGACTACAACTCCCATCATCCCTGGCCATTAGCCATGGTGGCTTGGGCTGATGGGAGCTGGATTCCAAAGCACCTGGAAGGCACTGGGATGGGGAAAATTGCTGCTAAAATGGACAACTACAAGAGCTGGTTGGAAAGTTGGCAACCACATTTCGCAGGCCTGTCTGCCTCCTCCTCTGCTGCCTCTCGTGCAAGTCTCTTCACTTCCTCTTGCTGCCTCTGACAACAGGAACTCAAAGGAGGAACCAGATTACATAACCCCCAGATATTGATGTTTGCAAAGGTTTCCTCTTTCTCTCCACCTGCTTGCTTGTTATTGTTAAAGCAGCAGCACCAGCAGCACCAGCAGCAGCAGCAACAACAACAACAACAAAGGTCTGCTGCAAACAGTGAGGACAAAACGAGAAATCTCTCCTGCTAAAAATCTCTCCTACCTGCCCTGCATCCAATCTCTTGTCTTTGATAATAAGCAGAAATTTAGCAGGTGGAATATCTTCTCACTCCAACTGCATGCTGGGAAATGCTTCAACTATTGAATTTCCACCTGCTTCTTTTCAAAGGCAAAAAAAAGAGAGGCCTGGTTATGCATTGCCATCAGTTCATTTCCAAAAACTAGCACCTCACTGTTGTCTCTGAACATATGCAAAGTACATTTTACCTGCTCAGGAGAGAAAGAGAGAGTGTGTGTGGTTTTAAGGACAAATAAGTGCTTTTCCTTTTGTAGGGTTGCCATATTTCAAAAAGTGAAAATCTGGACAAAAGGTTGCTGAGCTTTTTATTGTGTGCAAAATCTGAACTATTTTAAAGAAAATTCGCCAAAATCTAGACTTCCAACATCGATTGCCATATGTTCGTATTTTCCCGGACATTTCAGCGATTTCCTCCAGGACACTGCTTCTAACTTCAGTGTCCGGGAAATTCCGGACATATGGCAACCCTACCTTTCGAATAGTAAGTGGTTTAAAACAAATAAACATTCTACTTATCAAATCACAGAGGAACAAAGGGTCCTCCCAATCCCCTTACCTTTTCTGAGGGTCCCTTAATCCCTGTTTTTAGACAGCTACCACAGATGAAAAAGATTTGGCTAAAACCAGTGGTGGCTGGTTCCCATTGGGACCAGCAAGGCTGAATGCAGGGAGCCAAACAGTAGGTGGCGCCAGAGCCCACTAATTGTACTTTTGTCCACATCCTGCTTCCTTCTGAGAACTGAAAGGTCAACATTGAAACTAAGGAGGAGGAAGGTGACATGCAGTTTCACACCCTGGACTGGATATAAGTAGAAAGGCAGGCAGGTGCTGAGGGCAGACTAAGGCTGGACTAAGACACTGCCCCATTTGTCCTGATGCACCAGCCTCCACTGGCTAAAAATGCATGAATCAAAGGGTGGAGATAGCATATTTCATGATAGGACCCACAACCTTTTCCTCCAATTCAAAAACCAGGAGAAAGAAGAAAAAAACAATGCAAGGACAAATTGTTTTGAGCATGTGCAGAGTTCTTCCACCCCACCCTCCCAATACGTATCTATCTACCTACCTACCTATTTATTTTAAAACTGCATCTGCTGGAAAGCAAGGAATAACAAAGAAATTGAACACACACACATATATGGCGTATCCTCTAGTTCCAGCATATGAGTGGCAGGGTGACATAGTAGATCAGGCCAATAAATTCCGAGCGACTGAGGTTACGTCAGAAAAAATGCTGAGAATTCTATCTGAAGTGAAGACAATGAAAAAAACAGTCCTGTTAAAAGCAATCAGGGAGAGACAGAGCCAATTCCTGCAAACCTTTATTTGTACTGGTAAAACCCAATAAAGACTGAAAATTCATCTGGCATCTCCACAGCTACCAGCAAGACGAGAGTATTCCTCCTTTCAGTATCGAAAGTTAGAAGGCTCTGGGTGCAGTGCCCCATGGGGGGGTCTGAAGTCTCCTTCCTTGCAATGCTACTGATGGAATGGGTCCCAGCTCAGCAACCCATCTGTGTGCCACGGCACTGCAGGTATTCCCAGTGTCCAATATGGGGAGGGCTGAGTCTGCCAGTGCTCCTTCTGCATGATTTCTTCTCCCAGAGGGAAGAGGTCTCCTCCTGCTCTCTCTGGAGCTAGGCTCTCTCTAGATGCCGGTACTTTTTCCGCAGCACGGACACCTGGTCCTTGAAGAGCACAGGGTCCAGGCGGAACTGGGAATGCACCAGAGGCATGTACCCAAACCAGGCTGCAAACTGATTGACGCACTCCTGGCGCTGAGAGAAATGAAGGTTCCCATTGGATGGGGGAGCGCTCTTCAACAGCTGCAGGGGAAACAAAGGCAGGCAATGGGAGGGAGAGTTCAGACGCATTGCTGTGAATTAATCCCCCACCCCCTGCAAATAAAAGGATGTTGCAAAAGTGCTATTCGGAAGCCATGCAAGGGTTCGTGGCTTCTCCTTTCTGCAATTCACATAGAGATTTCACATAAGGGCTGTTCACATTATACTGAACGCAGGTATAAGCTGACTCTAAATGCATGTGAAAGTTTGTGTGAAAGAGTGAGCACTTGTTGAGATGTACAGCTCAGCCATTGTGTACACAGGTTGTGTACTCATGGAGCCCTGCAAGTGAGCATGTGTACAAGTGTACAGCTTAACTATGTCTGTGCACAGGTACACACCTGGTACACGTATTGAATGTTATGTGTGAACACCCCATGCGGAGGGCGGGGTCTAGCCTATGGAATGAGGGAGACATGTGACTTTGTTTGCATTTTAATGAGGAAACACCTAATTCTTTCCAACACAATGCACAAACAACAGCTATTGTTCAAAATTTGCACTTCTCTGGCTGGGACTGATGGGAGTCGTAGTTTGGAACATCTGGAGGGCACCAGCTTGGGGAAGGCAGATCTGGAGTGACATTTCAGGGGTCCAAATGACTATTGGAGGGGAAATGATGTGGAAACAACTCTTGTTCAGCTCTTTTCCCCTCTACTCCCCATGTTGGCCAGTAAACCTTGTACCTGCTGCGGGGGACTCTCTCTGTGCTGCTTCTTCTGGGTCACTTTGATGGGAGGTAGCTTGGTGACAGCAGAAACCAGGAAGTTCATCAGTATGTCTTCACAGTTGGCAATCTGATCAACAAGGCTCCTTAGTCTAGCAGGCAAATAATTGGTGAAGAGGCTGTGATAATACCTGTCGAGGGGCAGAAACGGAGGCATCATAAAGTGGCAGGAAAGGAGAAACAGGTGCATTACTGACTTATCTCCGGACGGTTCAGGGAATCAGTGGTCTAGTAGGGGCAGATGGGGCTGGTGCTCATTGGAACTGGTTGGGCAGAAGGCAAGGAGGCCAACAGTAGGGGGAGCCAAAGCCCAACAGCAGCCAGAACCAATGACAGATGGAGTCAACTAATTCTATTTCTCTCCTCTTCTTCTTCTTCAAAGTCAGCAGTGGGACTAAAGAGGAGGAAGTTGACAAGCAGGGCCACCCTCTGGACTGGATGTAAGAAAGAAGGCAGGCAAGGGGGGGCTGAGGGTGGACTGAGGTTGGTGGGGCAGCGCTCAGTGGCAATAGACAGTCAAAGCGAGGGGTTGGGGGTGGAAGGAAAAAACAGAAAACTAGGAGGGGAGGAGAATGGAATGGAGCGCCCTAGATGAGAGCACAGCTGGCTGGTTGCAAGGCTGAGCAGAAGAACGCTGCAACATTTTGTTGCAGGCTCCACTTGTAATTATCAGTAGTGATAGCTGAGGAAGGGGAGGTACCTGTGGTAGAATGCAGCTGCGGTGAGGACCATAGAGAACTCATTGGTCCATTTTGAAGTGTAGCTCCACTGGCTCTTGCTGGCATCCCAGAAGTGGCTGCGCATAGGGAAGCCCACAATCCGGTCGGGGAAACTTCTCCACACCACAAAGGCAAAGTCAACCTGGAGAGTCAGGAAGAGAGAGAAGGAAGAGGATAAGTGCACCATTCTTCCAAGAAAGGATACTGCTTCCCAGCCACCATCCCTTCTCCAGCACTTTTCAGTAGATTGTGGAACAAGAACTGCCAATCCAACCATGCAAAGAAGAGCAGGTGGTATCTACTTCCTAGGACTGTGCCACTTCAGAATGCGGTGGGGCAATCTCATGTTTGAATGCTTCCCTTTTGCTAAGAACTCCCTGCACACAGAAAGGCAAGAGGAAAGGATTTGAGCCTATCTTCCTCCTTGAAATGCTACTCTTCCATGTGCAGGGGATTTCTTAAGTGTGTGATTCCCAGCAGGTACTCAGGGGCACACTGCCTCCGACAGTGTGGGAGTAGAACTGATAACTTTATCCTCCAGGAATTTGTCTAATCCTCTTCTAAAGACACCCAAGTTGGTGGCCATTCAGGTGATTGCCTGTTTGAGAAGTGACTTACTAAGCATTTTGCTGCATTTGCTGTGGGAAAAGTCAACACGCCTGTATGTTTTTAAATAAAAGAATGACATCTTCCCCACCCAAGCTGTCTACTCCTCCAAGCCCTATTTGAAAGAACAGCACTTCTCCCTTGCTCACCACTCCCTAAAGCAATTAAATGCATGATCCTCAAAAGGCCAGGGCTTCAGCTCAGTGGGAGAGCATCTGCTTTCCAAGCAGAAGGTCCTAGGTTCCAGGTAGGGCCAGGAAAATGACTCCTTCCTGAAACCCTGGAGGGCTGCTACCAGTCTGTGTAGATAATACTGAGCTAGATGGACCGGTGATCTGACTCTGTGTAAGATACCTTCCTATGTCCCTATCACCAGCTCAACTCCCTCAACTGTTCCTCATAAGGCTTGGCTTCCAGAGTCATTCCTGTGAACCACCTGAATGAAGTACAGGGGCTACTGGTGGTCTGCAGACCAAACTTTGGGAACCCCTGATTCAGAATACTTATTTCCTGCTTTACAGACCCTTCCCCCACCGCCCAAGGCTCTCATGGTGGCATACAAACAATATGCAGAATGCAATCATATTCAAGTGTAGTATCATGAATACAGCCAGCTCTGCCATTAGGCAGAGTGAGGCAGCTGCCTCATCCAGCAGGTACTGGATGTCATGGGAGTGCTGGAAATTGTTGGTTATTTAATTTTTATTGTGTTTTTTTTACCACTGCTGTGGGACGTGGAAGGTGTCTGGGGGATTTTCTGCCCGAAATGCCAAATATTTATACTGCCTTGTGCCTGTTATTCATCTTGATCTGGGAATGAGGGTGATATCTGCTGCTCCACCTCAGACAGTAAAATGTCTTGGACCAGCCCTTTCGGAAACAGAAATAGCACAGTGCCCAAATGATGCCAGGCTGATGCAGGCGGCATTTCCTGCTCTCATCCTTGGCCCTCCCTGGTGTTGCCAGGCAGCAGCTCCCCGCTGAGGACCTTTGCGGCAAGGGAGTAAGGCTGAGCAGCTGGAACTCACTCAGCTCACGATGATGAAGGCAAAGGTCTTCCCTTGCTGGCAGTTCACCAGCTGAACAGGAGAAATTCTACCAAGTTGCGGGAGAAGGAGAGAGATGCGAGTGCAAGGCCTTACCAAGCAGCTCAGCTAAAAGACCAGCAGCTTTTGACTCATCTCCCAAAAAATTTCCATTCCTGTTGCTCACTACAATAACTTTATTATCTAAGAATTAGTGCCTAAGCTTGCTTTTTTCCTCCTCCCTCCCAGCCTCTTTTCCTTTTGTGCTGTGTCTCTTCAATTGTGAGCGTGAGTGCAGGGCACTGCCCAACAAATATTATGCCCTTTGGCATGCCCATATATTACAGGTGCCCATGTCTGCGAGCAAACCATTAAAAGGCTCAGGAGAGCTGCCTCACCTCACTGGTTGAGAGGCTGGTGTGTTCATCCAGACTCAGCACCGCATCTGTCCCAATGGCGGAGTAAGGCAAAAACCGGTCACTAACCTTCAGCAGAAGAGAAGGAGACACAAGAGGGACATGGATCAAAATGACCCCATAGTATTATTTAGGCATATCAAGAAAACAGTATTGAAGGAAGATCAAGAAATGACCATTCATTTACTTCATGCAGCACGAATGACCAGAGATCAGGCATGAAAAAAGGAAGGAATACCAAAAGGAGAAGAATGATTAAGTAAAATCTGGCATATTGCATCAATGATTAAATTCACAAATAATGGTTATGGTTAGGCAGGGAAGACATGATAACACCTTTACTGAAAAATCAGAGTTTGTTTATTTCCTATTGGAATGAGAGAACTCGGGGCAAAATAAACCCTGATATGTTACTGTGAAGAATTGTAAGAAGAATTTCATTTGCATTTATCCGGGGTACGTTAATGCCAATGTTTTAACTTCTATATCTCCTCCACGGCAGTCAAAGGCAGCTTACCTTGCTGCTGCCTTGGATGATGGTCAAAGGTACCGTTGTCTGCGGCCATTTACTGCTCTGTGGGGGTGGCTTCTCACAGCTCCATAAAACTAAAATCTGTATTTAAAGAAAGAAGAAGAGGAGGCATATCACTCACAGAATCATGCGTCAACTGTCACAGACAAATGTGTGCACACACACATTTCCAGAACCCCCCCTACCACACAGCTGGGGAGCGGGTTGCCTTTTACTTTCTACAGACCATTCTAAGGCTAACTCCACCCCAGATCAGGAGTGAGGGGGAATGTTGCCTTTTCATCTTAAGAGATAACGCCTCTTCCTGCTTTTATCTCAACACTAGGATCAGAGATAAAAGATCCCTCTGCCTGTTCTTTAGAGAGGATCTCTGAAGAGCAGTCAGGGGGATTTTATATCATGAGATAAAGTGCTCTCGCTGCCCTCCAGAAGTGGCTCTCTAAAGATCAGGCAGAGTGCTTTATCTCCCAATCTGATTGGCTTCAAGGGCTGGCAGGCCACTTCCTGTGGCTTGGTGGGCTGGATACGGCCCCATAGGCTGCAGGTAAAACATTCTTGGAGTAGAGTAGACCATGTGATGCTGGCCCAACACCTTCATCCAAGCAGCTGACTGAAAGTTGGAGGAAGGTGGATAAATGGGTTTTATCTTCGTTATGTTAAAAGGAGAGCGAATTATAAAGGGGGGGGGGAGTCGGAGGTGATATAGAACAGAAGGATGGCCCCTTTGCAGGTAGTGCACATTTCTTAAAGAGCTTTAGGGTGGAGGAAGATGCTTTTATCTACCTGGAGTTCTCAGATAAAAGGTAACTTTCCCCCACTCCATCCTAACTTCAAAAGGCTGTATATGAAAGGTCACCAACGGACCAGATTTTAAAAACAAGCAAACCGAAACTGGCTTGCTTTTGGGACTTTAAGAGAGTTTTGGTCTGCAGAACTCAGCAAGTGAAGCTAATTAATGGCATGGAATTAATAACCAGTCTCCAGCTTCATTGCTGCAAATCAAACGGCCTTAAAGGGACAAGTCAGGTGCAAAAGCTGGCAAACCTCTCTGTATGTAATCAGACAGCCTGGGCTTGAGGTTTTTTGAATATGTTTGCATGTGTGTGTATTTAGATAGTAAGGAAGGTGTGTTTGCCTCTGTGTGTACATACAGTAACTCCCTCCAAAACCCACGGCCAGGCCAGCCCAGCCCTCTTCTACACCAGCAAATAAAAGTACCCTTACCTTGATTAACCTTTTTAATCAAACAGACCGGGGAGTTGCCAGGGGCCTCACCCATGTTTTGTATAAAAACAAAAAAAAGTGGAGAGAATAGTATAAAGTCTCCTATTCCTTGGCCTGTGGTTGTTAAATATCAGAGCCAGGGATGGGGAAGCCATTTCAGCCTCTGAGTTGCTGCACCTTTCCGTGTATAAGATTAAGTTTTTTCCTTAAAAGTCATACTAAAAAGTGGGGGTCGTCTTACACATGGGTAGTGCATAGGGTGGATGTTTTATTGGTTGCTGCTGCGTCTGTCAGCGGCTATTGTGCGTTTTATTGGTTACTGCATCAATAGGTAGTGTTGATTGGTTGACACTCCAGCAGTTGGGTGGGCGATAGGCAGTGCGGGTGAGTGATTTTTGGCATTCCTCCACAAAAAAAGCTCAACAACTCTGTACCATTTCCCCCCATTTTCTTAGGTTCCCCAAAAATAGCAGATGTCCTATACATGGGGGCATCTTATAGACGGAAAAGTACGGTACATTCCCTTCTAGGCAACTTTCCAGGTCAAATTCTAGTGGTGGGTGGCGTCAGGGGCAAAAGAGGGCAGAGCAAGAATATCGACTTACACACACACCTCCCACTGAGGCAAGCAAGAAGCATTATCAGGCTGAAAGAAAACCTTCCCTACCTGCATGAATGGCGTCATGTCAGCCTTAGGCTGCATTTTATGAGAAACTTTCCCTGGATTGATGACAACTGTCTTTGTGTTTAGCTACTCACTATCCTGCCCCACATCCTATTTCAAAGGATTTATTTTTATGTTTGTATCTCTAATTTTTTCTTTCTTTTAGAAAAGAATACTTACCGTCGACCATATAATTACCATGCTAGAAGCAATTACAGTTCCGCTCTAATAGATGACATCTAGAGTATGCGCTTTAATACAACCTCAATATTATTACTAAAAGCAAAGCATCGTTACTAATAAAAGACTCTCTTGGGGGAGAGTGCCGTATTGTAATGGGTCTATTTCGTTTAATTTAGCAAGAAGGCTTTATATTTCTCCAGCGATTTGAGTTTCCCACTCCACATCTTCTTTGCCTTCTGCATGAGCTAGAAAGTTAACGCAGGAACATAGGACGAGGCCTTTTACAGCAGGCGAGTGCATCCTTCCATCGACTCAGCACTATCTACGATGGGTGTGGAAAGGGCTCTCCAGGGTTTCAGACAGGGATCTTTCAGAGCCCTCTCTGGAGACGTTGGGAGCTGAACCTGGGATCTTCTGAATGCAAAACATGTGCTTTATGGCTTTAAAGCACAAGATCCCCTCCCCCCAAAAAGAACGGTGGGAACTGTAGTTTGTTAAAGGCGTTGGGAACTGTAGCTCAGTTAGGGGTAAAATACAGTTCCCAGGATTCTTGGGGGGGGGGGGAAGCTGTGTGCTTTAAATGTATGGCATGCACACAGCTTTTATCACTTAACTACATTTCCCCAAGGATGCAAATCATTCTTCTTATGAGGCCAGCATGTCTAGCAGCCTTTACTTGTTGTGCTAATATGGCCATCCCGAAGCTATTACCATAGAATCATAGAGTTGGAAGGGAACCTGAGGATCATCTAGTCCAACCCCCAGCAATGCAGGAATCTGCAGCTGTCCCTCATGGGGATTGCCATGCATTGTGGCAGTGAACTCGTGCATGGGAAGAGAAATCATTGTGGGTGGGCTACCTTGCACTCTTTTTTTCTTCTTTCTTTTGCAGAGGTTTGAGGAGCATTTTCTTCCACTCACAATCATGAACTCAAGGAAAGTGCCGCTTAGGCCATCTAGCTTGCTTCCAGCTGTGAGTTTATTGTGCAATTTCACACGGGAGAGCTGTTGTGTGATCTCAGTGACTTGTATGTGCATGTCAGAGGCAGGTTCCACAGGGTATCATCATCGCAATGGAATGCCAGCCCATACTTTTGTTACACTTCATGCAGATTTTCCCATACCATGGAGAATCCTATTTGTAAAAATGAGCCACGATGCAGCTTCTGTCACAGTTGGTGTGGAGGGGTGGGCAACTGGTCACTTGTGAGGTTGTGTTTCATTGGCTGCTCTCTATTGCCACATCCCTATTTCCACTTGCCCAATATGGCCATTTTATTTCCAGAGGACCAAGTGACAAAAAGAGGGTTCCTACTTCCACTGACTGTTGCAGGCTGGAGGCATGCCTGTATTCAAGAACCCAGCTTGAAGGAGCTAATTTCTCAAGATCTTCTTCACAAAGTAAAAGAGGGGAAATATATCAACCTTTAAAATACTAATAATACGGTGGTTTTGCACAAGACTGGCTATCACAATTCTGCTATTTCATCGCAGGTTGACTCAGCTAAATATTGATCCTGCAGCGTCCATATTATTATTTTAAAAGACACAAAATGGAGATGGATTTTGCCTCATCCCTAGAAAAAGCACAAGGCTCCACTTTGCCAACCAAAACATGATCCTCATCATCATAAACAATAAAATGAGTAGGGCAGGGAGGACCCTGCACAATAAAGGCTGTGTACATACCATACATGTAAGGCACACCCTCTACCGGGCAAATGATCGTGGGAACTGTAGTTTACCACTCACTGAGTTACAATCCCCAGAAACTTTAGCAAGGTGCTTTAAATCCCATGGTGTGTACACAGCTGAGATAAAAAAAAAAAAATTTAAGGGTAGCAAATCAGAAGGGAAGAGGTGAATTTCCACTCTGCGCTGTGCTTGTGTGGAACTAGTTGCCTCAACTCCTGGTTGTAGCTGGCGCCATGCCATTGTGGATGACACCTCAACAAGCACTGCTTCTGCTTGGATAAGACCAGAATGGCTGCATTTTTGTAGGCTTCCCTTGTTCTTTCCTGCCCTACCTCCAGGGTTGTGAATAGGTTGCAGATCAATATCCTGCTTTCTCCTCGCAACCATCTTATGGGTTGGCATTCCGGCTCTATCGTTGGGAGGCAGCCCAAAGCCACAAATCTTTTGTGGCATGACCAAACAAGGGAGCTGGGCCTCTCTCAGAGGCCAGCCCTGCCATCAGGCAGAATGAAGCTGCAGCCTCAGGCTACTGGGTGTCATTAAAGGGCAAATTGGTAGCTATTCTTTTAGAAGCAGGGAGTAGGAAGAGGTATACAGGGGGGTGTTCCATCTGCTTCATGGGGCGTAATGACTTGACCTGCCTTGAGTGTGATACACTTTGATTTGAGAGACAGGATGCTCCATTTGCTACTCGGCCTCAGGCAGCAAAATATATTGAGCCAGCCCAGCCTCCCGCCATAGAAAACACAGTCTTTCGTCTACCACATACCACCTGAGACTGGGTGCCTGAACATATGTACTTTGAACAAGTTCAGCTGGAGTAAAATGTATAAATTCAGTTTCTCTTAGTTCCCTCCCCCAAATTCAGTTCTCAGCTGGTAGAGCATGAGACTCTTAATTTCAGGATCGTGGGTTCGAGGCTCACACTGGGCAAAAGAATCCTCCATTGCAAGGGGTTGGACTAGAAGAGCCTCTATAATTCTATGTTTCTGTATAAAAGTATAATTATTTTTTATTTTTTAAATAAAGATCCTTATGAAAATTCAGTAGCATTTTACTGTGAATTTTTCCGCCTAACAGACACATTTTTGCCAAGCCATTCCCCCTAATACGATGCATTTTTGAATGTAACTTTCACCAACATATGCATTTTTTATCGAAATTGTACACATTACGTGGCTGGAGAGCTGCCTCTCAGAATTCGCAGAAACACAGATTTGGAAAGAAAGCTGGCATTTTGGTTCACATGCAGCTTCGGAAAGTGCGAATTTAGTTCACACTTCATATGCGAGCTGAATCAGCTCTCTCCCCTACCCCTACTTCAGAGTAAACATGGCCTGGATCTAGGGTGCAAGGGCATCCTGGGCTGGCGTGCCCAGGCCAATTTGCTGCTGTGCATTTCTGAGCACCTGGGGTGGCCTGAGATGGGTGAGGCCTGTTGGCAGAGTTCTTCTTCAGCAAGACATAATTGCTGACAGGACTTGCCCCGCAGGTAGGAGGAGAGGTGAGCACCTGCTGGCAGCGGCGGTGGCTGTATGCCCACCCAGGTGCTTCCTCCAAGCTGCCAACCATTCCAGGGGAAGAAATATACCACCTCTGACATTTTGCCTTGGTGCATATGGGATGGGTGCATATTTATGGAGGAGCGGAAGAATGTCTCACTTCATCAAAGATTACTAAAGAGTTTTTTTTTAAAAAAAGGGCAGCAGCAGTAGGACAGGAATTGTTACATTGGCACCATCAAGGCAGACTTTAGGGCAGAAGCCCACAGCCCTGTTCAACAGAATGAGCACAAGGACCACCCAAATGCAGCAGAGTTAACATATCACCATTTGATGCAAGTGATGAAATACATATGAGCATATAAAGCAGGTGCAGGGAAACCTTTGGGCCTCCAGATGTCACTGAACTACAACTCCCATCAGCCCCAGCAAACATGGCCAATGGCCAGGGATGAGGGGAGTTGTAGTTCAGCGATATCTGGAGGGCCAAAGATTCTTCAGACCTGATCAAAACAGTTCCTCTCCCCTCTGCTCCTCTGATAACAGTATTAAGACCAGAATCTAAAGTTACCTTACTCCACTGAATGGTGGAAAGAATAAAGGTGGGGACAAGGTGGTAGAACCTAGAGGTCAGGGTGTGCACTTCTCCCAGAAAGCCATTGTACTATACCGTAGGTAGGACAAACCACACCTCCTGCTTACCTGGGCGCAGTATTGGGACCCAGAGACAGCTTGGATGAGCTTGAGGATGGGCTGAGAAAGGGAGACAATAGGCGAGACAGCCCGGATGAATGCTGTAAATTTGTTGGAGGGGCTGGATCCTGTTACAGGGAGAAACACAATTAGTATGAAATACCAAAACCGCTCCTCGTGCCCCACCTTTTCCATGCGGCCCTGCCTGTCCCAAGGAACTTGCCATCTGTAATGCAACGCAAAACAACAGAGGAAAGGGCAAAGAGGGAGAAGGGGGCAAAATGTAGCGGCTTAGGGGATTGTTGGGTGGAATATTGCCCATCATGTGATGCTGCTTGCTAAAAGAATTGCACTGGCTGCTCAAGGTTTATAAAGCCCTGTATGACTTGGGACCAGGAAACCTAAAAGATCATCTTAGTACCTATCACTGCACTCTGTGGGAAGGCCTCCAACTGATACCATCTCAGCAGGAGGTCCATTAGGCATGACACGGGAACTAGGTCTCAACTGCAAAAGCGTAGCATGTGGGTATAGGGGGACCATGGCCCCTGGTGCACATTTTTGAGGGGATATAATCAGGCACCCCTACGACAGGTACAGAGCCTTTGCAGCCGAGGCGTGGAGGCAGGCGGGTTGGTCTAGTGGCCAGGTGGATGGAGGCAGAGGGCCAGGAGCCTGTTTGAAGCAGGCTCCATTCACCCTCTGCATGGGCTCTGCATGGGCCCTCCTGGCAAAGGCCCCCAACCCTAACTGCCCAGTCCACTGGGGGGGGGCAACACTTGCCATGCCCCGGGCACCGGCAACCCACGCTATGCCGCTGCTCTATTGTAGCGGCACCTACCCTTCCATTACGTACCAGATAGTTGGTGTTGCTATTATCTTTTTGCCCCCTTCTCTATTTCTAGTGTACACCTCAGCAGAGGGTTGAAGGACAAGCATGGAGGGGAGGCATCTGAATGTGCGCTCCCACCCATCAGCTGGTGAGCAGTAGGAGTACACCTTGCTCAAGGCTTTCAAACACTCCTTGAGTTTCTCCTTCAAACCTCTGCTAAGGTTTAAAGGAGTAGTGTGGAGGGTGGGTGTGAATGCACCTCCAACACTCCCCCTCTTCTTCTTCTAAGCTCCGCAGTTTGAAGGAGAAATGTGGGGGTAAGGGTGGGGGGGTCTGAAAGCCCTTTGTAAACATCCCTGTGTGAGGATGTTGACAAAGGGCTGTTTGAAAGCTCTGCAGTTTACTTTGAAGCCTTGTCAATCGGGCCTTCAAAGAGAAGCATTACCTGCCATCACTATGGCATCAGGTGTGAATGACAGGTGGGCAGCCCTGCCTGCTCTACCCTCCGTAACTTCGTTTAATCCCTTCCATTGCTTTCAGGCTCCTTGGGAATATAGGCCTCTGTGCAAGGATGTGCCCTGATGGTGCAGTAATAACCATCATTCCTTCTAATAGCAAACACAGCTGCCAGATGCCGGCAGAATTATAGCTAAAATGGGACCACTGGAAAAAACAAGAGGACAGTATCAGCATGCAAGGGTAAGCTCCAAGGTTTACCGAGGATATAGCAAAAATATGTAGGGGGAGTCACCCACTCAGGCATCACAGTAAGGACTGTGCATAAATAAGACAGTAATTGTTATTGTAATAATTAGGGATGGGTGAGAATTTTGATTCAGTTCATGCTTTCCAAAATATTATGCAAATTTTATAAAATAATTCAAAATTTGCACTTGTGATTCAGTTCTCCAACCAAGCCACATGTACAAAAATGTGCATATTAAGAGAAAATACACATAAAAGTGCACATATTGGGAGAAATAACTATACAGAATGTATCATCCCGGGGAAAATTGCTTGCAAAAATATGTGATGTGTGCTAAGATGGAAAAAAAATTCATGAGGATGATAGACTGATGTGGAAATGAACTTAAGGTTGGTGGGGGGAGAGAACAGAAGGGAAACTGAAACTGACAGATTTATCCATCTCTAATGGAATAAAAAGCAAATAGAAGGCATAATGTGATGTGTTAAGTGACAGTGGGGGTGGTGCGGGGGGGGGGGAGAGGGGAAGAGTCCCTTACCATGTTGCAGATAGTAGAAAGGGAAGTCATTGAGGTGGGTGGAGTATTCTGGCAGTGCCAGCAGCCCTCCTGGAAGGGCATTCCAGAAGAACTTTGGGCGGGATTCCTGATGAAATATCCGATCCTTTATGATCTGACGAAAAAGAAAGAAAGCTGTCATCACGCAAGCAGCATTACGCTCCTGAAGCTGTCAGCACCTGACAGGTGATGAGAGGGCGTCACCCGGCCTGTGAGATCATCTGCAAACCGCCCTCCTCACTTCAAGGTAAGGAAGGCTGGACTAGGGGCACACAGACACCCAGAGTCTGAACTGCAAGCCAAGAAACCCCAGTTCAAAATTCACCTGTGGGGTGAGCTTCCATAGTTACCTTATGGCAGATGGGGGGAAACTTGGGGGGGGGACACTGTTGACCTCTGACTGCTGGCCAGTCTTGGCCTGCAAGGGTGTTCAATTTGACCCAAACAGCTATTTCCCCCTGAAACCAGGCCTACCTGATGAACATAGTTCATAGCTGCAAAGTGCTGCTCCACCTGCGCACTCCCTGCAGGGAACACACACTGGTGATGCAGATAGCAGAACTGAACCCTCCACTCATTGACCGATGAGCAGAGCATTTAATCCTGCATAAGACTGCTTCACTGCTTGCTCATTCCCACATGGTGCCTGATAATTGACAGGTGATTGACACCTGTCAAATTTGGCCTGGGAAGTGGAGTTGAAAAAAACTGTCCCATCGGGCCAGAAAGGTTCCCCGCCCCTGCTATAGCCCTTCCTACAATGGGACAAGAACCTCGCTATATTTTACATGCGTGCACAAAGCAGCACATGAAACAGGCTTAAAGTGTTGGCTGCTCCCGGTCTTTGGAACTCCCTCCCTAGAGAAACTAGACTCCTTGTCCTTCTGCTGGCAAGTGAAGACTTTTTTGTTTCAACAGGCTTTGGGGAACTGGCTGCTTTCAATGGAAGGGGTGGTCTAAATATGTATATGGTTTTACAATGACTGTTTCTCCTATGTTCTTAGTGGTTCTTATTTTTATATGTAAGCCGCCTTGAGTCCCATCAGGGAAAAATATGGGGTATAAATAAATATTTAATAATAATAATAATAATAATAATAATAATAATAATATTAATAATTCCAAAGACCCCTTTGGAGGCAGGCAGAGAACAATGGAGAGGAACATAATAAGTAAACACACAGGGAAACAGGGGCTGGTGGCTATCATTCTCTTATCTCTTTTTAAAATATTGGTTAATATTCCCCAGGAGTTGAGAGGTGAAGAAGTCAAAGCAGATTAGCTGTTTAGGAGAGAGAGATAAACAAGCAGAAGGGGCTTGCTGGGAGCCACTAAGCCCGCTTCCCAGCAGGAGAGTCCCTGCAGCTTACTGGGAAGGAAAGTCGGCAGGGGAGATGCAGCAGGGAGATCTGCGCAATGAAAATGTTCAGATGGAGCTAATTCGGTGTTCCTGCTGGTGCGTTTGCACCTCACCAACCATCTTGCTGCCCACCTGTGGGGAAGCTAGCATAGCGGCTCCATCTCGCCTGACAAGCAGCTTCCATTAGCAAGGGATGAAAAAAGACGGCCAGCAACACTTTATCTGTATGTGCTATTTCTCTCTCCAACCCAAATTTCCCTGCCTTTTTTGGGGGGGGGGGAGAGGGGGTTCAGAATTCCTGTTGAGCAGAACCCTGGATTGGTGATTGTCACCTGCTCAGCATCTCTTGGGACAGTTTGCAAAAGGAGGTGTTCCCCATGACCTGAGCCTCTGCCTTTTTGCTGAGTTACCTCAGGGAAGCTTTGAAGGCTCAGGTGTTCAGGTTTAGACAAGCAGCTGTAAACTGCAGGGGTTCGTCTAAGCTCTCACCACTTTGTTTATCCTGCTGCTAACCAGGCATGGAAACAAACAATGCAGTTGTCCTAATGCTTTCTATTCCTGCTTGGACTGAAAGGAACCAGCTCTTCCCCTTTTCGAGAGGCTTTCATGGGGCACCCAGTAGACAATTACACAATTACAGGCACTGATCAGGCTGACACCTCTTACAGCACTGGATGCACCCAAATTGCTCACTGGGCCTTAAGGCAAATGTGGTCTGTGTGTTTGCTTTGAAAAGCTATGGATCTAAACACCATGCTAAAGTCTGCAATTCCACTGATTCTAATCTAATTCTAATCTTAATTTACTTGCAGCTGACCTCTTGGAATATTAATCTTACTTATCTTCCTCACATTGGAGACAAGGTACTGCCAAGAGCTCAGGACTGAACCAGCAGATCAGGTGTTCCAAACTGATTTGCAGGCTTCACCTGCAGAGGCCCTGAGGCCTTGGTACAAAGCGTGTTGCTTTGCTTTCACTGTCTTCAGTTTTGCAAGGCTTGTTTGACTTGTCTTAATCAGTACATGCAGGATCTGAGCATGCTTTTGGCCCAGTATCGCCCCAGACACCCCCGATCAATCTCTCTAGTCTTTCCTCAAGTGCAACAACAGTCATTCATCAACAACAGACAAATGACGGGCACAACACAGCATTATAAAGTTATGAACGACATGGGAAGAGTTGATGAAGATCCCTCCTCTCATAATATTGTAACTCAGGGTAAAGTACTGAAGTGTGTGGGCTGTAGGTGACAGTGTATATAATCTGAAGGCACATGGGACCACCACCTTGCTGAAACTAAGCAGATCTGGATCTGATCAGTGCCTGCAATGTTCGGTTCTATTATGCAAGAAAGGTTCGAAAGAAACTTAAGGTTTTTTTAAAAAAAATATGCTTCAAAGCAGAGAAAAGGAAGCACTATTTCACTCGATGCACTTACAGGGATCAGTGCCACCAAGACACAATGATGACTACTGGCTTAGGTTGTTTTAATATATTTCACAAATGCATGGAGGAAGATCAGTCTACCAGCAACTATTAATCATAATTCCTACAGAACTTTCCCATCTAGAGGCAGTTTAGCTTGGGGGGGGGGCAAACAAAGGGAGGTTGTTGTCTTCAGGTTTTCCTGGATGGCTTCCCAGAAGCATTTGTTGAGCTGCTTTGAGGAAACAATGCTGGACCAGGCAGATCTTTTGGTCTAATGCAGCACAGCTCTTCTTACAGTTTCAAATAAAAGTGTGCAGTGAAAATGTTTTCAGTTTCCTTTAATGCTGGGAACACTAGGGCAAGGAGTGCAGCTCTGGAAGTTCCCATGCATCACCAGGCTTCCTGATCAAGGCATAATTTCCCGTAATTTTTCAGCCACTAAACAAAGCAGAATTGTCTACAACTGTTCTATGACCAGCAATAGCCATGGCCTCTGGAGACATTTCCTCTTATTCATTTCAGTTTAACTGAAAGGGGATGCTCACTTGCATAAATGGATTATTATTATTATTTTAAAATTGCTGTATGTACAAACCAAATGACAGGCTTTTCCTCTGCAAATCTGTCCAATCACTGACAACTTGGCATGGATGATAAAATGGTCAGAGGCTGTAGCCAGGGAGTGGTTGCCAACATCATATGCCCTGCTTGCAAACATCTGCTGTAGTTCTGCTGAAAGCCAGGTTCTGAATTCCATGGGCATTTTGGTTTGTTCCAACAAGGCAGTTCTTAGTTAGTGTGTCAGACCCCACCCACCTGTCTCATTGGGCCCTCCAGGGGAAAGGCGATAAGGATCTGGCCAGCCAGCCAAAATAGATTCCCCATCAATGACGAAGTCAGCCTCCTGCAGTATTCCTGGATCCATCTACTCTCTTCGGTCCAAACCGTTCAGCAACAATTAACCTTGAACAAGGAGCTGGCCCATCGAAGGAATCAGCTGCCCAGACTCTTGTGTCTTACCTCAAGGGTGGTTTGCACAATCTTCTCCACAGAGGAGAAATATGCTTCCCACAAGAACTGGGTCTGCTGCTGGAAGGCCAGGATCTTGTCGCTGTGGAGACATCGGACTGTAGATGGAATCTGTGAGGAGGTAGAGGGATGGGGGGGGAGGAAGCAGAGTGATTTATGACCAATCACAAATATATACCCAGACATACTGGCTTTAAAACCAGGAGCAGCGGGGGGCCCTCAGAAGTGAAGGGTAAAGATGTTGAGTCAGCCAAACAAGCTGCACAGCAGGCATTGCCTGAAAGATGCATTCGTGCAGGTTACATTTTTCATACTTGGGAAGTCTGAATATTCTGAACTTGGGGCGGGGTGGGGAGTCCATAAAACCTTTGGTTTTGTGGTCAGTGCAATGAAATAAGTTACTATGTGCTTCAAAGGGAGACTCCGGCATGAAACCACTATTTTAAGAAATACAATATTATCACCTATGACCTGAATCAAGATAACAGGTTTTTATCCCAATATAGATGTTAATTGCTCCACCAGTGCCAGGAATTTTGTACTACCATTAGCAATGATTAGGTCACTGTACATTTAAGTTTTAATGTAATGGTAACAGCGTGTAGTTTTTGCATTTCATTACTCTGACCTCACCGCTAACTATTGTGGAGGGGTGCGTGTGTGGGTACACACGCATATGCGCGCGCGCACACACACACACACACACACACACACAAGACCTTTAAATTTAGGCTTGCACATCTGATGAAGTCCACAAAAGCTCATGCCATAATAAAAACTGTTAGGCAACTTCTGCATCTTATATTTAGGACAGTATCATACCACTTCCCCCAAAGCATTCTGGGAACTGCAGTTCGTTAAGGGTGATGAGCATTGCCCTGCCTTCCTGCAAAATGTAGCTCTGTGAGGGGAATAGGCGTTTCTGAACAACACCCGGCACCCTTAATGAAACTACAGCTCCCAGGAATCTTTGCAGGGGGAAAATGGCTGTTAAAACCAGTGCTTTAAATGTACGGTGCACATGGGGCCTTAGTTGGATACCACCAGTGCTTTTTTTATCTGGGGGGGACGCAGGGGTACACATACCCCTAAACATTTTATGAATCTAAGTTTGACCTCATTGAGGGGCAGTATTTCAATATGAGTCAGAAAATGAGAGTACCCCTAAACATTTTTTAAGAAAAAAAAGCACTGGATATCACCCTCCGTAAATAACTGCTTAGATGTCTTTCATTACTTCAGGCACTACTCCTGTCAATGCACCCTCAGATTAACGGAGAGCACCCATTTCCCTCATGGACTCTTCAGATGCATGATCTACCAAGAAACAGTTCAGGCCAGAGCCGTGATGATCTCACAATCTCGCCTGCTGCTATACAGTAAGTCTACAGTGCTCTGTGTGAAAAGCACAGCCCTGCACAGAGGACCGCTTATGCTGTGCCTTCTTGTACCAGGCTGCCGGCCGGGCTCGGGTTGTTAACACAGTGCAGGCATTGTTACCTGCAGCAGGAGCCTCTCATCCCCTACGATGGCTGATTTGCTCCAGTCGATCACCTCCGAAAATGGCAGCTCCCAGCCGTTGCTGAGCAGCACCGGGATGCAGGCGGCCTGGATCAATGAGAGACGAGGAACAGAGATCAAAGAGACAGAAGAAAGAGAGCTGTGCAGGTGGGGGGGGAGCAGGCAGAGGTAGCTTTAGGATGAACAGCAGAAATCCATGCATGCTTCCTCAAAAGCAAGCCACACTGTGCTCAGTGGGGATTACTTCCAGGTAAGTGTGCATAACGTTGCAGCCTTTGAAATTCCTGCTGAGCTAGGAAGAGTGATTTAATGGCAACCTCTGTGTGTCATACAAGTGCTCTATTGCTGTTCCTACACACTTTCTGGCTGAGCTGCCAGAAGATGAGCCTGTTTGTAGGTGGGAATCACACACACACAACCTGAACCTCTGCAGCAACCTAGTATAAAGAAAACGGGCTTGGAGAGGCTTGGGGAATTTATGCTCAATTGGAGATTAAGCTAAATAAAATATTATTGCTTGTTTCTGGGAAGCAATGTACTAGGACATCCAATTCCCAAGTAAGGGACGTGCCGTATTTTTTGCTCTATAAGACTCACTTTTTCCCTCCTAAAAAGTAAAGGGAAATGTGTGTGCGTCTTATGGAGCGAATGCAGGCTGCACAGTTATCCCAGAAGCCAGAACAGCAAGAGGGATTGCTGCTTTCACTGCACAGCGATCCCTCTTGCTGTTCTGGCTTCTGAGATTCAGAATATTTTTTTTCTTGTTTTCCTCCTCCAAAAACTAAGTGCGTCTTGTGGTCTGGTGCGTCTTATAGAGTGAAAAATACGGTATATAGAAACAGTGCTTTTCCCCCCTAAAAAAAATGTTTAGGGGGTACTCTCATTTTCCTACTCATATTGAAATACTGCCCCTCAATGAGGCCAAACTTAGATTCAGAAAATGTTTAGGGGTATGCGTACCCCCAGGAAAAAAGCACTGTATAGAAATGAGGAGGGGTTTTGCTTCTTTTGATCAGGCTTCCCCTAAATTAATAGCTGGATGATTATGGTGATAATGAAGATGATGATAATTAATACTCAGGAAATGACCTATATAACAAATACTCAGATCATAGGTTCACCTGAATTGCAGAGTTTCAGGGCCTTTGACCTCTCTCCCCCCCCCCCCCCCCAGGCCTCTTTCCTGGCCACCACAGCCACGCAATTCATCTTCCCACCCATTACAGTTTTCAAGAAAATTGGTAGGAGGTGGCAGAGAGTGGAGAAATGCCTCCATCACTATCATATACCCTCAAGGAGAATCCCTAAAAGTACACATCTCTGCTGATCCATTATTTTTCAGTATATAATAAAGATATGCACACACATTAAGCTTTAATGGCAGATCATCAGTTAGATGAAATGCCACAATTCTGAATTAGAAATGCAAAGAATGCCAGAAAGTTACCATTAAACTGCTGGTGTGAAGAAGTAACCCCATCAAAGGAAAGGAAAGAAGTAGCTATGTCTTGCTTGGTTATTTTCCGCTTTCTCTAACTTCCTCTGTGCCAATCTGTTTCAAATAAGCCTTATTATCACTTCATTCACTAGTCAGAGCCAGGTGAGTCCACCAGTAATTTTGGTGCGTCAGCAGATGGTGGCACTACTCCTGCTTTTGAAAAGTCTTTCCTGTGTCCTCAGCCTCCATTACACCATTGATTGAAAGGAACTGAGCTTGCTGAAGGCATATCTACTCTAGAAACTGTCATGGCCTCCACAAGAAATCCTAGGAACTGTAGTTTAGGAATTGTGCTGAGAGAAAGCACTGCACTTTCCATTTAAAGAATTACATCTCACAGTTTAAGGAAATGGGGAAATGGGAATGACTCGTAAAACAGCTGATACCTGCAGTGCACTTGAATGTGGTACATCTACACTACAAATTTTGATTGCTTCAGTATCATTTTCAGATAAAAAGAGCAATGAACGAAACAAAAACTAAAATTCTCACCCATCAGTATATTTAAAAGGATAAATCCTCTGAAAAGCAAAGAGCTGAAAGAGGAAGTAGGGAAGAAAGTTTCTTTCTTCCACCTTCCTCCTAGAGCTCTCTGTACCTTCTGTGAGCAACAGTTGCCTGATAAACAGTAACAACTATTAAACCGGTTTATATCTGTAAATACAAAAAACACTTTTTGTTGTACCTGTAGTGCTTCTAGAAACCGGAAGGACCCCAAGCGTCTCCCTCGGGGAATGATGCAGAAGGTGGAATTGTGCAAAAGTTCCTGGTAGTCAAACCTGGGAAGAAAAGACCCAAACTTATTTTTCAGAAAGTTCTCATTGGTAGCTCTCTACTCTCCCCTATGCGCCTTGAACCTATGAGCAGAAGACTTTGACTGAATAGCCCCGGCAGGGGAAATATGGACATACTGGGATCAAATCAGAAGCTGGGATGGCTTTTAGAATTTCAGGACTGTCCCTAGAAAATTGAGGCACTTGGGGCGTATGCGATCAATAGATCGATGTTAATAAATATAATAATATCTGGAGGTCGCCATCACACTAGCTATCCCCAGTAGAGCCAGTACTGTGCTAGGTGAACCAATAGACTGACTCAGCATGTTTCTAATAATAATAATAATATGTCCCTGAGTTGCCTGTTTGGGGGCTGGCGTAATGGACAAACAACCAGCTCCCAGCAAGGGTCTCAAAACAACTACAAGACTCCAGTGGTCTCTCCTGTTTCCACCATTCTAAGCAGCTACTTTGAACACACATTGCACATCAGGTCAGGTCCAAGGTGGGCCCATGACGTATATCCTTCCCATATGCGTTTAAGGCACCGTGGAACAAAGAATGCACTCACGGCCCAGAGAATGGCTGACAGAGAAGTCGTGTGTGCTGAATGTGACGCAGCTCAGGTGGGGGGGGGGGAGTGGGAAGCTGAAGAGAGACAGAAGTTTCCACACAGCCCAGCTAAGAGTGCCGAGTTTCCCTCACCACACACATACAAATATCCTAAGTAGTGTTAGGGAGGGAGGTGGGGGGGCAACAGAGGAGCTTTGTACATGGAAGGATTTCCCACAGGATATGTGCATAGTTATACTTCATGGCTTCTCTTCCAGGCCCAGGGCTGCTTAGCTTGTGAATGAGAGCGAGCGCATTCTTACACATGGCTTCAAGCAGCTCCTGCTTCAGACAGGTTTGTAATGCAAATGTAAAGCCTGCATATTGGACAGAAATGCTCATTCACATTACAAGGGCCTGACTTAATTTTCCCACTGGGTTTGGGCCGGCCCTGTTATTAGGCAAAAGGAGGTTGTCACCTGGGAAAGCCAAGTAACGTGAAAGGGCTGCAAATAGTTATTTATCTGTTTATTATTGTCATTGTTTGAATCTCAGGAAGAGGTGTTTGTGGGATTTTCTGCATCAGGTGAAAAAATAACTGGGCCAGTCAGCCTTGGTACTTGACTAGAGGTTGGGAAGCCACCATTTGCTGCTCTGCCTGGGCAAAATGCCTTGATTTGGCTCTGTCCTGGGCACAGAATCATCCAGAGGGTGCTTTCTACCATAAACAATATAGTTTGTTTTCTATAAACGTACCCCTGCAGGTTATCTGTTTAGGGTGCCAGCGATTTCTTTTAATATACCCCAAGCAGTTTGCAATTCCAGAGTGTTAGTTAAGTAGATTCATTTATTACATATAATGGATCTCAGGGAAAATGCAATAGAGGACTAAATGGTGTGAATTAACAGTATAATAGTGATAAATGTCTCCTTCCATGAGGGAAGCATTATTCTGCATTTCATGGAAAATATATTTTTCACACGCACACATTTATTTTTTACAAGGGCTGTGTAGCCCCTTCTTCCAAGGAAGAATACCAAGGCAAGGGGAAGTCCAGATGGGGCCCAACCATTGACCAGAAATGGAGCTTGCTTCCCCACTCCCTGACAACAAAAGCACTCGGCTCCAACGGCCAATTGCCCTGGGACTGCAGAACTGAAGAGAAATATGCTCTGGCCACAGCCATTGGCCAGGGGACCAAGGGCTGGTTGGGAGCTGCTCCCTTTGCCTCCTAGGAAGAACATCAAGGTAAGGAAGAGACCAATTTGGTCCCATCCATCAGCCAAAGAAGGAGCAACTAAAAGAAGCTTTCTTCTCCCACTCTCTACCAAAAAAGAACACTTGGGCTCAAGTAGGATGTGCAGAGAATTCTGATGGAAATGAATTTGCCAATGTTCGCTTATGCATCCCACATCTGGATCGGAAATCAATCCAGTGAATATAATCAGTTTGTTGTTGTTGCTTTCGGTCCAAAATGATACATAATTGATTATGTCCACTCCCCCTTTGCATTACATTTCCTTAGCATTAAAACATATGGAGTGGAAATTACAACACAATTTACACATTCGTTCATTCATATTACATATTTGTTCATATAATGTTCTACCCTCCCAAAGGAGCCCATGATGTCAATTATGTAATTATGTAAATTACACAAGTTATGTAATCTCATCGCAGCGGGCAGCAAGATGAATAACAGAGTTTTTGGCAGAAGATGAACAGCTCTAGAACAGAAACGGTGGCACATGTGATAAATATGGGATGGAAAACACCCCTAGCCCTGGGACTACAGAGTTGAAGTTTTAATGGTGTGGCTTGACACATGGATGCACATATGTGTCCTGGGAAAGCCAAGTGCTCAGCCTGCAGGGACTGGAGAAGTAAAGGCACGCTTAGTGTATCAGAGCTGTGGAGCCACCCTCCTAACACTGGTGTTGCTGCTGCTTGGCTGGACAGGGACAGAGAAGGGTTGTGGCAAGGTCTGGGCCATGCAGCTGCACCAGTGGAACAACCAATCAGGCGCTCCTGTTGGTGCACCTGCATGGCCCAAACCTTACCAGCATGCCACCCTTCCTCTCCCTTGTCCAGGTGCTGTGGGAAAACTCCACACCACTGTTAGAAGTAGGTCTGAGACCTTCAAAATAAAATCTGAACAAAATTGGTGAAGCAGCAAAGAATTAATTGATTGCAAAAGTGTTCTTGCAAGAGTGGGTGTCCAAAAGTAGCAGACACAAGCTTATATCCCCTACACCCGAAGCGCAGGTCCCTCCCTTGTCTCCCCCTTGGGTGGTGACTACAAAGTTTACAGCCTATCATGACCACCTAATTACCCTACTAACATTATTCATTATTTCCCTTATTTGGTCTATTTCCTTTGCAACTACATGCTAAGCCAAACAAAAATACCTGGAGATAAGTGTGAATTGATCTCTATACTTGCTGACGCTTGTCTACTTATCACACCCACGTTCTGACCACTACCAGGTGTCAGCAAGATGCCTGCTTCTCTGAGATTGCCTAGCATCCTTGTACAATGCAACATTATGCCTGAAGCTTTCCAGTAACTATGGTCTTGAGCAAAGCAACATCATAGCCGTGGCCTTGTGGCTTTTATATGAAAAGCAACATTTTCATTTCTTACACCATTACTCTAATTTTGGCAGCTACCACCCTTGATTACCTTTGGTCCATGTTTCTTATGTTTTTACACATTGACTCAAGTGATAAAGCCACATCCCAATCACTAGTGGGTGTAAACGAGTTCCATATCAGCGAAGCATACAATAAACAGCATTTCAGTTGCAAAAGGCCCTTATCTATGAGCATCCTAACCACAAGCTTTTCTAAAGGTACGCCCTATGAGTGAGTCTGTGATTACTTAGCCGTTTGCAACCTTATAGTCTTTTGAAAAAGCACGTTCTTATACCTCACAACCACCAAGACAAAAGCCATGGAAAACACAGGTGAGCAGCAGCGACACCAATGTTGGTAAGACACCTCTGTCACACCACACAAGTTGCTGCCAGGTTGCACGGCTTGGGTTTTTCATCTCAGTCTTGAGCTGGCCATGCTGTTGTTGTTGCACTCTCAGGATCTGGATTATTATACTGTCATCATCCCCTGTTAGCCATGGCTTTAGATCCCTATGTATAAATCCAGGCTGATGATGAGGCCTGTACTGCAGTCCACTCACCTGGAGTCTTCATCAGCCCTTCAAACCAGGAAGAAGAACAAGGAAACTAGTCTATCTGTTGGGCAAGTCAATGTCTTCTAAACATCTTCCCCAGTGCATAAAGGGCTCTGTTGGGAATGTTCCTGGTTCCTACCACAGCCTGATTTTGGGAAGCCTGGAACCTGGCAGCAACCACCATGCTCCATGAAACACCCAGAGATGAAAGAAGCCTCTGTGCAAACTTCACAGTGAGAGAGGTAAATTCACTGCAGGCTGCCTGTGTAACCACAGCGGAAAATCCAATATTTACATTTGCTCTGGACACACCATCTTGTGTTCCAAACTTGTGCTCCACCAACAAGCAGCACAGTGGGGCAGGAAGAACAAAGGGGCCAGTGTGGGGCACGGCGCCACGTTGAATAGTACTCTTGGCTTTCAAGGAGGAGGCCAGCTCCCCTCACACACAAAACACTGAGGGGAGTGCAAGGCTGAACAGATTGTTGGGTTATAAAGTTCTCCAACCATTCCCACCCAGCCTCACCCTTCAGAAACTAGGGATCTTTAAAAAAAAACCAACCCTCTACCAGTCTGCAGTTTCATAGCATAATACAAAATCTACTTGCTTGTGTACATATCTTGGGTTGTTTCTTAAAAGCCACAATAGTTTCCTTAGCAGCAAAACTGACGACATTCATTGGACCGCCATCTTATTCTGACTGTGCTTCTGGTTTAGGATCTGTTCATGCGTGTGTGGGCTTGTTTCACTTTAATGAGGGATGGAAGAGAATTTTGTCTAGTCCACAATTACAGAGAGTTTCAGCTCATTTTGACATTTCTCTCTACTTCTTTTTTAAAAATCACTTATACTAAAACTGAAATAAAATTTTGCACAAACTTTAAATTGTGTAAAATTGCAGATTTTTCGAATTCAATACTTGTCAAAAACACCTCCACTGTTAGAGGCAATATGTTTCTGAACACCAGTCTCTGGAAACCACAGAAGGGGAGAGTGTTGTTGAGCTCAGGTCCATCTTGTGAGCTTCCCAAGGGCATCTGGTTGGCCACTGTGAGAACAGGATGCTGGACTAAATAGGCCACTGGACTGATTCAGCAAGATCTTTGCATGTTCTTAAAGTGAACTGACTCACAGTTCCCAAACTTAAAGCTGGATTAGAACACAGTTATCAATCAAAGTGCACATGCCTCTGAACTCTGGGAATTGAAACTCTGTGAGGGGAATAGGAGGCCTCCTCACAACTCTCAGCACCCTTAACAAACCACAGCTCCCAGAATGCTTTGTGGGATGAATGTCTATGATTGCTTTAAAGGCATGGTGTGAACGTGGCCCTGCCCTAAGCATGCAGCAGCAAAAAAGGCCCCCACACTAGCCACTTCAGGCTGTGAGCGACTAAATGACTTCTGATGTTCAAAAGGTGTTTTTTTTAAAGAATGGACTGAGTCAGCGCTGGAGCCCTTGGACTGCCTTGTAAGTACTTCTGTTTCTTTATTTTATATTTGCGTTTCTACACAGACCCTAAGGATCCCTCCTTTTAAAATCCACACAGAAGCATGTACAATCGGGATGAACGTGACCAAAATGGCCAGTCCATCCCTAATCTCACCACAGCGAGGAGGACTACAGTCAGGTGCCTTTTTGGCCTGTTTTCTATGTGCTGCTAACAGATTATGGGCAACTTCAAGGCCCCTCTTGCTCTCCCCTCTTAGGAGTTCCTTCTCTTTAAATCAGATTTAGGCCCAGCAGCATTCAAACAGAGGATGCCATCGGTAAAGTAGGAGACAGTGCCCACCACCCTGTTAACTATTCTGATATCTGCACCCCTTGTTAAAATGTTAAGGGAAATGTGTTTTTTAGAAGAACCCTATTCCCTCCACAGAGCGCCTGTTCTCATAGCAATTTTAACAACCAATTTGCTTTCCCAGAGAACTCTGGGAATTGTAGCTTTCTGAGGGGAAGGAGGCCTCCTAACAGCTCTCAGCACCCTTAACAAACTACAGTTCCCAGGATTCTTGGGGGGGAGGCATGACTGTGGTATGATAGTGCCTTAAATGTATGGTGTGAAGATGGCTTTACACACATGTAAGCAGCGTGAGTTTCTCTTGAGTCACAAACCTACACCTACAAAAATGGCCCTGAGAAATGGCACAAGTTACAAGTGACTGCCGGCAGACCTTACGGCAGTACCAGTGGAGCCCTGGGCAGGAGCAGAAAGACGTCTCTGTGGCCAGAATGCCCCTTTGCAGAACCAACGTCAAGCTGTTGGCGGGTATCCAGCAGTCTCTACAGCTGCCAGTTCTTTGGCCGACATACCACACCAGAGTGATCCCGAAAGCACTCCACAGTTGGCAGGCCTGACGCGATATTTCTTTTGGAGCAGTTCCTTTGCTTGTTGGCTGGCACTAACAGCTCACAGCCTTTCCAAGCCTGCTAAAAGGGGCTGAAATCTGTGTTTGCTCCGTGGAACATCCTGTGTTTGGGGAAAAGTACCATCAATAAAGTTCCTCCTTTAAGGAGCTGTGCTCTGAACCTCTGTCCCACAAAGGCCCCAGCAGATTTGCTGAACATTTTAGCATAGTAATGTATGTGTGTGACAGTGTGTGATGAACAGCAGCATTTATTTATGTTATTTATAAAAGTATTTATATACCGCCCTTTCATAAAAATATCAGGGCAGTGTACAGCAATATATATATATATATTTTAGAAAACAAAACTTTAAACCCTGGCCTGGTAATATGCTTTGGCCTCTGCCTTTGGTCAGCGAGTCAAAGCAGTTATATATCCCGGCCTCATCTTGCCCCCAACCAATTCAACAAAAAAGGAGTGGCAGCGGAAAGCTGACTTCTCCCCTCCTTGCCATAAAGAATACAAAGATGTTACTAAGAACCAGTGCCTGAGTTTTGTTTATACTCACAGTCCATCAGTAAAACTAGATCAAAAGTTGCACTACACTTTGGAACCCCCTGCCTATTGACACCAGGCAGGCACCTTCCCTCTGCTTTCTTATGGCACCTGGTTAAAACATTTTTGCGTAGGCAAGCCTACCCAGGCATGTAGAAGTTATGTGCATTTTATTTATTTTTAGCTACTGTTGATTTTAATCTTTTGAATACTGGACAGCTGAATCTTAATTCAGCACGTCAGAGGGCACTAACATTCACTAACCACTCTTCTTGACACCTGCTTGCTGCTCACTCACACAGACATTGCAAGGACACCACAGTGCATTATCTCAATTGAGACCTGTTGGGGGCTGTATTCTAGTAAAGCAGGAGGGGCCAGAAGCCAAAGTGGGCAAGGCCAGAGAACATGGTGAAAATGAGGCATGCACACACAGACAACGTGTTATGAGGGGTTTTTTTGGTGGAGAGGTAGTCTGTATGCCTTGTCTCCCTTCTGATTCCTGAAATAGCCAAGCTAGCTTCCTAGTGAGGCAATTGCCTAGGTAAGGGGCCATTAAGGGAATAAAGGAAGCAGAAAATGGGTTGAGGGCTCCTCCCTCAACTGGTTGGTAGTTAGAAAAAGAAGGATGAGAGCTGAGAGTGGAGTGATGTGAGCCAGAAGCAAAGCAGCAAGCTAGGAAGCAAGAGAGTCAGAGCAATGCTTGGTTTCTATTTGAATCCTTCTTGGTGTGTTAATGCTGTGAACCCTCCATTGTAGGCTCAAACTGTAGATATGTGTAAATAAACCTTATATTGTAAAAACACCACTGTCTGCACTCAACCTCATTCCAAAGGAAACACAAACTCTAGTTAATTCCACCTGGAACCCCAGGAATCTCACACTGCTCGGAGATTGGGGTGGCATGCAACAGTACTTTATAACTTAGCTTCTCAGGCCCAGGAGGAATTAATACTCTTGTCACACAACTACAATATTTGCTTAACAGAATGCATTCTGCCTCCAAACCCCTGCCCTTTCAAACGGAGACAATGATTCATATTGATGGCACCCAGTATAAATGAAGAAACAGGTATGGACAGATAAGCCTTTTTCCATACTGTGTCACTGACTCGATTATAGTTGTGGTCCATCCCATGTTTTGCAGATTTAAAAAATGAATGAAAACTCCACATTTAAACTGCATGCATTTAACTTGCATTTTATCTGTGTGCTTCCCCTAAAATGTTCTGCTTTTCAGTACATTTCCCCCCCAAAAAATTCCTCAAAAAATACAGTTTTGTGCACCCTCCCCCAATGAAATTGCATCATATAATTCAGAGAAGTGTATAGTCTGTGTGACAGCTGCGTTCTGATCCACATATAAATCCATTGCTGACAAATTAGATCGGTTCGCTTTAAAATGCAGACCAAACACATTTCACCTCCATCTCTGTAAAGAAACAGCTCAGCTGCTCCTGCCATCAGCATGCGAGACTAGGAGGGATTTCTGCAAGACCCAGCATCCCTGAGGAGTGTCCTTCCCTGACTTGTACTTGTAATAATCTGTGGCCTAATTCGAGGTCTCGTTGAGCAAAGGTAGCTGTGGACAGAAGTAGCTGGGCCAGCCTCACTTTTCATGCATTTTAACAGAATAGGAAAGGACCTGAAAAGAACTTAAATTCTTTCCCAACCGTCACAGGCCCCAAGGAAACAACAAGGATGTAGGCCGCTGTTTGTTTGACTGTTCCTTTAAAACAAAAAGTACAGAAAAGGAGCGGAAGAGGTGAAACCTCTGTTCTGGCTAGCTGTAGAAGCACCAATGCAACTAGGTGAAGTTTTGCTCAGAGGCAGGTCTGAGAGAGCAGACATTCTTAAACTAAGAGCACAGAGCCTTGATGGATCAGGCCAGTGGTCCATCAAGTCCAGCATCCTGCTCTCACAGTAGCCAGCAAATGCCTGTAGGAAACCTGCAAGCATGAGCTGAGAAAATCCTTTTGTCTGTCCTGAATCTACTGCAATTTTATTGGGCACCCTCAAATTCTAGAATAAAGGGAGTCCTCTCAGGCACTTTAGGCTGATTGACATTAGACCCTCCAAGCGTCCCTATTTTTCAGAGCCAGCTCCAGATTTACAGAAGCCGCTCTGGTTTCTAATGTGATCTTGGAATGTCCCGCTTTTTCTTAGGATGTCCCAATTTTCATAAAAGAAATGTTAAAGGCTATGGAATTATCTGAACCCTGAGCCAAGAAGATAAGTAACTATATAACCTTTAGAAGACAACTGAAGGCAGCCCTTTATAGGGAAGTTTTTAAATGTGTAATGCTTTTTTATGTTTTCATATATGTTGGAAGCTGCCCAGAGTGGCTGGGGCAACCCAACAAAATTGTTGTTGTTAATGTTTTGCCATGAGAGCAATTTTACCTTTACAAGACCCTCTTCATGCTGCCAGTGCTTTCTCTGGGTGGTATTCCACTTAAGTTTTACTCATGTTCATTGATTTCAACTCTGAGTAAAACTCTGAGTAAAACTCAGTTGACTACCACCCTCTGTTCTTGCTCCCATGTACTTCACTCAAAGTAGAGGCTTTATAGCTTACTGTAGGTTACAAAACCCAAACCTATGAGGCACAGGAACCGTAAGCAAAACTCACATACCCAAAAATATTTGGAGCCTATATCAAATTACAGATAGGAGCAGATGGCTGTGCAAGTTAAGAGCAGATGGAATCTGCAGGAGTAATGTGGATATTTAAGCATGCCCACAGCTCAGTATGTGCTTTTGCTTTAGTGGAACTGTATATTTCGCTCCAAATCCTATTTTGGTCAGAATCTGGCAGTAACTGTAATTATGACATTGCTGCAAAGTGAAAAAGTAAGGCAATAAATGAGCTTAGACAGAGCTAGTCCCAATGGGGAGCAGAGGTGATGAGTGTAGGCAGATAATCTTTTTTGACTGCTTTTTTTGCTCACTTTTTCTGAACTGCTTTGTTGGGACAGACAGGTGGAGGGGTATCATCTGAAAGCTGAGAGGGTGTAGACCTGGAAGACCAGTGTTCAAATCCTCATTCAGTCATGAAGCTCAATGGGTGATCCCAGGCTAGTCACTCACTCTCAGCCTGACCCACCTCACATGGTTGATTATGAGGATAAACTGAGGAATCACAGACGCCGCCCTGAGCACCTTGGAGGAAAGGTGGAGTGTATATATAATAAAAATAAAGGGGCACACTTTATTTGGGGAACCTGCATGCAAACATCAAAAGCCCTTCTCCCTGCCGATTCCTGGCCCAGAGGAACAGCATACTAAAAGAGCACTGTTTTGTTCTCTCTCTCTCTTTTTTAAAAAGCTTGTCTACTGTCTTCCTTTCTAGCTTCACAGCATTGTCAATGTCAAACTTAGAATTATTGCAAATTCTGACCAAAGTAGAATTTGGGGTGAAACATGCCATCCTGCAAAATTCGAAGTGCAATCTGGAGTTAGGAGCATGCTTAAACATTCCCATTACTCCACAGGTTCCATCTGCTCTTATTTGCACAGCCAACTGTTCCTATCTGCGAAGTCATGCAGGACCCAAATCTTCTTGGATATGTGTCTACTTCACCAGCAGTCACTGTGCACCATGGGCTTCATAGTCTATGGCAGCTTTGTCAGCAGCTATTATGCACCAAACCCTCACAGACCTATTTGCATGCCCAGTAGCCAATGTCCCGCTGAGAAGAATGGCAAAGACCACCATGTTTCAAGCCTTCATAGTTCATGAATGAATGTGGACCTACAGAAATGAGCATGGCTGCAGGGTGAAGGTACAGCCAAGAGGCAGGGCAAGACTTGGGGAAGCTGGGACTGAGGTGAAGATCCCAAGGTGGGAAAAAAGAGAGGATGCAAGGAGACAGGTGGGGCAAAGCCAGATGGAAGGGGGAATTGGGGGCAGAGTTTGCTCACCCAGTCAGCAACAGCCTGTGTTTGTAGACACAGATCCACCCTTACTGTTACTATTTTGTGTTCATCCTGCTAGCTGATCCGAATCAGAACCCAAGTTCTGAACAAGTAGTAATAGTAAAAGATTTCCTATAAATATTCTTAGTGCAGCGTAAGTACAAAGGCTCCCTCTTTACTTGTGCTTTGATGGAACCTGTTTGTTAATACAGTTCCTTGGACAAGAGGAGGTGAATGTGGGATGTTTAAAGCTTTTCCCCTCTTTGACAGATCAACCCCTGACAGTAGTTGCACTGTTAGGCAAAGTTCACCCTGGAAAATTGGGTGGGGCTGCTGCCCAAATACGACTGCTCTTCTAGCAGCTGTCACAGACCACCCCCACCCTGCCAACCCAGGAAACTGCCTCACCATGGTAATGGAGCATGGGGTCACCAGCTGTGAAACTGACCTGCAGTAGATGCAGGACAGATCAAACAACAAGAATCCTGCATCTTCCACAAGTTCTAGTGATGGCTGTGGCTTTAAGAGAAAAGGACTAGACAAATTCATGGAGGATTATGGGTGGCTATTTGTCACAATTGCTTCAGTGGAACTTCCATGCCGAGAAGCATTGCTTTCATGCCCTGTATACAAATTTCTGGGAGCCTACGCAGACAGCAATTATTGGAAGCAGAATTCCCCTGGATCCTTGTCCTGGTACAGCAGAACATTTCTTGTGTTCTTATACAACTAAGTTATGCACTCATGCAGAGGAAGATTGCATGTCTGAATACTTATCGTGGAGAAAAGAGGAAGAGGGGAATCACCTGTGCATAGAAAGAAAGTGGCACCATGGAGGAAAATTTGGGGCAATGGATTCTAATTATATATATTCTTATAAGACTGGGAGCAGGAGAGGGCCAAATGGATCTAGGAGTAGTGCTAGAAATTGCTTTGGTCTTAGCACAGTTGCCACGTATTTCTCTTTAGTTAGTGAAACTGGCTGATGGCTCTCGATAGCTGGCCTTTCTCAAAGACTAGGAACTACATCTCCCTCCCCACCCACCACCAAAGGATGACGTGATCTAAATGTCTCTGTGTGAAAAAATACAAAAATTTGAGAGGGGGGGTCTGAGAGTTGAGTTTGGCTCTGTCAGCATCTTATGGTACCAGCTGGAGTGCATGTGGGTGATCTGCTGGAGAGCTTATCCGATGCTTCCATCCATGCTCAACTAGTATATTTGTAAATCAACCCAAATATTGCTAAGCACCAACAAGCCTCAAGGGACCTCTTTCCAAAGGAAAAGAAACTATCCTCTGTCCCAAAAAGCATCTCACTGCTTGGAGAAGTGGGGTAGGCATAACAATATAATGTGGCACTATGATTACAGAACACCCAGGAGGGTTAATAATGCATACAAAAGTAAATAAAAATGGGTCATGGAAGCCAAGCGAGTGCCAGTTCTCGTTTTCACTGTTTCTACACTTACAGGCACATGGGAGAAAGGCCTTGTGCCCCAGTGTGCCCCACACTCTTGGGCAGGGATGGCTGCCCCTATGCTGCAAAGCACGCTTTAACTAGTACCCCATCAGGTATCTTTGTGCCATTAGACTGTTTTCCCAACAGTGAGGTATGGCTGCTTCTGATCATTTAATAACAAAGCAGAATTGATGCCGCTGACAGGGCAGGTGTGTGCATGTGCATGAGACAGAAGCAAAGAAACAGTCTGTGCAGAGACATGGGGCGGAGGTGTCACTGTTTGCAACTGCCTTGTGAGAAATGCAAGGGGACCATTCCACATCTAACCCTTTGTCTGCACATATCATCTCCCCAGTAGAAATGGGTGAAGCTGTCAGTTTCAGTTTCTCCCCGTTTTCCGTATTTTCCAATCTTAAATTCAGTTCTCCGCATTAGTTTGCAATTAAAAAGAAAAAGTCCTCGTGAAATTTCATCAGCATTTTACTACAAATTTCTCATAATATACAATGCCTGTGTGCCATTTTGCCTGATATACACGTTTTGTGGAAAACCCTTTCTCCTAATATAAGACATTTTTTGTACACTGTTTTATGCACTCTTTGCCCTAGTGTGTGCACTTCTATACATATTTGGCTGGATTACAAAATTTGGAGAAGGGCAAATTTAGAAAGGTGGCTGTCTTTCCATTTGTGCTTTGTTTCAGAAGGTACAAATTAGGTCAATTCAGTTTTAAGTGCAAACTAAATCAAATTTCTCCTCCATCCCTAATTCCACCAGGCATATTTGTGTCATTAGAACATTTCCTCAGAGGTGAATTCCGACTGCTTTTCATCGTTTAATAGCAACGCAGAATTAATGGCACTGAGCAGGGGAGCATTAAATATAAACAACATTTCCAATAGCTATGAGAAAACATCAGGTTTGTGGAGAAACATGGGGGGAAGCCGCTATTTGAAATTGCTTTGGAGAATATGCAAGGGGGCCACTCCACCTTCAGCCCTTTGCCTACACACCTGTCCTTTCCCCAGCCACTTTCTGCAGGGGAAATACTCTGAAAGACAGAGGTCGGCAGGGAGGTGAAACTACTGTATACTGTGGGCATATGTTCAAAAGCACCAGATCTTCTCTCCCCACCACCCACAATTAAAATACTTGACTTGACCCTGCAAATCCTGGTCACTTGCAAGAAAGCTGAGGCTCAGCAGGGCATCCGAGTGCAATCTTCGATTTACAGCCGCTCTCCCTGGTTCATGCCCTGGCCCTCATGTGCTGGCAGATGTCTGAGCATGTGGGGCAACCTTCATAGCATCTTAGGACAGGAGTGGGGAGCAGTTTCCCAACCAAACATCATTAGTCATCAACATCATCATTAATTACCTGCCCTCCCTGTAAGCTTCTGAGGTACAAAATGCATATATAAGGGCAGAATGTGAAGGGAGGAACATAGATAACATACAAAAATGCATTATGGTAGGGGGAAATTGTTTGCAAAAGCTTGTGCATTGAAGAAACTACATTCAAAAATTTGTTTGTAAGGAAACATTCACACCAAAATGTGAATGAATTTTCATTAGGATTTTTTCCCCAAATATCTGCAGAAATGTGGAGAACTGAATTTATATTGGGAAAAAACTGAGAAACATAGAGAAGCAAAACTGACAGATTCATCCATCCCTAGTGTCCTCCCATTTCTGGAAGGAGGGCATATTTTGGGCAAGAGTGACAGAAGTCAAGACCAAAGTCGCAGGGAATGTAGCCAGCCTGTGTATCTTACTGTAGTTTAGCCTCAAGCTTACTGTACAAGCAAGCAAGGGACTGTGGTACTTCAGGATGCAGGTATGGGAGTGGGATACCTGGATCACTTTGTGGTTGTAACTTGCTACCAGATGTGTGTTTTATAGTAATGTTTTATTGTTTTTCTCTACTTGGATCATGCACCAGTTTGCAGTTTTGAACTGAAATGAGTACAGAAATAGTTTAATTAATAAACAAAAATTTAAAATGACAGCACTCCTCAGTGTAAACCAACACTGTGTCCTCCAGATGTTGGACTACAACTCCCAACAGCCCCTATCAGCATGGTATACTGCCCTCCCTCTGTAGACCTTGTGTTATTGTCAAGTTTACCTAGGGAAGCATTTGAGCATGCAAATCTAATCTAACCCCTTCCCAGGTCCTCGAGAATGCAGTCCCATAACGACGGCACCATGCACTATCCCTGCACCCGTTTATCAGCCTATTCTCTGCACTCACTTAGGGTACGGTTGGCACTGGTTTCCCCAGGGCCATCACAGCCACCCTCCTCCAAATCAAACTCTAATGGCCATGCAAACGATTGCACACCTCTGAAAGAAATAAAAAACAAATTGCAGATTGCTGAAGGGGAGAAAACATAATACTGGGGAAATGGCGTTATTTATTATTTTGTCACAGAAGCGAAGTGGGAACATGGCGTTTTGCTAACTCAGGTGGGGATTCTCTGACCCGGCAAATTCCTTTGTTGTACATGATGGATGGATCCCTGTCAGTGCTGAAACCTGATTATGTCAGGGGAAGAGTCTGTAAAAAAAAACCCCACAAAAGAGGAGGGGCGGGGAGGGAGAGAAAGAGGAAAATAAGGACAATTCCTAAGCGGTAAGGCTTGTATCCAGCTATGTTTTACTCAGAGTAGCCCCACTGACCTACATTAGCAATGTTCATTAATTTGAGTAGTCCAGTTCTGAGCAGGACTAGCATTGGATATAACCACGATGCTGCAATCCACTTACCTGGGAGAAAGCCCCACTGAGTAAAATGGGACCTACTTCTGAGTAGACATGGGTAGGATTGCAGCCTAAGAAAGGGAAAGGGTCGTGACTTTTGTAGTCCTGTGCATGCTTACTTAGATGCAAGACCCACTGAATTCCACAGAACTTGCTCTCGGGGAATTGAGCATACAATATGCACCCTATATCACTTTCTGAACGGTTCACCTTGGACTTTGGGAAGTTTACAGTATCATACCATTTCCCAAAAGGACTGTAGGTTTTGGGGGGTTTTGGGGGGGGATAGAGACTGGGTTGCAGTTCCACCTCAATCCTCATTAGTACTTTCTGGTGTTAAATTGAACTGGGGGAAACCAGTGTGCTCACCCCTGGAATGCGGCCCCCAGAAGGTTCTCTCTGAGAGATGCGGCCCTCACGGTGAAAGGGTTCCTTATCCCTGGGATGCAAGATGGGAGAGGCATTTTGGCTCAACTCTGGTTTGTACAGCAAGTGAGAAGAATCTGCATCAGTGTGTTCTAGTGATAGGAAGAATCTCATGGGTATGAGAATAGAAGCATTAAGAAAAAAAGAAGTATTCCCATTTTTCACCTGTGAGATGCTGCAGGGTATATGGACAGCCACGCCACACCTCACAGGTTGTGTCTAGCAACAGAGGAAACCTGTTTTTCAAAGTTAGGAAATAATTTGTGTGTCACATACGCAAAGAAATATACGGATATTGTTGTTCGGTAGGAGCCTTTAAGCTGCAAAAGCCAGTTAAAACTCGATTAACCTGGCATGACTTCAAACTACTTAAGAAAGCTAATTTGGTCGGTTTTTCACAGGACAGAGATGTTGCAAAGTGATGCATATCCGGTTTGGGAATATTCACATTTTCTGCATGGCTGCCTCGTCATGTGAAAAAAATGATGGCAGAAGAGACCATAGGCCTTGTGGGTAGGGGACGTCAGACAGTTCTAGTGAAAACAGAAAAGGAAGTGGAAATTGCTGTAGGTTGCATGTTCATATGTGGTCAAGAATGGAAATCGGAGAAAGGAATATGACTGGCATTCGTTCACACAGGTTTTTTTGGTCAGGTCCACAAAAGATATGTAATTAATGGCTTTTTTCATGCTGTTTGGATGTTTCCTTTGCTTTAAATAGTTACATAACTTGTGTTAAATAGCAGTGAGCAAGACAAACAATGAAGTTTTTGGCTGAACTCTGCATGGTTCAGAAGCCCCAATTTAGTGCAATTCAACATGAACATATCATATAACACCAATTCTGTTGCAACTACAATGGCTGCTTGTATGTTTCCAAGCTCAGTTCAAAGTGCTGGGGGTTTTTTATGTATAAAGCTATTTACAGCTCAGGAACCCAAAATCTTCCAGAATGCCTATCCCAGTATAGGTAAAAAGGTACCTTTATCTCAGTACTGTATGAAACATACCCAGGCCCTTGAATCTTCCTCTCAGGTCCTGGAGGGTGGTGACAAGGGAGAGGGCCCTTTCAGTTGTGGCTCCCCATCTATGAAAGGCTCTCCCCAGTAAGATGCACCTGGCACCTTCATTCACATACAGTGGTACCTCGGGTTAAGAACTTAATTCGTTCTGGAGGACAGTTCTTAACCTGAAACTGTTCTTAACCTGAGGTACCACTTTAGCTAACGGGGCCTCCCGCTGCCACCGCGCCACTGCTGTGCGATTTCTGTTCTCATCCTGAAGCAAAGTTCTTAACCTGAGGTACTATTTCTGGGTTAGCGGAGTCTGTAATCTGAAGCGTCTGTAACCCGAGGTAGCACTGTAGTTTCAGTCTCAGGTTTTTGATAAAGATTATGTTGTTTTGTTACTAGTGCTGCCAAAGTGTCCTGTGGCTGTTACGGAGGTTTTTTTGTTCTGATTTTATGGTATAATGTATTTACATCTGCGATGTCAACCACTGGAAGCCTTTGGGTAACAAGTAACTAATCCCTGTCTTCTTACATTCCTATTCGTAGGTCAGGAGATGTGTGGGGCTCTTGAGCATCCCTCATCAGGGTCCCTGCCCAAACCCTACCAGCTCTTTTAATCCAGGCCCTATCAAACAAAGCTGGATCTACACATGCAGGAGAATGAGATAGTATAGTCCTAACGTGGCAGAACTGTCTGTATCATTTCAGACTGCAGAAATAGAACCACATTTACCCTGCATGTAAAAAATAAATAAATCCTAGGACAAGAGAAGGAGAAGGACTGGACTAGAATCTTTCTTCCAGATGCGCTAGACTACTTATTTGCTTGCAGGGAAATTATTTGTTTATCGTACATTATGAGAGAGCATAAAAAATGGTATCTGCTTTACAAAGCAGGACTCTACCATCTCACTCTACTGTGAATACAGATCTGGCCTTAGCCACAAACTCAGTGGATGGTTGTAGGGTAGACAACCCACTGTTATCTCAGTTTCAGCCTCTCCAAATAAACAGAAAGGATAATAATACTGAATCAATGCAACAAGAGGGAGCAAACAGCTGTAAAAGGCATGTAAGATAAGTTTTAAAACAGCTGTCCAGAAATCCTGTATCCTTTATTCCCAATGCATTTCAGAGTTTGCTTTTTAACTTTACAATGAAGCAGATGAGCTTCTGCTCATCTGTAAACACTGACTCAGTGTTTAAAATAACCTGAAGCTCTTACCAGCCGGAAAGCTTGTGTTGACAGTGTAAATCACAAGAGTTGCATATCCTCTAAAATTTCGCTTAAGAAAATAGGGGCACTCATATATGTGTAACTCTCTTATTCTTACACAAAGATTTACTACTTCAGAACACACACACGAGTGCACACTGAAATTAGCTCTCGTATCACTGTGTGTTAGTTAACTAATGTTATTCAGTTTGCATTTATCTGGAGAAGTCAAACCATAACCTCTGGTTTGCACATGACACTAAAACAAACCATGGCTTAGCTCTAGCTGGTGCAGCAGCAGCAGCTTGACCAGGGGAGGAGCTGAGCGAGTGTGATTTTTGCCCTCCCCCCAACTTGCTCGTTCATACTGAGCCCTGATTTAATTTAGTGTTAGGCCTATATATGTGAACAAAGTGTGCATATTTGACGTAGGTATTTCCAAGGTTTCAAGGGCTTACGCCCTTCAAACGTAATTCTGTGCTACACATAGAGGGAGATCATATCGACTTCATGGCATAATGCAATCCAGGTTCCCCCACCTTCCCGCCCTCCCTATGAGGAGGCTCAGATGCATTAAGACGCAGACTGGGAATCAAGAAACCCCCATCTCAGAAATATCTAGTTCTGGGCCAACAGGTCAGTCTCGTTTAATCAGAACTCGCTTTCTCTCTGCCTGGAGATTAGTGGCTCTTGATTTGATCCAGCCTGCCTCCTTGCAGAGCAGGCTGCGTATATCCTAGAGCAAATCTATTGGAAGTGATGTTTTCATTAGAAAGCCATATGGCGGGCTCTTAACTACGATTCTGTGCTTTCTGCAGGTGGTCAGACAGAAGGTAGGCAAATCTGCCTGGTTTCTCCTTTCCGAGAGACCGGCTGCCACGGAAATGATACCCACGCCTGCATCTGCAAGCGAGGCCCAATTAGCAGGAAGAAGACTCACCAGGGACTCTTCAGAAATAACTCGCTCCTTCCCCTCACTGGTAATTCCAGAAGACTTCCACCCCCAATAGTCATGTCCCCAGTCATTTGCCCCAGCTGCACTGCCCTGCCAATGACCAGAGCGGGGCTTTCTGTCCCTTTGGGATCCCCTGTGAGGTTTGCAGCACCCTTATCATGCTCTGCAGGCAAACTGCTGAATCCTCTTTAGCACAAGAAAGCCATGCCCTTTGCAGGACAAAGGGCTACCAGCTACAGCTGCCGCCTGACTTTCAGGAAGGGCTGTAGCTCAGGGGTAGAGCAGAAAGTCCGCAGTTCAACCCCTGGCATCTCCATGAAGGGCTGGGAAAGGTTGTTAGCTGAAAACCCTGGAGAGCCACTGCCACTCAGTGTAGACCATACTGAGCTAGATGGACCAATGGTCTGACTCTGTACAAGACAGCTTCCTGTTATCCTCATATCAAGGAGAGGGGAATTTGCAGCCTGGAGTTAGGGATGGGGAAGAAATTTCAGTCAGTTCATATTTAAATATGAACCTACCTAATTTGCTCTTCCTGAAACAACACACAAACCGAAACACAGTTGTCCTTCAAAATTCAGACTTCTCCAGATTTTGCAGTGCAGTTCTCCAGGCCAAGTGGTGTGTACAAAAATGCATATACTAGGGTAAAGTGTGCACAACAACTTATATTGTAGGGAAAATAGCTGTACTGAAAAGTGCATTGTATTAGGGAAAACAGCTTTGAAAAAATGTGTGTGTCAGGAGAAATTTGCACTAAAGCAATGGTGGATTTTCATGAAGTTGTTGTTATTATTGTTGTTGTTGTTGTTATTGCAACCTATGGAAATATGAAGAACAAAATTTAAGATTGGAAATATAAGAAACTGAGAGAATCTGAAACTAACAGAATCACCCATCCCTACCTGGAGTCTGTGCGGAAGGGTGTGGAACGTGTGGCAGTAGCTGTGGCCTTCAGTCAGCAGGGAAAGAGACCTGGATAACATTGTCAAGACTGGGTGGCTGCCATTTTAGCACACAAGAGGATGTGTGGAGGGGGGTGTTCAGCAGCGGCACATGGGAGTGAGGCTCAGACATGGGGAGTTCTGAGTAGCGGTTCAGACCTAGAATGGGAAGCTGGCAGTTTGGGGAGGTGCTGGCATTGATGGAGATTTGGGCAGGCAAGATATAATGGGTGTTCAGCGGCACATTCAGGGAGTGTATCATCTGTGTATACATGTACAAAAACAGTGTAGCTGTACGCTCAAATAGTAATTTGTATGTAATGATCAGCGCATGTCCTGTTTGTGTACCTGTGTGCATAATAGTTAAGCTGGGCTAATGAACGGCTGTTATACATGCCTGGAAATAAGAAATAAGAGCTCCGTGCAAAGTGCGCACAACCCTACTTAGAGCCTGAAACCACCTGAGATTATATCAACAATATAAGCTTATATTGGTTTCATTTCACCTTATTTTTATTTTTTATGATTTGATTTATAAGCACAACGAACACAACACACACACACACACACACACTTATTTACCACATACCGGCTTCTTTAACATATTTTTGCAGTGCTGTTCAGCACCCTTGTGTCACCCAGCTACCCTCCTCTTGCTCTTTGGTACCATTTTTCTTCTTCTTTGCCCTCACTGTCCTTGGCCTCACTTGCTCTTGTTGCCATCCCATCCGATTGACAAAATCACATGGTCTGCCACTGCCAATGGTGTGACGATACTCTGAGTAACGTGATCCCACCACTTTACGCTCATATGGAAAATCTGGTAGGTTGTTATTGCTAAACAGACTAAACAGCAGCAAGGGCAAGTGAGGGCAAGGACAAAGTTTAAATAGAATGCCAAGAAACAGTAGTTAAAGAAAGAAAAGAGCACCCAAACAAAGCAAATGTTCAGCAGGGTTTGGGGCAGGGGCTTCTCTGAATGTGTCTATTTCCAAGTGTGGGTATTTCACTATTTCAAAGTGAGTATCCTTGGTGCAAACTTTGCACAAAGTCCACCAGCTGATGCACATGGAAATGAGGGACGTGTGATAAATGGAGTTTTAAAGCGAGAATTAGTGGCCACACAGTACTTGAAAAGCCTCACCAGCAAAGAAAAGGGTATTGCTCATTTTGATGCTGTTGATCTGGCAACTGTTTGATGACATATGTACTACATTAACAAACGGCATCTCTGTTCCCATCGTAGCATCACCGAGTGTCTCAGCTCTTGGCAAGACAATCGCTCATCTCCTCTTTGCAATGATGCGTCTTTGCCTCCTCTTGGGCCTTTCATGCAAAGATACACAGATATGAAAAATGCACTGCCAGGCGTGCTTGGGCCTAATGTACTGAGATGTGAATCAAGATGCAGATGTTTTCATTAATGAGTGCATCCATTTTCTCGGCATTCCTACAGTACCTCTGCAGACATTTTCTTCTAGGGTCCAGAGGGGAAATGCCTTAAGGTGTTTTTTTTTTAATTAAAAAAACCTAAGAATAGCTCTAAGGACCAAAGGGGCTCTTGGAGCCAATGAAAGGACACCTCCAGATTTCTCAGATTGGTGGTTTCAATGGCAGTGTTAGCACATCACACAAAAGCGTTGTTTTGTGCAACCTGCAATAGCAGGAACAAGCCACAGCAGGCCTTAGACTCAAGCACTCTCCTTCCTCTCTTCTGCTCCCAAATGGCTGAGGGTGGCAGACTAAGTAGGTGTATTAATGTTCTGTGGCTGCTTCCAACAAGTCCTATGAGGAAAGGCTGAAGGAACAGGACATATGTGGCCTGAAGAAGAGAAGACTGAAAGGGAACATGAGAACACTCTGCAAATGTTCAGCCAGAAGAGGGCAAATACATGTTTTTTGCTGCCCCAAGGTGGAGATGGCCAAATCTGTCCATTTCGCTTTCTCTCAGTTCCTAATTTTTCCACGCTTTAACTTCAGTTCTCCACATAAGTTTGCATACAAAATCACAGAATCATAGAGTCATATTTTTTTAAAAGAAACTCCTCATGAAAAATCAGTGCAAATGTCTCCTAATATGATGCGAGTTTAGTGGTGGGAATTTCTCCTATACATTTTTGCATGCAATTTTGCCCAAAACATTTTGGTAAAACCATTTCTCTTCATCTAAGACATTTTTGTTTGTTATTTTCACTCATATAGATGCACTTTGCACTAATATATGCAGTTCTATACACACAATACTTGGCTGGAGAACTGCACTGCAAATTTTGGAGAAGTGCAAATTTCTAAAGATGGCTGTGTTTCGGGAAGTGCAAATTACATAAATTCAAATTTGATTGCGAATTGAATTGAATTTCTCCCCTAGTTGCACAAAATGCGCAGATTTCTAAAAAGCTACGGCCAGAGGCAAAAGTTAGTTTCACAAGGGCTGCTTGGGGGGGGGGGGGGACTGCAGGCCAAAAACAGGCAGACACAAATCTACCTGAGAGCTCACCAGGGGGAACTTCCCTCATCCTTTTGCTGAGCAGAACAGCTGACACAGATCCCTACCTCAGATGTCTCATTTGCACTTCAGATTTAGAGCTAGTGAGAAAAGGCATGGGGCCCTTCTGAGCAGCAATACAAACCCGTTTTTCACTTTATCCATACCCACATAAATGAGAGAAACCCTTGTCTCACCGACATGCTCTCTGTGGATGCCAGAAGAGGCAGGGAAGGAGACTGGTAACAACCACAAATAACAGCTTGGTAGTAAGTAAATGTAACATTTGTGGACCCCCTGGAAAAAAGGCAATGTGCATGGGAAACAAACTCTTAATCCGCTTTTCAAATGTAAGAGCTCAAACCATGCTGAAGTGAGTCCCACTGTGTTCAATGGGGTTTCCTCTCAAATCAGGGCACACAGCTTTTCGAAAGGAGGGAAAGGAGCTTTGATACCGTGCAAAGCTGGGAAGAAAATGACTCGGCAGACTTGTGCTCCTGGCAAGTAGGCAAAAAGTAGTCCATGTGCTTTGCAACTGCAAGCGTACAATTTTTCAGGATGCAAGAGCATTTTGAAGTTTGGGACTTTAAACTCACGTCGCCGTAGGGCAGGTTTTGCAGTTCAGAAGTATTGACTTTATTTGCATTCTTCTGCTGGATTACTCTTAATGCCTTTTGTATGGACAGGACAGATAATGGATACTATGAAAACTATTCTTAAAAAATACTTGTAAAGTAAACAAAAGATGATAAAGAAAATGGAAGGTGAAATTTCAGTGCCGTTACTAAGAATCAAATACAGAACTGTTTCCATGGGAAACAGTGTTTGTGTTTACCTGTGTGTTAGTTAAGTGTGTGCAACGGTGTGTGGATCTTGCCTCACCCACTACTGGAATATGACCCCCAACAGCTTTCCACAGGGGTAATGTGGTCCAAAAAAGGTTCCACACTTCTGGTGCATAGGAATGGTGTTGCCTTCAAAGCTGTTGCCCACCTTTGTCTCTCTGGTTTCTGAATCTCTGACTTCTGTAAGTGTACCCCCCCCCTTTCCAAGGTTTCCCTCAGTTAATATTGGCCTCCTCGCTGAATAAACCAATCCAAGCATGCAGCCCTCACACTAAGCAGTGCATGCACAAAGTTACTTCTCCCACATCAACACCACTCGCACGAACACCAGCGCTCTTCCACCAAGGAAGAATATCTCTGTGCCGAAAGAGAAAGGGAGGTTGAGATGGGAAAGGGAGGCGTGGGGATGGGGGAAGAGTGGGAAGCTGAGTGTCAAAACAGGAGGAGGGGAAATCCAGCAAGGTGAATGCTCATTTTAAGAACAGCAGCAAACAAACAAACGCAATGGATTATACTGAAATCTCAGAACGACAATTACCGAGCGCGAGGCTCAGCTGATGCGATGGGGCGAGGACCCATTTAATAATGCATGAGGCGGCGAGTGTCTTTGTGCTGCTTCTGCCGATGCCTCCGTCATGTGGAGGAAATGAAAGGGAAAAAAGCCCCATCACTTCAGACTTGCCTTTAATTAATTCCTTGGAGTATGAGAAGGAGCCCAAAATAGTTACCGAGAGATGTTGCCACTGTACTCTGGAGAAGATGTGCAGCCTGCCACGAGGGCAGGAAAGCGAAGGACAATCCCTGGGCCCTGTCTCTTTCCAGGAGATCCAGACACGGGGGTCTGGCAGGGCTGAGACTTAGGAGAAGGATGAGGGAGAAAGTCAGTTTGGGTCGCATCCTAATGCAAACCTCTCCTAATTTGCATCTCCCCCCCCCCCAAAAAAAGAAAAATATGTGCAAACCAAAATGTAGCTATCATTCAAAATGTGCACTTTTCCAAATTTTGCAATTTTTCCAACAAGAAATATACAAAAAAATGCACATGCTAGGAAATGCGCATAAAAATCCATGTTAGTGAAAATGTGCACAAAATGCTTTTTATTAAGAGGAAAGGTTTGCAAACGTCTGCATATTAGACAAAAAATACATGCAAAAATGGGTATATTGAGAGAAATGCTGGCTTAAATGCTGATCAAATTTCACGAGGACTTGAAAGATAAAGAATCACAAGTCGATGCAAAAAGGTGGTGGACTGAACTTAAGCCTGGAAAAAATAGAAACTAAATTTGATAGATTCGTCCCACCCTAGGCAAGAGTATTGGTATCCCTTTCCACAGCACCTTACCAGAATGTTGGGACCTAGTATCCTCTATGTCCCCCTTGGGGTCAGGGACACAATGCACAGTCACATGACATATTATTTGACCTCTGAGGCCTACTAGAGCCCTTCAGCGCTCCTGGGGCTGATGGGAGTTGGAGTTCAGCAACCTGCAAAGGTTCCTCACACCTCGGTTAGCAAATAGAAGTTTATATGGTCCAGTCAATGCCCTGGCTGCTGTATTCCACATTTGTTAAATGTTTTATCCTTATTTGTTTTAACTAAAGCTGCTTCTGAAAGCAGTGGCTGGTTCTTCTGGACAGCTGGCAACCTAAAACCAATCTACTTTCCTGTATCTGAGAAACACTGAACAATGTTTCTTCTCTCTCTGCCCCCACTCCCCATCCACGCTGCCATATGCAATGACCCCTGATTGCAGCTTTCTCGTAACACACACGGCCATATTCCCAGGCCACTCGGTTCCTTCCAGCCAAACGGTGCCACCATAAATGCCCTTGCCTTTGGTTGCTAAGAAGCCACAGGACCTTTGTCACCTCACCTTCATCCCTGCCGCTTGGTCGCTGCGCTGCAGCCCCAGAGACCAGAAACAACAAGCAAACGGGATCTCGCTCTCACACTCTCGCTCTCTCTTTCACACGCACAGCACAAGATGAATTGGCTTCTCTCTCCTGTTCTGACAGATACATTATCTCATCTGGCTGGTTTCACAGTCCACAGGAGAACCGGGAAGTAAAGCTTGCTTTGCAATTAACTGATTGCAGCCTCTCTGTGCAGAAAGGCAGCAACCAGGATGGATAGGGAAGCAGTAGGCAAAGGGTGATTCCCCCTTGGAGGCAGGACTGGAGGCTTCCCAAAAGCAAACCATTTATAGTTGAAACTCTATGCAAGTTTACTTAGGGGTGCAGCCTACTAAGATCTACTCAGAGAAGACCCATTGAAATTAATGGACAGAAGTTAGTCTGCTTTGAGTAGGACTAACATTGGCTATAACCATTAGCCAGAAGTAAGTACAACTGTGTTCAGTGGGGCTCATTCCCAGACAAGCAGCCACAGGAATGCAACTTCACAATTAAGCCATATTGACCAGCCTTCCTCATCCTGGTGCCCTCCAGGTTTTGCTGGACTGCAACTCCCATTATCCTTGGCCACTGGCCATGCTAGCTGGGGCTTATGGGAACTGGAGTCCAACATTTGAAAGGCACCAGGTTGTGGGAGGCTGTCTTAGCCTGTGCACCCTCTCGAAAAGATGGTACAGAAAGGCTATTCAAAAGCATTTCGGGAACTTAGTAGGGTGTGAGAAATTACAGAGCAGCACCTATCTGATAGCAAACACAAGAAATAGTCTCTTGTGGTACCTGAAAGACAAACAGATTTATTGTGGCTTTCTAGACTGCATCCCACTTCCTTGACAGCACTCAATCCATCTGATAAAAGAGGCTCTATAGTCTGCCGATGTAACAATTCACCTGTGAAGCCTTTGGAGACTAGGGATGGGGAAGATATTTAATTCAGTTTGGATCTGAAGGCAAACTTACCCAATCCATACTTTCCAAAACAATACGTGAACCAACACAACATCATCCTTAGAAACTCACATTTATCCAAATTTTGCACTGTGGTACTCCAGCCATGTGTTCAAAATATGTCCAAAAATGCATGTGCTGGGATGAAGCATACATAAAATGTCATTTATTAAGGGGAACTAACATACCAAAACTCTTTGCATTGGGAGAAATTGCATAATTTTGTAAGCATTTTAATGTGGGTGGATTTTGGTGAGGACCTTTTTCTATTTAAAAAATGATGTGGAAATGTGGAAAACTTAATTTACAGCTGAAAAATGAAAGGAACAAAAGTTGACAGAGTAAACCACCCCCAATTTTGACACAAGACTCTTTGTTGGTCCACTTGCGAAATATTCCAGCCTCCTATCAGAGTATTCTCTTGAGGTGCCACCTCTCACAACTTAATTATCTCCTGTATCTGATAATTGAGCTCTGTGCCTCTGTAGGGAAGCCTAACATGTGGTGAGGCTTTACCCTTTCAAAGAATCCTCTCGAGACACTCCCAACTGCCATTTGATAACCGCCTTTATGATGATGCAATGCCTTCTTTCCCCTATCTTCTATCACTTAACCTGCCAGTATCTCCAGATTATTCCTAAACATTGCCAAATGGTTACAAGGCTGCTTGACCCACACCTCACTCTGCCCAATGGTAGGGCTGGCCCCATCTCTCTCGCATTCCCCCCACCACACACACAGTTGCTGCAATAAGTACGTAAGAAGAGCCTGCTGGATTAGGCCAATAGCCCATCTAGTCCAGCATCCTGTTCTCCAAGTGGTCAACTGGATGCCCCTGAAAGCAGGACCTGAGGGCAACGGCCCTCTCCCCCCTTGTAATTCCCAGCAATTGCCTCTGACTGTGGAGGCAAAGCATGGCCATAATGGCTAGTAGCCACAGATAGCCGTTACATCTACAAATTTGTCTAATTCTCTTTAAAAGCCATCTAAATTGGTGGCCATTACTGCCTCCTGTGGGAGCATGTTCCACAGTTGACAATGCACTGTACAAAGCAGTTCTTATTTTGTTTGTCCTGAATCCTCCAACATTCATCTTCACTGAATGTCCATGTATTCTGAGAAATGGAGAATAGGAGGCACTGCTGGTCTCCTTCCACCCCTACAGAGGAAACGGTGGGGGCTGCCCTTCGGGTCTCCTGAGCTCTGCACCTTCCCAGCATGATTCAGCATGGGCCCATTTCCTCCTGCAACAGACTTTGATTCCCAGTTCAACCATTGGGCAAGGTTGATTAGATTCCCTGCCATCCCGTTCCTGATGTAGATCTTCACTCCCCACTTCTTCTGTAGTGGACAGGATACCATTTTGAGGTTTGCCTCAGGTGCCAAAATATATGGAGCTAGCACTGGGCTATTTCATACGTTCTGGCACTCCTCTCCCTTTTGCAATTGTGCATGAACCTTCTGTTTGGAACACTCACCTCACACATAGCATGATGGTAGGGTGTCTTACATTGCCCATTTGATACCAATGTCTTTGTCTTCAGTTGTTCAGACATCCTGGGCCCTTACAGCTTAATCTCACTCTGTTGTTCTCTCATGATGTTGTAGTGGAGCCCCTGAAAACTCTGACAGAGCCCAAGACTACGTGATCTCCAACAATCTGACAGACGCATTTTCCACCCTCCTGCTTTCACAGGAAACATTTGGTATGTGCAAACATTTATTTGGAGGTGTAACATTTAAGGCCTGCAAATATTTGAAAATGCAACCTTCAGGAATGTGGGGCCCATAAAATCAGGCTCATTTACCCTCAGAATCCACAAGGAAGAATTATTTCCTCACAGCATTCAGAGATCTGGTCACGGTGTGAGCCCTAAAACATCCTGAGAAGTTTGATTCAATGTTATAGGGGGTGTGCTGTTTTGCTGTGCCAGATGAAGAGGCAGCCCCCTCTTTTAGGTACTCCACAGCCTAGAAGTAGTGAACAAAAGGTTAATACAAAGCCCATTAACCTGCTCTTGAGTACTAAAGCTTTCAAAAGAACGCAATGTGCCTCTTCATAACTGGGAACCTCGATAAGGCAATGTTTGCTAAGTTAACCGTTCCACTAAGTTCAAGGTGCTGGTACTGCTGTACAAAGCCCCATAAAGCTTGGGATCTGGATACCTAAAGATCACCCTTTATAGACCCAACCGATAACTGTACTCTGCAGGAGAAGGTCCATTCCCTACAGTGCTGGAGTCAGGCCTCTAGCATGGTGGCACCTTTGGAAGGCCCCCCATTACATATTAGACAAGGGGTTAGCAAACTTTTTCAGCAGGGGGCAGGTCCACTGTCCCTCAGACCTTGTGGGGGGCCAGACTATATTTTGGGGGGGGGGGAATGATGCAAGAGCACCACAAGCCCCGGTGGCTGCTTACCTGTGTCGTGTGAGTGGCAGGGGCTGGCGGCGGCAGCGAAGGAGGGACGATGAGCAGCGCGCGAAAGGGCTCCAGAGAGGGGCTGCTTAAAATGGTGGCCCCTCGAGCGCTGCTGCTGCTGCTGCTGCTGGCACAAACAAAGCCCAGCCCCCTCCCTCCTCTAGGCAGGACGGGGAGAAGCCAGGAGGAGGGAGGGAGGAGGAGGTGCCGCCGCCGCTGCCATGTGAGGAAGAGGGAGGGAGAGGGAAAGAATGTGCGTGCTGGCGAACCACACAGTGATTCCTGGACTTTCCGCAGGCCAGATCCAGAAGGCAATTGGACCCCATCCAGCCCGCGGATCTTAGTTTGCTGACCCATGTATTAGACAGTCACCGCCTCTGTTGTCTTTTGGTGCCTGCCTGGTATTGAATCCCTTCCTCTTTCAACAAGCCTTTAAAGCAGAGCTGTATCCCAGTCTGCATCTGCACTGGATTTGAATGATTTTATAACTGAAATTGGTTTTTATATCTGAAACTCTATTTTTGAAAGTACATTTACCCAAGAAACCCCATTCCCCTCCTCCTACCCCACCCCGCCCCAGACATTCCATGCAGGTTAGTATGTTCCAGTTACTTAAGTAGCAGGTAAGTTTATGAAATACTTCATGCTGTTGGTTTTGATCTCTGTCCAGATCGAGCATGTCTTCCATGTCTTCTTAACAGGTTATTCCAAAATGAACCATGAGTTGATGGTGGCTACACTGTTTATTCAACACATAGGAAAAGACCAGTACTAAACGGTTTCAAAGTCATCCTTGCTTTTTGTATTCCGCAGTGCTCCAAGTCCTCTCTTTGAGGACTATATATTAAAAAGATTTTTGGTACTGGGATTGTTGCTGCCTCACTCACTCAGGCCCCCCCTTGTGGGCTTCCCACAGCCACCATATCAGCCATTGTGAGAACAGGATGCTGGACTAGATGGGCCAATGGCCTGATCCAGCAGACTCAACTTAGGTTCTTATGTCCCTAAGTTGTTTTGTTAGTTTTTCCATTAGGGCTACATTCCACACCCTCTCCCATTGTGCCACTAAATTCATCTTGGTAGCCATCTCCCAAGGTTGAATAATTAGCAGTCTAGCGAAACTGCTTTTATTGCTGATGGTTTTTTTATGGATAAGCACTTTCAGCGGCTTCACAGAAAGCGATTTGTGCATAGAATTAAATAAATAAAATACATAATTTAGTAAACTGACCACAACAGTTTCTAAAGAATATTTCATAGAACATTTACTTAAATTTCACCATAGACCAGCTTGCATTTATCGTGGAATAGGGTACAACTCAAAAACATTCAGCCACTCTTACTGTCTTGAAAGGTGGCAGGGTGAGGAAAGCAGCATGGATTTAGATTGCAACTGTGCACATTCATATGCATGTATACTATGAGATTTCCTTACTCAGATACTTACCTGAATAACATGTGTGGCATGCATGTCTCTTATAAGGACATCAGAAGAGCCACGTTGGATCAGGCCCAAGGCCCATTTAACCCACCATCCCATTCTCACAGGGGTCAACCAGGTGCCTGTGGGAAGCCCACAAGCAGGGCAGGAATGCAAGAGCTCTTCCACTTGAGTTCTAGTATTCAGAAGCATGCTACCTCCAGCTGGAGGTAGAACCTAGCCATTGTCTCTATTAGCCATTGCTAGCCTTATCCTCCAGCATCACTCCCAAAATTACAAGAAAGTGTAGACTGCTACTGGTGAATAGAGATAGGCCACATGCACACCATACATTTAGAGCACCATTATGCCCACATTTAAAGCCCTGTTATGCCACTTTAACAGTCATGGTTTCCCCCAAAGAATCTTGGGGATAATAACTGGTTAAGGCATACCCTCCAAAATTTTGCAGATGAAAATAGAGACATTCTAAGGAAAAGCAGGACATTCCAGGATCAAATCAGAAACTGGGACGGCTTCTGTAAATCCGGGACTGTCCCTGGAAAATAAGGACACTTGGAGGGTCTGTTAAGGGTGCCAAGAGATATTAGGAGACCCCCCCCCAATTCCCTTAACAGAGTTACAGTTCCGAGAGTTCCCTAGAAAAGAGGGAGTGACTATTAAACCACTCTGGGATTGTAGATCTGAGGGGGGTAAGAGTCTCCAACAACTCTCAGTACCCTTAACGAACTACAGATCCCAAGACTGACAGATTCGCCCATCCCTATATCAGGGAGATCAAAACAGCAGCTCCAAGTCATCCAGCACTGATCACTGCAACGCCTGCAGCCATGGGCAAGCCTGCAGGAGTCCCCCAAAACCTGGAATCAGTGCTGATCATTAATGCAGTCTGTGTACTTAGATCTCTGTGCAATCGCTATGAATTCCAAATGTCACTCTTCTCTCTGTAAAAATGGTGATGACCCCCTCTATGTGCCACTAGTTTAACGCTTTACTATTGGTCCTCACCTCCTTCACTATCTGCCTGACAATGTCAGAACTTTCTCCGATATCAAATTTCATTATCTTTTCTTCCTTCTTCTTCCCCCCCGGCATCTAAGTAATATCTTTAATTTGTATTTTTTTTCTCTAGACGGTTTAGACGATTCGAATTTTAGCCTCTGAATGAATTGCACGTTTTGTTATTCTGTTTTATCTGCACGGCTTAATGTTACAATGAACATTAAAATAATAATTTTTAAAAGAGCTGAAATCCACATCAGAAATACGTTGCTTGGTTATTATTTATATTATGGTTCCATTTAGTTAAAATGATTGCTTAATGTTTTCAAGATCATAGCAGATGCCAAATTAAAAATTAGTGGATTTGATGCATTTATATATTCCACATTATTCTTGTATAAAAATGCCCAACCTTCTAGGGCCAGAAACTCTGCTTGGTTTATGGACTTCCCGTAACAATCAGGGAACAAACGAATTAATTTGGACATGACCTCAGATTTCCAGAGGCTCAAGTTATAAACCATCCCATTTTACCTCTCCCTTAATAAGGACTAGTAATATCTTTCTGTGCTATGCTAATTCTTGTTCGGTGATTTATTATGATGTTAGATATTTCTGGATTATTCTGTTAAATTATTGTGTTTTCATCATTTTGACAATTTTTTTTATTAGTAAGCTCAATGCTCAGAGGTGGGAAGGGAAAATAATATGACAAAACAAATAAATAAATGCACTACGAAAGATGCCAATCATTCATTGTACCATCAGATACTCCTCACACCTACTGAACACGCATGCCAGTGTTGTGCTGTGGTCAGTGTTGAACTAGAACCTTGGAGCTCACGTTTTAAATCCCATCTCAGTCATGAAGCTCACTGGGTGAACTTGGACTGGTCACCGTCCTTCTGCCTAACCTTTGCATTTGATGCTTTAATGCAAGTTGTAAACTGCTCTGAGATTCCCCCCCCCCCTTAAAAACATAAAGCAGTATAGAAATGAAATGAATAATAATACCACCTCACAGGGTTGTTATGAGGGAAAAACGAGGAGGGGTTGAACCAGGGAGGAAGATAGGATGTAGATTTAATAATAAATAAATGAAATAAATTCCAAAATGAGATACAGTTTTCAGTCAACTTCAGAGAAGCATACTGAATAAATGCAAGAAGAAAGAGAGGGAACGGGATACTTTCTCCTGGAGCGGCTGGCGGGTAGACCAGCACTCAGAGGAGCCAGTCTTCTGGCACCACAGTTTTCTGAGACAGGGCACAGCAGACACAACAAGGGTGCACTGAGAGACCCAATCCAGTGTTCCTACTGGTCTGCTTGCACAGCACCGATCTGAGAGTTGTTAGCAGCCTGTTATTCCCCCTCACAGTTCTAAATCCCAGAATGGTTTCACCGTCCACCACTCTTTCCAAAGGAATTCTGGGAACTGTAAGACAGTGAGGGAAACGAGGATTTCCTAACGACAACTGGTGCTCTTAACAACTCCCAGGATTCTTTGAGGTAGCCATGGCTGTTTGAAGTAGTATGATACTGCTTTACTCCATATACACCCACTTGACAGCTTCAATTTGTGGAACTGGCACATAATATGCCACAAAATGCCCTCTCCACATTTGTAAGAACTCAATATTTTAGCATGGCAGCACCTACACTTTGGAACTTCCTGCCTACTGATACCAGGCAAGAGCCGTCACTGTACTCTTTTTGGCGCCTGCTAAAAACATTTTTGTTTAGACAAGCCTACCTAGTTGTTTAGAAAGCTGACACGAGTTTCAATCTGTGTTTAGTCCTTTGTTATTTTAACTTTTTGAAAGTCTTCCATTGTTGCTGTTAATTTTTCTTGATATTTTTCTTGATTTTTCTTTTTTGTAAACAAGGGTGTACAATTTTTAATGAAATAAATAAGTACATAGTGCCAGGTGGGTCTTGAGTTTGAAACAAAAGGGCTGCTTCGTGCATCCACATTCATCACATGAGGATTTCTGCGTCAAGTGACGGTGTGCATGTGCAAATGACTCACCAGAGGTCAAGCACCCACAGACAGCAATTTCATATTCCTTCTGCATCGTCTAAAAACCCAGTACAGTAAGCTAGTAGAGTCTGTTCACACATCTGGCAAGGAGCCATCGAGTGTTGTGTAATCAAAGCGATGTCCTTTCATGTGTGAACTGGCAACCAAGAGCTTTTTCTAGGTTGAGTGTAATCCAATATTTACTACAGAACAATCACACAATGAAAGCATGATTCATCACGGCTGGAGGTCTGGTTTTTGTTGTTGTTTATTTTTTAAAGAATCCTGTCCAAGAAAAATAGGAGCAGGTTATCGCGCCTTTAATTTGGCTAGATTATTTGACCTTTCACAAAGAGCTGCCTGGGAATCCCTGAATTTCTAGACACTTCACCTTCTTCCACCCCATCAAGAAAATTGAGTAGAGGTGTACTTGAGGATGGCGTGGAAGAGACAGGAATGATCACGGAAATTATTTGCCATCTGTTATGTTCCTTGAAACTAAGAGTCAAGCTCTGTGCCAGCAGAAGCCTGCTGATTTCAACAAACTTGAAAGGTCAGCAAACAAAACAAAACCCCAGATCATTTATCCCAGCTTTGGTCATTCAAACCTCCTAGCTTTCCTGATTCAACATATATATCATGTGGTGAAATTTCATCTGTGCCATGACATTTTTGAAGCACTGCACACTCTCAAGCTTTAAGGATTTGGGGAAAGCAGGTACAAACCTTGATAAAGAAAGAGCTTTGCACTGTGGAACCTCAAAGTTTGACACGTTTATTATAGCACAAGATTTCCTGAGTCTAATGAAGTGAACTGTATGTCAAAGAAAATTATTATTATTACTAATTTAATTTCTATCCCTCCTTCCTCCAAGAGCAGCCTAGGGCAGCAAAACACCAACGTAATAAAACAATGCCATGATAAAATAATATAAAAACATTTTTTAAACATTTTGGAAAAAATTAAAACATCTAAATTGTTTAAAAACAGGCAGAGTTCAAAACAGCTAATAATTTCAAGGCACTAGCACCTTGAGATGCGCCTAGTAGCTCACTCCGTGCTTTCAGAACCGGTAACACAGGGTCCTGTCAGACTGCCCCACTAACCGGCCTAGCAGCTGCATTCTGCACCACCAGCAGCCTCTGGGCTGTCTTATGACATAAATGTGCTAGTCTTGAAGATGTCACAAGAGTCTTCTGCCCAAACCTGGATTTTCCAAAGATCTGGGGTCTAGGTCTTTTAAATACTTGAAGTCATAGTGAAGATTTTATGCACTTTAAACACCACTGATCCAAGCTTTAGCACTGCCAGTATATTCAGCAAAAGAGACTAGCCCTCCTCATTATCAACAAGAAGAATTTTACAGGATGACCAGCACACAATATCTTCCAAAAAGAAAAATAATAATAAATCAAAGAGTGGTCAGAAAGGCCCCAGGACTCACATACAAGAGAAAAAAAGGGGGGAATCAACTATCTTCCAGTTTTCAAAGGATTGTTTGCCTGGCCCCTTTGAGTAAATTCTGACTTGCACAGGGCTAGTAGCTACTTATAGTGTTGTCTTGCATCTCACCCAGTATACAATAAGCCATGGTTTCCCAAACTTGGGTCTCCAGCTGTTTTTGAACTACAAATCCCATCATCCCTAGCTGATGGGAACTGTAGTCCAAAAAACAAGTGGAGACCCAAGTTTGGGAAACCTTGCAATAAGCAAAGAGCTCCATGTCACAATTGAAAGAATACTAGATTGTTCTCTCTAAGCTTTAGAATCTAATGGTCTACATGGCAAAAGGGGATAAAATATTATTAAAATAACCAAACCATTTAAAGCAGGCTTCACCAACCTGGTGCCCTCTAGATGTTTCGGAGCAGAACTCCCATCAGCCCCAGCCAGCATGTGCTTCCCTTTTGGAAATATTAATATCCTACCCAAGAAATAGAATAATACACCCTGTGCAGGCATCCTTCAAGAGAGAAAGTCAACATGCAGGGGGTGGGATTGTACCCCTGGCTGTGACCTCTAGGCGTTGATTGGGCCTTTTGCACAACTCGGCTAGGCATTGTGAAGAGGCTCTGTACACAATGTCTGAACAACACATTGGAGGTCAGAGGGTGCAATTCCAATCCTCTCTCCATGCACGGACTGTATCCACTTCAAGGAAGTCTGGGCAGGGCTTTATTCTGTCTATTGCATGACAAATAAATAGGTTATTCTCTCTGTAGACCAGAATATAACATCTCAACTTGACTTTTGAAAATGGGATTTGCTATATAGTACCTATATACATGTTATATCATTTTTTGTATGGGGTACCACTCGAGAATTTACCTTGGCTAGTCACCTAGACAGAACTTTGTCCTATAAGGTGGCCAAAAAATCTTTAAGTGAATAAACCAAAGGAAATTAAAATAATCATGAAGATGTATCCAATTGTGTCACTGTGTGAACAGAATGGATGCAGAATAAATGCAACCAGAACTTTCTCTTTCTTTCTTTCTTTCTTTCTTTCTTTCTTTCTTTCTTTCTCCCCCCCCCCAAACATGCACTCCCTATGTGTATGTGCTCTGGAAAGTTGGTGCACTCTCCAGAGCAGATTTGGCCCTCAATCATAATCATAATATAATTTATATAATAATGTATTATTTTATACCCCCTCCCATCTGGCGGAGAGGGGAAGAGGAGAGACTCCATTGCAGAACAACTCACAGAATTTCCTGGTCATGTCAGCTAACATCAGAGACGGCCCATGACTAGATGTTTAGTGACAAGGCACTTTCTTGAAAGTAGTGATAATCTTGTACACCTCCTTGATTATTCAGCATTTGGCAACTCACCCGTCAATGGTTAATACTACTTGGGATGGGTTAATGACTAACCCACCACAACTATTATTAAAGCAAATGACTGGGACCAGTGATGCGCTTAGGGCACAATCCAAAGGCACACCCCACTTGTTTGCACATGTTTACTCAGAAGTAACTTCCACCAGCTTCAGTGGGCTTGTTCCCTTCTCAAGTGTACACCACATTACAGTAGCCTTCATAAGCCTGTCGGACTACGATCAGGGAGACCGGTGTTCAAATCCCCGCTCAGCCATTAAGTCTCTCACCTACTGTGAGGATAAAATGGGGGGGGGGGCACACACACCACATATGCCATCTTGAGCTCCTTGGAGGAAAGTTGGGATATAAATAAATTATACAACATCCATCAGCTCCAGCCATAGGCTTTATTACAGCCTCAGACTTCCTTAAGTCTCTTATAACTACTTTCTCATCTATGTGCTTAGCTTCTTCTCACTAAAATCAGTTATGCTGCTGTCGTACTCACACTTATTTGAGAGCAAATCCCAGTGCATACTGTGGGGTTTACTTCTGAATAAAGCATGCATACAATCAGGATCAGACTTATAGCTGCCTTACATCACCTGGAACATGATGGGTTTTTAATTGCCCTGAGTCATTTGTTAGAATACTGAGAACATGAGTGCAATATTTTAAATTGCTTTAAAAGAAAAATTCTTAGCATTCATTGGCTCAATAGTTTTTGAAATAATAATGGCAATAACAGATTGACTTAAGAAGCCCAGCGACAGTGAACAGAAGTCCAAATTCATTATGCATTTTAGATCCTGATAAAATATTTCTGAAAAGGGGTCTCAATTGGATCAATAATTCCAGAACAAGAATCAATGTTATGTCACAGATGAAGTATCGAAAACGTCTAGTGCCTGGAGTCCCTATGCCTTTCTGAAAATGATATGCAATTTATATCAATTTGCCTAAAATAAAAACATGCAGATTATCTGAAAGTAAAAGAGTAACTGCTGCCTGCAGTGTTGAACATGAAGCACTCTTATTAAGGCCAATTAGCACTGGAAGCTTGCAAGTCACACAGAAACCTTCAGGCTTAACTGTTCAGAAGAAAAAGAAAGAAAGAAAAAGAAAAAGGAGGCAAATATTTGTTTAGCCATCTCCAATATGCTATAGAAGAACATAAAAGACTAAAGAAGATAGCTTATGCACAGTAAATTATGCAAAGTAGTGCAGACCACATTAAGTTTGCATGATAAAAATGAAGAGTACCAAGGCTTGGATAAAGAAACAGCCTTCCGTCTCCAGTACTTCTACCCCAATCTCAGAAATATGGGCGCTGGCTGCAGAGACTCAGCACTGAGAGGATAACACTCTGCACATGTTAAGAGGCACACTCTTCTTTACTATCATTTCACACATTCCAGAGCTAAGCCCTGGCAGTGACAGCTTCCAGGGACAAACCCTACTGAGGAGTGGCTCAACCTAAGAAGTTTGAGCAAACAAACCTGGCAACATTCACACAAGGTTACGCTGACACATCATTACATGAGGGTCATGCTACAAATCCACGTAACAAGGCTTTCGAGATATCTTAGCTTTTTGATCCTGGAAATTCTGTCACACTTGCATTTTTTATTTGCTGAGTCCTCTGTTTGCCTCACTGCGTGAACATCTCCACCTAAGCATCTTAGAAGCAAATTATAGGACTCATCCAACACATTTCAATGCCTGAGGTGAGAAATAAAAATCGCACCTCACACATGCTTATTAAAACGGGACGTGGCTGATTGGGAAATTGCTTTGCACAAGGCTTGTTGGAAGGAGTACATGCTCTTGGCACAGGACTTCTGCAGAATTTCCCCGTGGATCCTGACCCATGTTGATCATAGCCACTGGCATCCCTCACTGCTGCCCTAAACTGTACCCAAAATCTACCTTGCCTTGTGGTATGACCTGCCCCAGAGAGTCAGAAAAAGCATCTCACTTACTTTTCGTAGTCTGTATTATCCTTGTCACACCGCTTATCCTTGTGTTTCACCCAGTCTTTGCCGTGTTTACACGTGGTCAGGGAAATTATATCTTTGCCATTGTGGATATGGTGGAGAGCATTCCTGGTGTCTGAACCAATACCGGTCAGGTACCTTTTTCCTTTGAAAACCAAGAGGTACTTTTTCTTTGGAGGGACAGAGGTCTTTTGCAGCCAGCCCCTCTCCCCACCTTTCCGGGGATGGTCCTTTGAAAACAAAGGGATGGAGATATCAAAACCAGGCCGGAAGTTCTCCACGTAAAAGCTCGCCTTGGCTAGGATAGCCTGACCAATGTCAAAGCCCAGGTCTTCAGTGTAATTAGGCCACGTGCCAGAATAAAGGTTAAATATGAGGTGGTTGCGGCCATCGTTCCAAAGAGGGAAACCTTGGATTTTTTCATTGATGTTGTGGACATACTGTACGGAGAGGTGGTCCCTGTCCAGAGTGTCAATGTTTAGGACAAAGAGACAGGCTTCTTCGGGATTGGAGGTATAATACCGCGACTCTTCAATGGATGTGATGATTTTGAGGTAACTTTCTGAGACAGGGTCCCCTCTTTCCAAGGGGTAGACAAAGACTTTGAACCCATGTTCCCTACACTTGGAAAAATCGAAGCAAGTGTCCATGCGGCATCTGCTGTTCTTGTAGATGCTTCTCCTCAACTCCCTCCGGGTTTTGAGGGACAGCTCAGCGTGGTCCCCATCATCACTTTGGAGCTCTTCAGGATCTGCAAAGTTCTTCAGGAGAAATCCATCTGCCCAGCGGGGCCAGTTCTTTAGCCCTCCAGCTTTCTTGCTAGAGAAGAATGGGAGGCGCCTGATTTGGTCTCCTCCAAATAAGAAAAGCAGAAGCCAGGTGGCAAAGAAAGTCATGAAAATGTATTTTTTCCGGGCCTGCATAGGTTCATACAGAACCCTCAACTCTTTCTTTGAAAAAAGGAGGCCAGGCTGGTCATTCAGTCGACCCAGAAAGGAAAAATTATTCAGGCAGGTTCAAAAGATACAAGTAAATCAACTGGACCTAAGCAGGAGCCCAAATCTCAAAACTAGTGGAGAGGCGTGTCAATAATGGAAAACTGTATTAACCTTTCCAAACCCTTTCCCATCTTCTCTCTCTCTCACACACAGGCACCACTGCTCCTTCCACTTTTTGAAGTTCAGTTTCCTCCTTTTCCTGTGCCTCGAATTCTGATGGCAACGCTTTCTTCTCCTTCAGAGCAGCACCGCTTAAGTTCTGCTATATGCAGCCTACCTTATCTCCCTGCCCTTTGAAGATGGCAAAGCATTACAGGGCCCGTTTCTCCACAATGCAATGTTTTTTTTATCGCAGCTTGCAACCACCCTGAACTGAGATGATTGTTACTGTTTCCCCCCTTGCAACTTTCTGGTGAGTCTTGTGCTGCTGCTTTAAATCCTCACTGAGGCTGCCCTCTTTTTCTTCCCTCTTCAGATTTTAAAAAAACAAGTCGTCCTGTGCCTTTTGTATGTTGCTTTCAAACCACTCTCTTGCTCAGTCTGCGGTTGCAGATTTGTTTTGTTGCTCTTAAGTCCCGGTATCAGTTTCGGGGACGCCACAGCCCTGCCTCTTGCTGCTACGCACACCCCACTGGGGAGTTCACCCTGTCCTACTCTCAATAGATCAGCCTCTCTTTGGATACTTGACTCTGCAACCCGAGGATCGGCCTCTCCTCACACGCCGGCCGCGTCCGAATCGGATCCTTTGCCTTTAAAGACTCGCACCGGCAGACTTCAGCAGCTTCTGCCATGGACGGAAGACCCACCGAGCCAGGGGTTCCGGGGCCACGTTTCTCAGGCGCCTCGTCAAGTGTCAAGGAGCGTCTGAGATGCAGGAGAGGGTCCCGTCTGCCCTTTTCCCAGCGATGTCCATCGACCCCGCTTCTTTCTCTCCCACCCCCTCCTTTTTAGCTTACTCAGGAGTTACAACAAGCTTACATTCCCAGCCTCATTACAGAAGCCTTTTGGAGGTCCTTTAAGACTAAGCTGCGTTTTTGATATATTAATCTCCTTCTCTTTCCCTTGATCTCCTTTAGTTTATATTCCCCCTCCCGCGCCTCCTTTCTCTCTGATTGAAGTTATTTCTGTCCCTGAGCGGGTCTGTTTCTCTCTCTTAAAAAAAAAGAAAGAACAAAAAATCAACCTGTCACTTTTCTCCATCGGCTCGGACGTTAGAAGAACCCGATCCCCGCCTGCTTTTGCCCCGTGGGATCTGATCCCTCTACTTCGAGATGCACTGGCCTCATGATATGCACTGGGAGAATTCCTCGGAATAAATCCTGCGGGGCGCCAACCCTGGGCTCAGCACCGCCGCCGCCTCGCCGCACACCTAACTGCCTCTGGATCGCTGCGTGCCGCGCTCTCCTATGCCATTATTCATTCCGCGTCACTCTCCGTTGACCGGCCCTCTTGCTCCAGTCAATAAAGCAACAAATGGCATTCACCTCTCCTCTCCTCCATCCCTCATTTCGGCTGCTCTTAAACCGCTGGACCGCTCATCTCTCTGTCTGGCCGCCCCATCTCGCCTCCTGCTAACCAGCATCTGGTCCTTGCACACAGCGTTCCAATTCCACCTTCACAACATTCCACCCCGGCCACGCCCCCCTCGCCTGCCATTCGCTCTCCGCCTACCAAAAAGGCGTGGCTGCCTGATAACCCTTTCCTCGCCTGGAGGGTTGGAGGGGAAGACCTTGTTTTTTGACGGGGGGTGGGATTGAAGCCTTTTACATTTTTCCCTTCCCATTGGCTGCTGTCAGTGCTGCTCCTCGTCGAGAAGTGCCGGTCCACGTGGCCAGAGTTGCCCACCACAGAGGCAAAACGGTAGCTCGGTGGTGGAGCACGTGTTTTTACTTGGCGGGATGTCTCGGGTTCAATCCCCGGCATTTCCAGGTTTGGAAAAATCCCCCTACCCCAAACCTTTGAGCAAGGAGAGCACTGTGGGTGTTGTTGCGTAGACTGCGGCTCCCATCACCCCTGATCATTGGCGTAGCCAGGATTTTAGTGGGGGGGGGGGAATGGCCTTTTGTGGGGACAGAACAGTTTGCTATGTATTTTTTATTGATTGGGTGCAGCTGCCGCTCCCTACCCCCCCCCCACACGCTACATCCATGCTCCTGATCATTGGTCATGCTGGCCAGGGCTGGTGGGAGCTGGAATCACAGAATCATAGAATTGTAGAGTTGGAAGGGACCAAGAGGGTCATCGAGTCCAATGCCCTGTGATGCAGGAATCTTTTACCCAACGCAGAACCCGAACCCATGACCCTGAGATTAAGAATCTCATGCTCTACCGACTGAGCTATCCTGGAACATCCATCATCATCATAATTTTATTATTATGATTTATGCCACCTTTCGGCTTTCCGTGTTTAAAGCCATGCTCAAAGCAGCTTACAACATGAACAAAATTACATAATTTATAGGGTGGTTTCCCATATAATTCCCAAATTATTCAAGAATCACGTACAGTACTTACATACTTCTCAGAGTTGCCAATTCTTATTTCCATGTCACATGGTCTCAATCAGCCATTCACAGAATCTATCCTGGTCGTCTCATCAACCCTGCTTCATGTGAGCTTCCTTTAAAAATATGCCACTGACATCAGCCTTTCCTTTGAAATAGGAGATACACACTCCATCAAGTCAGGGTTTTAATTACCAGAGATTCGGAAGTGCTGCCGCGTTTGATGTCTGCAAAATATTAAGGCGAGATCCATAGCTGTGTTTGTACTACAATGATTTAACTCCCCTGTTGGTTGCATCATGGAAAAAGACAGGACAGTGTATATTTTACTAATGTTGTCGCTCTTTGGCATGAGGTTCAGATAGCTCTACAATATGTTATCCCAATAGTATTTTGGCCAACCACAAAACTATCTGCCTTTATGCAGATATGATGCTTTATGAAGGTTAAGGATTCCCCAGAAACCAAAAGGCAGAATCATGGTTTGAACCAGATTTACAAACCATAGTTTGTGTTAACCATTGATTCATATTAAATCTACACTGAGGAAACTATTGTTAATAAGGCAGTTTCCTCACATCTTCAGACTCTCTGCTTGAGAAGTGATAATTGGGGCCAGCCCTACCATTAGGCAAAGTGAGATTACTTCCTCAAGTGGCAGATGCTTGGGGACAGCATTGGAAGTCCCTTGGCTGTACCACTTAAACCTTCCTACAGCCATTCCCATCTGCTGGAAGACAGGCTTTAAATCTAATGTCAGTTGTTCCTGAGGAAAAATGCATAGGCTTGGGTTGTAAAACATGTATTACTGTACATCTGGAATTTTAATCAGAGTTACAGCAACAAACCATGGTTAAGTGTTATATTTTGACTGGCCCTAGGTAGGCATAAGTTTAAAAGTTTCTGGTATCTGACTGTAACGGGTGGGAAGCTTTTTGGCTCCTAGGTCCAGATCCTTGTCAGGAACTGCCTTATGGGCTAAATTTGACAGGTGCATGGGGCTGTTCATCTGTCAGTCACATGATGCTATTATGACACTGCATGATTGACAGGTGTGCAGGGGCACAAACATATCAAAATGCATTTCGCTCAGATCTTAAAACATTTTCAGCAAAGGTAATGATATATATTTGCTTACTTCAAAAACCTATACTACACTTTTCAACTTGGCGGCATAAAAGTTAATTTAATACAAATAGAACAAGTTAAAAAAATCAGCCAGCAATATAAAATAGAAAACAGCATAAAAACAATAAAACAGCACTTAAGACAGTTTATTCAACCGCAGCTGAAACAGAGTTAAACATCAGAAAAACAGAAAATAAAACCAGCAGCTTTATGGCACAGGTTCTTAAATAGCTATTTCACTAATTATCAGTAAAGAATAAAATTTCCTCTCCATGCGACCAGGCACAGGAGCTTTCTACAAACTGATTTATTTTCTTCTTGCAGCCACAAATAACTCACATAGTCACAGGCCAGAGACCATTTGTGTGAGGGAATATTCTGTGAATAGATTTCCAACACTGTAACATGTGTGTTTTCTTCACATCCCTCAGAGTTAATTAACCCTTCCCACCTTGTCCCATGCGCTACACATGAGAATTCTGATCAGACTAATTAAAACCTCCTCCCTCGATGGGAAGAAAATCTAACACTGAGGCAGTTAAGAGAGGCTAGTCATCACAAATTCCCCAGCCATGATCAACAGGAAGAAAAAGATAGCCAGGACCAGGAAACAGAAAGGTTTTAACTAAAGGCACTGGTGACCCAATAAATCTTGATAGTACTTGGTCCACCTACACCTGGTACAGGGAACCTGTAGCCCTCCAGATGTTATTGGAATGCAGCTCCCATCCTCCCAAACCATTGACTATGCTGGTTGGGGCTGATGGGAGCTGGAGTCCCGCCGCATTTGGAGAACCACAGATTCCTCATCCCTAACCTACACTGAACATGCTGGCACTTCCTTTTATTGGAAACCCTCTTCCCACAAAGTATACCAACAATATAGACCGTAGATCATAGAATTGTAGAGCTGGAAGGTACCACAAGGGTTATTAGTCCAACCCCCTGCAGTGCATACCAATTGAGCATATATATGATATATTGAGCTATTAAGCTGGGCAAAGGCTTAAAGGTTATCTCTGGGCGCTTCAAGACTTTTACTGAGCATTCATCCTGATATGTTTGCAGGAGGCTAGACGATATTAGGCCAAAGCAAGTGTTTACCCATACTTACCAGTGCATTTCCATACTACTTTTCTTATTGTGAAAAGTCTGGTCTTTGGGGGAAGGGGTTTTGTGGCACCAGAGTGCCAAATCAGCTTTAACTGTAAAACCTGACTTTGCCAGTATGTGTTTGAATCCCACCCCAAAATAGGAACAATCCAGAAGGACCCTCACTTTGCACTGTCATAACAACCCCACTTGAAGCATGGCTCTGTCCAATGGAGGCTTGTCTTGAGGGGCATCACCCCAAGCAACCGCAATCTGCCCTCAGCAAGCCTGCACCCGCCTGCCTTACACATAACCAGAAGCTGGCCCTGGCTGTCAGCTTCCCCCTCCTCCTCCTCCTCCGCCTCCGCCTCGTGGTTGCACTTGTCAAACTCTGCTGGGAGGAGAATGGAGAGAAAATGAGAATTATAGTTGGCTCTGCCTCTCATTCGCTGTGACGCTGCCTGTCATTATATCTGGCTCCACCCTATCATTGAGCCTCCCTGTCTTCTGCCCTACCAGTTCCATTGGTCTGTCTCTTTGAGAGCCAGTGTGGTGTAGTGGTTAAGAGCGGTAGTCTCGTAATCTGGGGAACCGGGTTCGCGTCTCCGCTCCTCCATATGCAGCTGCTGGGTGACCTTGGGCCAGTCACACTTCTTTGAAGTCTCTCAGCCCCACTCACCTCACCGAGTGTTTGTTGTGGGGGAGGAAGGGAAAGGAGAATGTTAGCCGCTTTGAGACTCCTGAAGGGGAGTGAAAGGCGGGATATCAAATCCAAACTCTTCCCTTCTTCTTCTTCTTCCTTCTAGTGCGAGAGGAAAAAGTGACAGGTCGTGTGAGAGAGAGGTTTTTGTTGTTGTTCCTGCCAAGCACAGCTACACAGGGGATCTAACCCATCTGACCTGTCACCCGGCCTGCACTCCATCTCCACCCCTTTCTCTGACTGGAATCTCTTAGTTCTGCTTATAATCTGATAATACCATTCTTTACGAGATCACAGCCTTTTACCATGGCAACACAATTGACCTGATTTGTAGGGAAGGTAGATGGTCCATCCTTGCCAATTGGCACCATGCCGCTATTAAAACCAGCACTTGGCTCTCTGTTTTTGAGTGACATGAAATAAGGCTAAAATAATTGACGATGCGGGGGTGGGAGCAGGTGAAATTCTATCAGTCTCTCGACATGGGGATCATTCAGAACTAGTGTTACCAGACTCCGTTAAAGATTGGGCCTTTTGCAGTTGCAGAGAAGGGAGAATTTGAGCCTACGTCGCTTCTTTCCTTTTGGTGCTGAAGTGGCAATGGGAGAAACTGTCTTTGCTGAAACTCTCACTCTTAGGCAAACCTCCTGCAACCTGATGCTGCTCAGGTCTATGTGCTGAGGATTGCAGCTTCCGAAGCTGAATCACACCCCCTGTGTTGAATCTGGCAGCCCCCACCCTGCTGTGTCTGAGATCTGCACCTGCATTTGCCGGGATCCACCTCAAAAGCAGACATTCTCAGGGCCCTGCTCACATTGCCATTTCAAATGCCGAGTAGTCCAGCTTTATAAATAAGCTCACAAAATTATGAGCCTGCTATGAAGCTGTAGCCTTCCACGCTGAGCATGGAAATGAGCTGGATGCTGAGAAAGGGAAGCCCACCCCCCATGGAAATGCAGGCTACTAGCCCCTCTTAGCCAGCAGTGCAGTGGCAAAATCAGAAGTGCAGAGCCCCTTCATGATAGTCACATCCATGTAGGGTTGCCAGGTGAAGAGCATCTCAGATCCTGAGATTTCAGGACCCAAACCTGAGACCCAGGGGTGGTCCTGGAGAAGGGAGCCGAGGAGGGCAGGTCCATTCTCTCGCACTTGGAGATTCAAGCCCTCCACCTGCTACCTGTAGGGAGTCAGGTGAACCTGGATACTTTGGGTCAGACTTCGAAGTCTGGCAACAAAGCAGCCATGTCCCTTCTAATACTAATCAACAATATTATATTTATACAGTGATAATAATTAGGGATGCATTGGAACAAGATCACCATGTGTTGTCTTTCAGCTAGATCTACTATTTTCTGTGCATGTACACGAGCAAATGATCTGGAGTGCTCCAATATCTTCTTTTTGGAGGGACTTAATTTGCATTTTCCACAAAGTTCCGTTGTATGTAATAGAACTTGTACATCGTTCTCTTGAAATGGAAGTACCTTGTGTTTTCAGGGTTCCCAAATCTTAGCCTTGGAATCACAGCAACTATAAAGCTTTGCTTTCGTGCTGACTGGCCAGCTCTAGGACACTGGAGACAGGGTCCCTGCAGGGACTCTGCTGCAGAAATAGTAACAGGTCTTTGACACACACACCCCATCCAAGACCAGTACACTACTGCTCTTAGCAGACTACTAAAAAAAAAGCCTTCTACCAAGGGAATTGGCAGGTGAAGGATGTAGCCATCTATCTCTGCTCTGCAAGCCTGCTTGGCTTTCCTTCCTCCGTGGCTATTTATATCTTTCTTTCTTTCTTTCTTTCTTTCTTTCTTTCTTGTTCTTTTTACTTACTTACTTCATACCCCACCCTTCCTCCCAAAGGTGCTAAGGGCAGCAAATGCAATGTTAAAACAATACGTTTAAACAACATATTTAAAAAGTAC